GATGAAAGCGGGTAGGGATTTCACTAGTTGAAGTATACGAAAGGGTAGGAAATTCGATCACTTTGGTCTGTTAAAAGGGCACAAAAAAAACTAACACAGGCCTTTTATGGCTGTAAAAATATTGACAAGACGTTCTGGTTTGGATTTATTCATATCTTTTAAGACGGTCAACCGTCAGCCGTCAAACGGCCTGAAAATTAGCCGTCAACCGTCAAAAAAGGTTATTTTTTCACCGTCAACCGTCGAAAATGGAGATTAAGATTAACCGTCAAATGGTTTCAAGGTTTTTCAAATCTCACTACTTCGGGGATCTACCCAGAGTCCCAGCTCCTGAAAAATCTCTTAACTGGAAAAACCAGTTCCCATGTTCTCAAAAACACTCTTTCTAGACATTGCAAGACCTTAAAAAACCTACTTATAGGGACAGTGTCCCGATTATGCGCACGCGCGAGCGTCATCTGTTTTTTCTTCAAAAGACAATAGAACTGTTATATTGACTCGACAAGATTTCCTTCCGGACCGCACCGCCGACGGAGATTTGTTGTTTATATTCTCAAGTAATATTTCAGACTTTCGAAGAAGTCTTTCGTCTTATTTAAAATTTGGCTCGCGGCACGAAGACTCATCGCGATTTTTCGCTAGCGGGGCCGCCTCGCGACCCGAAAATCTCTTTCCGCTCGTTTTAAAACAGATTTTCTATTGTGAAACTCGTGTCAGAGGTCAGTTGTTCCAAGTCCAGTAATATCTGCCTGGTTCTAGCCTCAAACGTTTGAAAGACATAAATAAAAATGCAATCTCAAGGCTATGAATCATTGCAAAGATCAGTCAAAAATTATATTATGATTTCATGGAACTAGTTTTTCTAAACATGTAGCGCCTGTTTGTTTGATTTTGTCGGCCGTAGGGAGATTAATTTAAAAGTTTACTAACGCGTCGTTGTAAAACATTCCACAAGATCTCCATAGTCACATCAATGTCTCAATGGTTTCTTTCTTACAGTCTTTGTTGTTGCTGTTTCATTTCTGTGTATTCCTTTCACAATTATCTGAGCCTGTATGGAAGCTGCCCGGGGGGGGTACTCCCTAATATGGGCTATATAGGTATGTGCGGCCCCAAAGGGTAGGGTTTTTCAGCCGTTTTGGTCATAAATTGGGTATCGATTTTGGCTATTTTGCCGCCATTTTGGTCATAGATAGGGTAACGATTTTTGCACTGTAGTCTTGAATGCACTTTTTTAGAAGAAGCTACTTCCTTATCATGTCCCCCTAACCTAATAAAAGCAGATAAACATTGCCTTTAACATTGGTCTGAACTAGGGAAATAATTATAAGGCAGGTCTGAAACAGGATATTGATTTAAGGGTCAGGTCATAAATAGGGTATCAAATTTTTGGTTAGGTCATAAATAGGGTAGGGAAAATCGCAGATTTTGGTCATGAATAGGGTAAGGGTTTTGGAAAGCGGGCCGCACACCCCTACCCAATTTTTCTGCGAGTACCCCCCCCGGGGGAAGCTGGCAGAAGAAATAAGCCTTCTATCGGCATTAAAGCGCCTGCCATCTTCTGGTCCTCCGGCCAACGGTAATAAAATTAACGCCAAAAAAATCCAGATTTCGCCCAAATTGAAACTTACCAGGAACAATATATCATTGATCTGTAATCCTGAAAAGTTTTAGTGTAGTATTGAACTCGGCCAAGCGCGATGCAAACGGATTTTTCAAGGTTCTCTTACTCTCCTCGCATCTTTTGAATTCGCGACATCCTGTCCAAAAATCAAAGTTTGGTGCATGCGCAGTAACGGGATACTGTTCCTTTATATCTCAACATATTTCGAAATTCATACCGAAGTTAATATTTACTGTAAGTTTTGGAATAAATTTCCACTTAATAACCGTCAACTGTAAGCTACGAAATTTAACCGTCAGTCGTCAAAATTGAAAAAATGTAACTGTCAACCGTCAAAGCTACCACCCCATTACAGCAGTTAAAAGAGATACAAAGTTCTAAACAAGGTATGTGAAGGGGGTACCATCTGTCAATAGAAGGCATTTAAAAGGGGTAGGGGTTCGACCTGGGCGCGAAGCATTCCGGCATAAAAGTTTGTCGAGTCCAACACGCGCAATTTGTTGTTTTACGCCTAGGCTAAACGTGGAACTTTTCATGACACGAACTAAACTCTGATTTGGGTCGACCTAAATTAAGTTCAGACCGTCTGTTGGGTCGCAAACGTCGAACTTAAGACACTGGCGTCTGAAGCAGACGGATAGAACGTGTTGAACGATCCAAACTCATTCAGAGGAAATTAACTGAGCCAGACGTCCAACTTTCCATGAAGTTTACTCACTAACTTTGGTTCGTCTCATGAAAAGTTCGACGTTAAGAAAAGTTAGGAAGTTAAGAATGGTGGACGTCATCAGAAGCAACAGCTGATATATTTCTTCATGATTTTATATTACATCCGTCTTACTGACCTTCAGCCTATTTAGTTAACTACGACTGGAATAAATTTTACCACAACATACAAAAATAACTTGCACAAAAGTAATATTTACAACCTGGACTAGTACGTTAAAGAAACATTTTAACGAACTTTAAACACACTACAATATAATTATTTTCAAAATACCTTATACCAAGTTTAATTTTATGGGCACGTCAAGTTTCACCCCTTCAGGGACACGTCAAAAGGGAGAAAAAAACCCGAGACTGCTTCCAGCTGGTATAGAACACTGTCTACAGTAATTGTTAACTCTTTCTTAGTGAATACCTCGCTAAAACAGACACCTGGAGTTGGCCCCTGCCCGCTTTCTTTACTGGATTTCTTTTAATGGAATCTCTTCAAGATAGACATCTCCCTAAGATGGACACAAGGTCCAAAAGCTGTCCATCTCAGAGAGAGTCGACTGTAATACTACGAAAATAAAACCATGATTAGGGGTTCAAACAGTCGCTCATCAGTCACTCGGGTTTCCACTTTGGCAGATCTGAGAGAGAGAGCAGAGGAAAACAAACCGAAAGAGGAATTTCCTCCACAACAATCACTAGGATATACTACCAAAAGTCTGTTTGACATTTGGTGTCTATATTCGTTTCAAGCTCGACAGAGTGAAGATAGGGATACATCAGGGGCACCCGACGATTGTTTTCTGTAAAATATCTGTTCGGAAAAGCAAATAGAATTTTCTATGACTTGAGGACAGCTAAAAATTTGTGTATGACCGTTCCACTCATGTACAATTTCCGAAGCTTCTCTAATAAATAAATTCCCTACGAGTTTAATTTTCCACATTTCATACCCCAGGTTAGGCTACTTTTCGTAGGGAAAAGAAAACCTAAAATGGTTGGATTCAAAAATGTGATGGAGAGAGGAATCAAAAAAAATTTCACTTTCGTAAAGCGCTAAATTGCATCTAAAATTTTCGGGAAAATAATAATGACACTTGAGTTCCCCTAGGATGACCGAACAGATACAAATTTTATAGCGCTGATTAGGATGCATTTGTAAAGGTCTTAAAGTATTCTGGATAGTCTAAAACAGTGTTTTCAATGCATCATTTGGGAGGAAACCGTCGCTGGGTGTCCCTGATACATGAGGGAGAGGATTGAACCGCAAAACCCACAAAGTAGATGTGCATGGTCAAACACTTGGTTAATCACTAGTGACCAGCATCCAATTTCCCCTAACAGTGATACTGCCTGATAAAATAGAGAGGTCATGAGAATGTTTGAAATGATCACCAGACATGATATGTCTTGATGATTGAACAAATTCTCTTAAGCAGTACCAGAAAAAATGTAACAAGAACAGTGTGGAGAAAATGCATGTTGATCTTGGGGTTTAAAGGATAAATAACTCACAAAGTTCCTTACAAACGTCATGTAGGAAATTTCCTTGACAGTCAATTTTCGTATTTTACCGTTACAATTTTTTTCAGGAATAATTGTATTTATCTGACTTGAGAAGCAAAGAATTGTCCCACAAGCTCTTAACAATGTCACAAGGATCAATTGTAGTAAAATCTAAATTGTTCCATTAACTTACGACACGTTGAACTTTGCTCACATTAAACTTGGAGTGCATAGACCTACCCTTAGAACCTGCTTAGCCTGATTTAAATGCAATCATTGTAGTGATCGCCTGAGTCAGTCATTTCACAAAATGTTTGCCCTGCGTTAGGGAATCCGGATTCCTTTCCGGATTCCAGAATCTTGGAAAGTTTTGCTTGTAAAACCAGGAATCCTGGGCCTTGGAATTCGGAATACAGCTATAGGAATCTGGAATCTGGAATCCCACTGCAGAGTGGAATCAGGAATCTGACTTCCACTGACAAAGACTTCAGAATCCAGTAGCTGGAATCTGAAATCCGCAGCATGGAATCCAGAATTCAAAACTGTCCTGGATTCCCTAACAAGGAGCAAAGAAGACAACATACTGCAAGTCCTCTATTAAGCTCCCGGGGGGGTGGGGGGTAAATAGAGATGGGGGGCTTATTTGAGAGGGGGGGCGCGTATTTAATTTAGAAAAGAGGATGGTATCAGTTCTCCATAAAAACCTAGAATACAAAGTGGAAAAGCTCAAGTACAAGAAGGTTGGAGGTCTTGCAGCCGAGGATCAGAAACAAATCCGAAATACCATTTGGTAAATAAACCATGCCGGATGAGTCCACACAAAGTTTAACAGCTCTGAGTTTATCAAAGTTTATCAGTGAAGAATAGTGAGGGGAGGGGGTAAGGGAGCTTAATAGAGAGGAGGGGCTTGTTAACTTTCTTTCCTGAAAAAGGGGGCCTATTAGACAAAGGGGGCTTATTTTAAGGGGGGGCGTAGTAGAGGATTTACGGTACGCTAGCAACAACAAGAGCTCAGCCTACTTTCAAGCCTTCCTTAGAGGTTAGGAGAGAGGAGAGGGGGTGAGGAGAAGGACCGTCTCCCCTTTTCGCTTCTCTCTTCTCCTTTTCTTCCTAGAAACACTTGATACTCAGGCTAACAAGAGGCGTGCCAGTTAAGTTGAACTTGAATATGTCTAACCTGCGAGCAAGCTCTCCAGGGCGCTTTGCCTGCAGGGCAGGAAAAGGAAGGAGAGCATGCAACTACATCTCTGGAATTTGATACTCCACCACCAAATCCCCTCATTAGTAATGTCATCTTCGCCAAGCAGCATTTTGCATCAACTTTTTGCATACAGATATTTAACTTCCAGAAACATAGTTGCAAGCTCTCCTTCCTATTTCCACCCCACCACCAGAGCGCCCAGGAGAGCTTGCTCTTAGGTCAGAATATGTTTACGGGGGCGAGTGTTTTATCAAAGGTTCTAAACACCAAGAAACAGATGAAAATAGGAAGCCCTATAATTATCATCAACATCTGTTGCAATGAGTAGAAGTGCATGTAATGTTAGGCCTATCCAGCAGGCAAGACTACAATGTGCTACAATGATTATTATTTTGATCCATTTGATTATTATTTTTCAACATTCACACCTTTCTCAACTATGTGTACATAACCAACTATACTTCACCGGTTCTTGGAAATATGTATGGCAGTTGCAATTATTACCCTTGAGGTGGTTAGACACATGCAACATGGTTCTCAAATACTTGTATTTCAGTCAAAAACTGTTTTCTAGTTGATGTTAATTGTTACCCTGTAAAATTTATTTTACGTAATATATTTGAAATAAAGTATTTGTAAGACGCCAAAAAATGCCTCTCAAAAACGAAGTTCTTTCCTGCCTAATTCCAGCAGTCAATTTTGACTGTTCATGAGACTGTTCATGACCTCAAAAGCAAAAGTACAACTTCTCATCATACTAGATATTATTTCAATATTTCCTTTAAAAATTATGGTTTTGATAACCTTGTTCCTACCCGGAAGTTCACACTTCCTGGTAGCCTAGAAAATAATTTATCAATAACTTCCCTCTACAACCACTTGACACTGCCAAGAATAAATTGAATGCTATCATTATTTTAAAAAACTATGCCGTGTTCACACTTAGGCATTTATAAACAAAGTTTTGATTTACTGAAGTGCTGTTTCTTTATCATGACACATTAGCACTGTGTATTTTTACTGGATCTGACAACCTACATGTACGTTATCTGTCAATATTCACCACCTAAATTAAACAGAAAAATATTAGAGCAAAAGCAGCGAAATCTGTTTTGGAATTACAGGCAAGAATTACTCTAGTCCTAGAGGTAGAAATGCTAGCTATCTTGGTTAGCATGGATATCTAGTTCAAACCTAAGGATCATTCTTTGGACTGATTTCAAGATAAGTGCAACAAATATGAATTTAGTAAAATGTAAAGAGGAAAACATCATTAACTCATCAAGGAAAACATTTTTGGCTTTAACAATTAGGTTCAGTGCACTGCAAGGATTGTAGGATTTCAGCGTTGCAGTTCACTTCAAGGACAATTAAAACCATTAAATGTGATTTAATAAATCAATCAGAAAACCATTGGACATGATTGTAGGTAATTCTCACTTCAGTAACCAAGTAACATGTATGGTGTACATGTAAACCCTGCCTCATTGCCTAGATAAGAACCATTACTATACATGTACCTTGGCAAAAACTGTTGTCACTGATACATTTACTGAGATAACAGTTGATATTTATACTCACAAAACGTTTACCTAGATAAACTTTGTTAGCACTGTAAAATGCTCAAGTGTAAACACGGTATAAGCTACTTAAATGCAGCATTTCACACCAGCGTAAGTAGCCATGATAGGCATCCACTTATTCAACCAATGCTCCTTACTGAAGATTCAAACCAAGTGAGTCCAATCACACAGATAGATACACACAGTATGGAGCAACATTGTAGAAATGATAACACGAATGAATGAAGTAATGTGATATTACTGCACATACAGTACATGTATTTTAATTGAAACCTCTCTGCAGGCTCTGTATATGGTTTGCATGGCACTAAAAGTCATTTTTCTGTATCTTACAAACTGAAATTTAACAGTTACTTTTTACTTTGATCTTTAGGGGTAAACTAAGGACTTGGAAAGTTAAAAATTAATATGGGGATACTGTGTTCTTCATACACACTAATACATTAGAGTTCCATGAACAAGCTTCTTGAAGCAGCTTTCATCATTTGTACTTAAAAAGGTGAAATTGAGGACCCCTTCTTCACCAAAGTGGTGCTGAGAAAAAGCACAGAGAGCTTCAGCTCTGAGCTAGATTTTCCCAGTACTCAAATGTCTACTTACAGTGATGCGGGGACAGGATCAGATATACTCAGCACCTTCTTGCGGCGGTGGCACATCCTTTACTAAGATAATACGGTTAAATGCCTTGAGACGTTTCCACAGCTGCACATAAACTTTACACTGCACATACATGAACACCAAGCCACCTGTGAATCCAATAGCTACGACCACTAGTTTGGTCCAGAAAGGCCAATTTAGCTGGCCTTGCTTAATTTCCTCTGCAGTACGCTCAATCAGCACCCACAATGACCACACAACACATGTGATGGCAATCACATGGAATGACACTGAACACAGGATCTTGCGCCTTTCACTTCTTGTCATGTCCAAAGCCTTCCACTGAAAAAAGAAAAAAAAACACATTAGATTTTGGTGATAAGTATGAAAGTTTATGGAAAATACAAAAGAAGTATGCCTGTCCAAAATGTCGTGTTCCACAGGGGGGTGAACAAAAATCCTGAAATGTTTCTAACAACGCAGGTCGCATGTTATCCAAAACAGCTGTCAACAACTTTTGTAGGCCTTCAAATACTCTTGTGCCCATTACATGTAATTCTCCCATCTTTTAAATTATGTTTTCTTTTTTTTTGGGGGGAACCAAATCTGGACTTCAGTAAGAGTCAGAGTATCAAAATAATACATTATGTAATAACAATGATAGTAACAATAACATACAGAATGTTTTTACAATGACGATATCTTTTTACACATATAGCCTTTGAGGAAAACAATATGACCTTGCGTTTCTAGCTAGGCCAAAAAATAAAATTAATATCTCTCAAATTTTTTGGAATTTACTGACTTTTCCCTCCACTTAAAAAACCGTTTTTTCCTTCCACTCCCATGGCAAACCTTTAGAAAAGACTTTACTTACTTTTGTGATAGGCTTCATCTTAGATTCCATGATAAACTCATATTTACACAGTTCACATTTTTTTGTGTCTGAACTTTTAATCCACCTCTGTAGACAACTCTGATGAACATACTGCAAAGAGCCTGAGCATAAGCAAGGAGAAATAAGAGGCTGGTCAGGCTCTGCCTCGCAATGACATATCCTACAGATTTCCATGGATGATGCCACAGAGGTAACTGATACACTTTTCTTGGCTAGTGGCTTGGGTTTATCGTTGCTGCTCTCCGTAGTTGGTATTACGGCTGGCCCGTCTGATAGCTTTGGTTTGGAATTCTGGAAGTAGTGCAATGTACATGCGATATTATATTGACAGTCTGAGAGTATTTTATTTGTTGGGCTAATCGACATTCAATTAATCCTCCCATGTATTTGTTGAATTACTTATTTATTTTTAAATTGATAATTAAAATCCAAATTAAGTGAAGAAGGTCCCTACTCTTCCCAGGTTTTGTAAATAAAATCAATCTCAGATACCAAACAGAATCCAGGCCATAAATAAGCAAGAGAAATCCCTCCCGTGCTTTCTGTTCCTTTAATAAAAATAGTTTTATATTAATTTTATCTATAATTATGTAATCATTTACCCCCTTTCTCTTTTTCCTTCTTTTGCATTTTTTTAAATCACTTCAATGTAAATGTGCATTTAGGCCTGGTTTAGATGCCAGACTTGATTCAAATTTAGGCCAATCCAACAAAAGTACAGCTGCTGGATTACAAGGCATGACATTTTATTACCCAAACTAAATGCAGCTTTTAAATCAAGCTGTCACTTAAGTCAGCCAGCACAGCAGTATTATATGACAATAATTTATGTGATGGCCAGTTTCACACAATTTTGTTCTTAAAATCGTATATTTGGGCATAATCCAAGCTTAATATGGACAATTTGTTATCAAACTGAAATGCTGATTTGCATTAAAACTCACAGCAAATATGCAGCAAAAACTGAACTGAAAATTGGCAAACTTCACTAGCTTTTTTCCCAAAATCAATTTAGAAAGTTGGGGATGTGGCTTATCCACGTATGTTAACAGTAAACTTTGTTTCAGTTTTTTAAAAGGCAAAAAAAAATGTAATTTCTGACGATTGAGAGACAAGTTGGAAATTAATGTTCTGACAGCAAAGTTTCAAGAGGCGAGCAGGTGTGCGTGGGATAGTTTCAGACTATTTATGCTTTTGGCGCGGGATTTGTGGCATTCTACCACAGCTCAGTCATCATGTTTGCTTTACAAAGTTCCTTTTCTGATAGTTTTTTTCTTAAGTGTTAAGTTTTTGGAATCACCTTATTTCACTATATAGCTTAATATGTATTTAGGTATTTGGACCTGCATTCTTTTAAATTTATTGCCTCTTTTTGGATTGGCCTCTGTAACAAGGTATTCACCATTCTATGCCTTGCGCTTAAACCCTTTCCCCGTGGTTTCATGCCACTGCATTAGTAGGGGAACACGTTTCCACACATTTTTTGGCCCCTTCTCAAGGGTGGTTTTTAAGTGCTTTTTCATATCTGGCATGGCAAATGTTTATGCCTAGAACATGTAATAGCTTTTATGCTGGAAGCATAACATTGATGTAACTTAACTAGGATACAGTACATCAGGATCGGATGACCGACTAACGTATCCTGATTAAACTTTCAACATTGAATGTCTCGTATTAGAGGAGTCAGAATCACCTATGATAACACCTATTAATAGAGATTTAGCCAAGGCTAAAAGCAAAGCTTTTGTTAATATCCATTGTTTGCTCAAACAAAATACAAAATCGTGTAATAATACGCAGTGACAGCAATGAAAAGGGCCAAAAAAAATCAGTAGGTCTAATTAGCAAAACACAACTTTGCACGTGCACCACTCTTTCTTTGTACATTTCATTGCCATTGGTATGCACAACTACAACCTGAAACTTTCAGAAACTTCCTTGTTACACGTCTTATGAAGGAAATGTTGTATGCGTCCCTGTTCACTTCTTTTCGCTCCCGCTCATTTTCACCTCGGTGGCCGCTAGCATTTCTCATTTTCTCACCACAGCTATAAAATTTTCACGTTTTTCTTCCAACAAAATTGTTCTCCTTTGTTTTTTAATCTCTCGCTCTAGCTCTTTCTCTGTTATCCACATTGATAAAGAGATTAAAATTAATTCAAAAGAAAAAATTGCCTTTGTTGCTGTTGTTTTTTATCTCTAAAAGTCCAGGAGGCTATGCGATTTACCAACGAAAAGCGCGGGTGCTTGAGATGCAAAGTTTCACCCTAAGATTACGTGACGGGGTGGACACACATACGGACAATTTCGTCAGAACCAAAATTTCTTGAATGCATACATAACCAAATTTTCTCACACATGGTGCTCCGCTGCGCATGCTTTGAGCATGCAAGAGCTCCGCTATAACAAATGAAAAATATATATAAAAGTTATCCAAAGTTGAGACCAAGACTCTTATGGTGCTTGACATACAAATGCTAACAAACTTTGCTTGGTCGTCAAGCAAAATGGGATGAAAACAGAATGACCCAATGAGTCATTCCACTCACCACCTCTGGGATATCAAAAAAACCCTGAAAATAGTACCTAAATAGTGTTCTGCAGGGTGGTCAGAAAGTTTTGAAGTAGACGGCTGAGTTGTCAAAGTAAGCGGTCAGTCCAGGGGTACTTTATTTAATAACGGCACCTGTAAAGAAATGCCAAGCAGAGTAGCCAGCCAATACTAACCAAGTAGGTGGCGATTTTCGCCCGCAGCCGGCTACTTTTGACAACCCTGCTTAATCAAAAGTTGATTGCTTTAAGTTAGCACTTTCAAGGGACATTATGAAATCACCGTTAAAAATCTTTCATGTTTCGCCCTTCAGGCTATCATCTTGATTGTGCTCAGTTTTAATGACGAAAAACAAGAAAAATTGTCATGCCTCACATTAAAGTTAAGTTTTGTTCAACAAATTATTATAGTTTAAAGTTATTATTGCAGCCATTTAAGTTTACCAACAAAATCATACATTGTGCTATTGTCACTCACCAGTATAGCACCTTTAAAGATATTCAGAAGCATTATTGTAACCATGCTCATATTACAGGTTTCTGCCCAATCACAACCTGTTTCAAGCAAAAATTTCTGCATAATTTTCACAAATGAATTTGCCCCAGACAGGCCTTCCCATCTATTTTTAAAACTGACTCAGAGAAATGAAGTGCAATGTCAAATTTACATTTAAAAAAAGAAAAAACAGAATTTTCAGTGCATGCAATGACTTTCTGCATAGAGTCAAGACAATATTGTGCATTCATAAATCAACAGAAAGCAAAAATAATTTGAACTTGATCCTTTGAGCAATGGATAAAAGATGTTACGACTGCAGACAGAAACCAAAACAGTCTAAAAGCATTTAATTGCTACCAGTCAAACTAATTAATTTAGAACCTGACATATTTTTTATATTTTCTTCAACAAGCATATTGTAATAACAGAGTGCACTACAAATCAGAAACAAATATGATGGGTTTTGTGTGGAAGTTTATTTAAAATGTGCGACCTCCATAAAATTAAAAACACTATCACTGTGAACCACACAGAGATAACCTTTAGACACCTCTCTGAACACTTTCATACTGTACATTTCCGCGTGGTTTACAGAATATAAAACTAAAAACTGAACATTTTGCAACAACTTCCTGTCTCTGGGGTTAATAAAGATACCCTACATCAGAAACAGGAATTATTAAGGAGTAAACGCGTAAAACATGACCATGACGAAGTGATGTATCCTTAAGTTACAAGTTGAGCACGGGAAGCTTAGACGGCAAGCTACGAGAGACAATTTTACGCCGCTTATATTATTAGCTCGAGAGTTACATTTTTGTTATGTAATTTAAAGCTTCAAAAATGAATTTTGCTGGTCAATAAGCCCCTCTCTGAGATTTCCGACGTATAAAAATAAAATCACCTACGTGTTCTCAATTGGCGCCCGGAAACTGCTAAAATTCAGTGAAGAATCCGAGGCGGTCGGATCAAGAACCAGACTGAGCGTCTCCATTAAAAAAATAACAGAACAACGCGGCCAAAATAAAGAGACAATAATCATCTCTATTCACCCAGATTTGCCACATAAAAAAGCAAGGTAAGTGCGTTTCAAAAAAGGCGAAGCGAAGCAAGAAACGCTAGTTAACCTCATTCAATTTACGTTACAAAGCTTGCTGTGAGAGTAATAACCAAGTTCGAAGAGAGACCGTCCGCAGATACGGAAGAAATCCAGTGATCGTTACAGATGTCTTGTTTTTAGAACATAAGACGGGATGCCTTCTGCTGTATACTTCGCAGACGCCATTTTTCGAGAATTCGATCGTTCCATCAAAGATAAACAAATCGAAAAGGTGCGAGAAGTCCGCTGCGAGTTTCATAGGCCGAATGTAGGTGAGGTGAGCTAAATTACGATATCAAAGAGTACTTAAGAAAGCATTTCTTAAAGAAAAACTCACCTTTCTCTCCTTGTTGTTAGTCTGTTGTAAAGTGACTGGGTTTACGACAATTTGCTGTACGGGCATCGTTTTCACCTCTATAAACGTGAACATTGAATGTCCAGTTCGGTCAGTCCTTCATCCAAAATACACTAAAATCCTCGGTATGTCCTCCATTTGAGTTTTCACAGCCTTTTTATTTCGAAATTGGGAGTAGAGAGAGAATTAAGCGAAGATAAACGGTAGTAGCTTTTGGGCAAGCGAGTGAAAAAGATGGCGGAAGATTATAAACCCCTCTGAAGTTGTCACTGGACCTGAAAAAACATTCTGACGTATCATGATATCGGCCCTGTGATTGGCCAATCGGATGATTTATTTAGCAGAATATGCATATGTTCGTCCGCAACGAACAGACAGGGAAAAAAACATCCATTGAACATCCTGTGTCAGGATCTCAAGGAAGATCACGACAAAAAGCTTTCCTCCCCTTCTTTCGCTTTGAATATTCCTGGTATATATATAACGATTTTCGTAGGCTTATTTACAGAGGTAAAGATGATTATGTTGCTTGGTTTTATCCGTCATCATTGTTCGATATTGCACCTGTCTAAAACCTCTTTTTTGCAATACTTCAACGTTCCTGTCAAGTTGAAACTTCACAAAGTTTAATGTGATTCATTCATCCCTCGCGTTGGTTTCTAATTTCAAAGTACGGAGAGAAATTCATGAAATAGTTTATGATCAAATGTGGCTAAACATTCTTTTTTTCATGTTCAGCTGATGGCATTTCTTTTTCTATTAATTGTTGTTAGAATTCATCGGCATGATTCAGCAATACATTACAACCTAGTGATAAGTCTCTCAGTCCCGTAATCCCGATTGACGGTTTATCGGCTTGTCGTGATTCCGAAAATGAATTTAATTCAAAATCCTTCGGAAGCCATGTGAAAGATGAAGGGAAAGTTGGGCATCTCATGAAATCGAAATGAAAGGAGTTTATTTTTCTCACCGGATATGGGTTCATTGTAGTAACATTTCCCGAACTTCCGTATCCCATTCATAATGACAATCCCGAATACCACTCCCAGGTTCCTCTATAATCCAGGAACTCTGTCTTGAAATATTCTATAAATACGAAATCCCCATTCTATCTTGGTCCTAAGAAGAGAGAACGATTGTAGTGCCGTCCTCATCACGCCACCAAACTATCTCGCCACCAACGAAATCGCCGTCAACCAACTCGCCACCTAGAAGTCCAATCGCCACCAAGAAATAACTTCGCATTAATCGAACCTGGGATTGCTTACCTTAAATTTGGGATTTTTGTTGGAGGCGAGTCGACTTCTTGGTGGCAACTACTTTGGTGGCGGGATTTGTTTGGTGGCGAGATGACCGGTTACCGCGAGAAACAACTGGCGAAGGGTACAAGTTTCAATAAGTTTAATTGTTCCGCAAAAAGATAAGAATAACAATAAAAACAATAAAATTGTATTGGCCATGTAACAAATCTTTTATTGACCATTTTTTTTTAGGCAAGATCGCTAAATATTGACAGTTTTGCTTTTATCAAACGAGAGGCGAACACAAGCCAAAGGAATCCTAAGGGACCAGTCATAATTTAAGTTGGGGGGGTGGGGGGTGGAGGAGAAATTGTTTTTTATCCCGAATTATTTCCAGACCCCTACTCAATAGCACCCATGTCTCTTAGGTACCCCCCCGTCAATCATGTTAAAAGATTTAAGGGCCCCCCTTTCTTACATAATACCCAAATGGTAATAACAAATAACATTTTCTTTACTTTACCTTTCTTACTCACTGTCACTTCCGAATGTTCCAACTACATAATCGTCATCTGAGAGTGATTCGTCATCTTGCTGGTCAGCATAGGACATGGAGTCTGCCATTTCCAACTATTTCTCTTTTATAGAATTAAGCTCATTATTTCGCAGTACATGGCAGCTGATGGTTTTTATTTTGTCACTTTTTTTACCATACTTGCCAAGTCCATGGGCAGTTAGATATTTCTCAAGTTCTTTGACAGTTAGTTGTTGCAATGTTTCTTTTAGAGACATGTCTAGCCAGTCATACTCATTGTATGTTTTTAGGTCTCGTTTGCTTTTGTCAGTTTGCCTCTGAGTAGACCTGATGGATTCTTTGAGTCTCAGTGTTGTCAGGTGCTCCAGATATGAACGCAAGTATTTTTCATCAACAGCGAACTTTGTTGCATATTCTTTAATGGCATCTGTATCATTGAGGGTTATTTCTGATGAATTAAATAAGCGTTTCAACTGAGCCCTTGGCTGCCAGTCATCAGGATCTCTGCGGCTACCATCATCATTTCGCACTGGCGTACAAAACACGCTCTTATAGTGTGGAGGCAACCTAGTCCCTAGGCGTTCTCTCTTGCCCCGATGTCCGCGCGAAGTCTGGGAAAGAGAGGGCGTGTATCTCGGCGTGTATCTCTCGGTGACGTCAGAGCTCACGGTGACCGAGCCGAGAACCCCTAGGGACTAGGCTGGTGTGGAGGGTTCTTGGGGTCGGATAGTGAGATTGCGTGACATGATTTTATGCATGTAATCATTTGTTAAAATGCCAATGAAATTGTTTCAGTGTTACACAATAATGGATGTTGTGTTGATTCACCTACTATTTGAGCATTAAATCCGGCTTTTTGTCAAAATGCTGATTAAATTATTTAGTTAGGACTTTGTGTAAAACTGAATCAAAATCAGGTCCTTTAATACTCAAGCATCATGCTACTCAGTGGGGATGCTACTTAAAAGAAACTTGAAGACCCCCCAAAGTCATCTTTTGGCATTTTAAGGCCCCCCATATTCCATCCAAACAAAATTGAAGGCCCCCAAATTTCTCCTCCCCCCCCCCTCCCCCCCTCCAATTTAAATTATGACTGGTCCCTAAGCAGCCAGGGTTAACGATTCACACGATTTCTAACACGTGTCTTGCGTGCGGCAATATATAATTTTAGTAGATTCACAGTACTTGTTGATCCGTAAGCAATGAAATTAGCCAATTCCCCTAAAGTGTCTTCTAATGTGCGCGACATACTTTTAAAGTTGGGTCAGGAGCCGATCTTGGTTGGTTAGAAGTCAGGCGCTCGCGAAAACAGATCGGTGGGCGCGCGCGGTAGGTGCGCAGGATAGTCGACCAAGATCTGTCCGAGTGAGGAAGATTTCCAGGATTATAAATTTTCTCCTCGACAACAAAGAGACTTAAGGATAACTTTATGAGTATAACCGTGCTAAGTAAGTGAAAACAAAATGACACAAAACAAAAATTAAACAGTTAGCATCTTAGATAATTTTGTTGGAAAATGGGTCCTGAGTATTTCACCCAAACTGGCCACTCCTCCCTGCTAGTCCGGCCACTTATCATATACTGATAATAATTTATTTTTTAGTGCACAAACAGTTTGAGAAACACGCCATTAACTCCTGTCACATTTGATAGCCTCACTATGAACTTCGTTAGTAAATGAACCTTAACCTGAAATGCACTTTGCATATCTGTTGAGCTCTATGGTCAATTCAGAAGAAGGCGTCAAAATGTTTTCCATTTACAAAGTAAACAACAGCTTTCTGCCGAGGAATAAACAAGAGTTGAGGCAAGCCGAAATTTATCAAAACTTGTATTTCTGTAATTTGCGGGTCTATAACACTTTCATTCTCGTTGATGTTTAGTGTTTCGAACCCCACACCATAAAATTTAAGCAATATCACACCATCTACAGCCACTTTGAACAAAAGAAAAAGTTTGAACAGAAAATTATAAAACTGTCAAGAAAATGTTTATTAGTACAGCTGGGAAAGGATTTCTAAGCGGCCTCCAGACTGGCTCAAAAAGTAAAGACGTGGACCACAGTGCTGTTATTTTGGTTAGTTCGTTCTAAAAAGCCTAATATCAGACTGGTGTTTTGACTGGTTGACATTGAGCCTTTTTTTTACTCTGAAAGCGATGAGTTTTCTTTACGGAGTCAAGATTGTAATTATTAATCTATTTATCGCCGTCCTGATAAGAAGTATTGTTGCGTTGCCGGCTTCGAGGATGCTAATGAGAAGCACGGAAGACGAAGGAGCATTAAGCAGGAAAAAGGGTGGAAAAGGAGAAAAACTTCCACCTTGGGCCGAGGCACACGGACATGGTAATCAACTTCATTATATTTTTCTTAATGATAGTCTTCAATTTTTTAGATACATATTAACTTAAAGGCTGACTTGGCTAAAAAGATAAACCTTTTTGGGTGAACGACACTAAAGCTGGAATGGACAAGGGGCAGCTGCAGGGTGGTTTTTGCTTGAAATCGAGATTGTGAAGGTACGTGGCACTCATGTTCTAAATTATGTGTTTGATATTGTCAAGGCCAAAAACGATTTCACCAAGTTTCTGCGAGGTACTGACTTCGTGTACTTTTAATAGTGAAATTTGATTAATTGCTAATAATAGCTCAAGCAGGATTTACCTACAACATTGAAGACATAACTGGCTTTTGTCCGAGTCGTTTCTGCTGGCGAAACGGATTAGCAACCTTGGGCTCAGTTGTCACGATGCCGGGGATCTGAGGGACGGAGAGCATTTTGGCCTTTGCAGTACTCCCTGGAACAAAAATTCAGTTCATTTGGTTATACTAAAGCCAAGTTGTTTTCGATGGGTTTGTCACTTGGTTGGCGGACAAGCCGGTCCTTTAGGGTCCAAAAAAAAAGCCAGAGCCACGCCCAGATTGTTTTTTTTTTCTGGGGTTAATCCTAATTTTTTCCTACTTCCGCCTTTACATGGGAGTCCCAGGGGATAGACTGTGTACTACCTATTAGAGAAACAGCAAGAGACAACAGGGTAGAGCGCAATACCTTTCAGACTTGGGTAAACTTGAAACCCTGTCATTTCAAGAACACGTGAACTTGACTGTAGGCAGAAATCGTATCTCTTTTAAGAATCCTTGGCAGACTTAATCGAATCCTTGGTTTATACTTACTTTTCTTCAAACATAAGCTGACGAGTTACAAAAATGTCGATTCTGAATGAAGAAAGAACAAAGCATAACTCACCTCCCGCGAGGTCCGATATCAAAATTATTTTTCTTTCACCTTATCTTCATGTTTACATAATCCATTTTCAAATTGAAGGTTTTATACTCGATATCACTTTGAAAGTGAGGGCTTTTGCAACTAAAAAAAAAACAAAACAAAGGCCAGCTGCCCCTATTAAGTCGTAGTCAAGTTTATTTTTACATGCTTTACTCTTGCTGGAAACCACTGAATATTGTTATCTTCGAACCCAATAAAAAGCTAGACAGTTTTAACTGTTCCAGCAGTTTAATAACGTTTAAAATATTACCACAGTGTGTGTGTGAACAACTGTTGTTTGACTTACCCAGGTTACACAAACTAGGCCATAAGGCTCATAATCTTATAAAATTTAGATGTGGGAGGGGCTGGAGGACAGCTTGAATTTTGACTTGATTAATTTGCTAGAAAAGTGGGGGTTGGGGGCGGGAATAGGTGGAGAGATTTAATTTTTAGTAGTTAACCCATGCATGCATTCGTCTACCTGAGCGATGTGGCTTATAGCCCCTTTACCTTTAATCGAGTTCTTCTTGTAACTAGCCCTGGATTAATCAGTCTGTAAGAATCGTCCTTCCAACAAGTCGGTCCTAATTTATTATACAATTTCAGGGGCTTCAGTAATATATCAAAAAACGAGATGGAATGTTTTATGCGATATCAAAACTACGATGCCGGTAATATATCTAAACACGAGAATGAGTGTTTCATTTGATATCCATGAACCGAGGAGTAATATATCCAAATATTAGAAAGAGTGTTTTCGCTGATATACAAACACCGATTCATCTGATATCATATCAAATATAACAAAACCAAGTAAGAGTGAGGTATCCGATTTTTAAACATCGATATATAAGTGATCTGTCAAACACGAGAAGGAGTTTTTCTTCGGGTATCCAAACACTAAAAAGTGCGCTGGCGCACCCGAGTGTTTTTACTGGCTTTTTTCTATGAGCAAAAGTGCCATGTGGGCTCTTGCTTTGAGGTGAATGGAAATCAGATCCTTAATTTTGAGTGTGTTATCTAACGTTTTTTTGTTGATCAATATATCTTTGGGAAATTCCAGGTAGGAATTCATAAAACTCTAAGGCAATTAGTATCCTATATTCAACTTTCCTTTCACTTCTTCTTCTTCGTTTTTTGTTCGCAAATAGACAAGCTTGAGGGAGACATAAAATTGTCCCCGAACGTAGTAGCGCTTGTCGCTGAGGGCGTAAGAAGAAGAAAAAGGCCACACACGAGAAGGGGTGCTGTAAATAACAAGATCTACTTGTGGAGCAATGGACAAGTGCCTTACGAGATTGATTCAGTGTTTGGTAAGTGTTTTATACAACGCTCTTGAACTTAGCCCCAGGAACCACCTTTACTCGAACTTTCGTAGTTTTTGTAAGGTAATAACAATGTATTAGTACAATCTGGCAAAAGTAACGCCACAAAGCGCGGCGTCAAGGAGGCCTTTGCCGTCAAACAAAGACACCCATCTCTGAAGAGGAAAGAGTTACTGGGTCTCCCGACCAATTACGATCCTCTCCTGGGAATACGTAACAACCTTTCTTTTTCGTAACCTGACATTTAACATCGCTGATGAAGTTCAAGCGATTCAAACGAAATATTCGATTTTGTCTTAAATGTTGCTGAGCCTGAAATTTGTAAACTAAAGTCGTCGACATAGCAGATAAAAAAAACCTTTTTGGTAATCTTGTTAATGGATTGAGCCTAGAAATCATGTTATATTGAACGGTTACATGTGAAAGAAGTGTGCGGTCAAAATTTTCAGCCACTTGAAAATTTGTCTGGTTCCTTGTACACGTAGCCGAAAATGGCTTAAGATATTTTATTTACTTAAGATCAGATGCTTTCAAGATGAAAAGTACTTACAAAAACTTTTCCTAGATTCTTACCCCAGCGACAGAAAGGCAATATTGGACGCCATTTATGAGATGGAGTTGATATCCTGCGTTCGTTTTACGCCAAGGACAAACCAACAGTATTACCTGCGATTCATCAGGAGCTCGGGGTAAGTGGAAATTTATGGCTTGCTTATAAAACGTTTGATGTTTCGTTCAAGAGTGAAGAGTGACGAAGCTTCAATAGAATGGATTGGATTCCCTATTACTATAAAATATCGAATATAAAAATCGAATATAAGAATAAGCAAATACCGACGTACTGTGTTGGAGTATGGTCTCCTCTAGCTTGAGAAAATGGCCAACGTTTCGTGACACCACCACTGGTTTCTGTAAAATGACGTCTGAGGAACGACTACCCAAATCTTGACAGTGCCTCTGATCAGGATAATCACACAACACATGTGGGAGCTTTTGGTTTGAATTATTCCAGTCTCTTTGATATGGAAGTCCTCTCCCCGAAGGTAAACAAAGTTGATTACAAATTCCCGGCCGTGATGGATAATCTTTGCTGGTAATGATATAAAGACGCTAATCATAACTATAACAAAATTGTCAAATCTGATTGGCTATCAACTGCCCTGATTTCAGCCTTAATTGGACAGTTTAATAGGACAGTACGCGTCATGCCTAAGTAATTGGACAGTACGCGCCAACACGAGCGCGCTTAAATGGCTTTTTTTTTTCAGTGCTAGCTAAACAAAATTTCGAATTTCTTGTGTTTTGATTTAAAATATAGCCTATTATATCACAAATTTTGTTAAAGTTATGATTAATTGGTAACAGAACTTCGTGTCGTCCAATTCGGTCTGTAATCATACTCGTGATTAAACAAATCGGCCTCCCGCTACGCGGTCGTCCGATTTTGTTAATCACGCGTATGATTACAGACCGAATTGGACTCCACTCAGAAGGCTGTAGTGGGTTATCCTCAGCGGATCAAGGCGAGACGAAGTTAACGCGCAAAGAGGGAGTAAACAGTGCGCCCTATACTACTATCACCATAGATCTGTAATAATAGATTAACCTTATTCAGACCGAGGGAGGAGTTGAGCCTTCACGTAACTAAAAAGTTTTATAACGTTTCAAGAGTTCAAGCTATGAACGGCCAAATTAAGTTTCCAGATGACTTCTGAGAAACGAGCGCAGAAAATCCATACTGATGACGCGTCACTACCCAGATCTAGGTAGTGCTTCTGATTGGTCGTGCTGCGTGGGAACTTTTGATTCAAACAATAAGAAGCACTACCCAGATCTGGGTAGGGACCCGTCATCAGTATGGAATTTCGGGGCTCGTTTCTCAGACATCATTTGGCGGGGAAAACAGTGTTAGGGTCGCCAAATGTCGGCTTTTTTCTCAGGCTACCAAAAAGTTATCTAGGAACATCTTAAAAATCGTCGTGAAGTGAACGTCGACATGGACGCTACATTTATATACCATAGAGTTTTTCAAAATTTTCATTTTTTCCTATTTAAAAACGTTTTGTTCCTATTTTTACGTATTGAATTATTATATTACATTTAATTGAGTATTATTTACAGAAGCTCCCCTCCCCGGTCGCAGGAGCAAAAAAAGTCGGTAAGGTTAATATATAACTCTCTGTGTTGTATTCTGGCTAGATGTTGGTCTTATGTTGGTCAAGCACAAATCTTAGGAGGTCAGTCACTCAGCATAGGACATGGATGCGGTTCAATTTCAACTGTCTCACATGAATTAATGCACGCTTTGGGGTTCTTTCACACGAGCTCCCGTTATGATAGAGATTCCTATGTCATTGTCAGGCAAGATAATATCATTCAAGGTAAGGATTTTAACGCCTTTTTTTAGCTGATTGTCGTAAGAAGTATGTGTTTATGAATGGTTTGCATTGCTGCACTTTTTTATGGACAAAAATGATGGAAGAAGATGGATCATTAAAGGCAAGCATTTAGCGCGCTTTTCAGCTGATTACCGAAAGAAGTGTGTGTTTGTTTATACTTGTATTAATGCACTCTCTTATCTTCTGTTGCTCTTAAGGGTTTGAAGCCAACTTTCAGAAATACACTCACGCTCAGATAGACCGACTGGAAGCCCCGTATGATATGAGGTCACTAATGCACCTACCTCAGAATGCCTTTAGTAAGAATGGCTTTGCCACATTGGAAGCACGTGCAGGAAGTCATGTGGTCTTGGGATCGAAGTCAGGCCTGTCGGAGGTTGATAAAGCACAGCTCAATCTGCTTTACGGTTGCACAGGATACGCAAGTGGGTAACGGTGGGACGTTTTATAGGTTTGCCTAACCTAGTGATATTATGAGATGGGAGAACTGTTTAAAACACCCCAAATCAAGTTTTGTTATTTATTTGGTTGTTTTTTTAGATACTAGATAGTAGGATACCGTCAAACCTCTCCAAAAACACCACAGCTAACTTGGAGGGGGGAGCCGTTTGGCGTGAGAGAGGGACGTTGCCGTCGTAGACAAGTTAAAACAGAGGGTGTCCACTAGGAAAATATGTTGCCTGGCGTTTTGAAGAGGTGGCCATTCGGTTCGACTGTATTTAAGGCCATTTAGTTACTGCAATGAGAATATGTGGGTTGAGACTGCTGTTGGTTGCCTTTTCTGCCCTAAGAGCTTTTTTAATTATTATTTCGAGTACTCCACAATTCCCCTCTCTTCAAAAACGAACATTTGTTTTCAAAATCCGATCTCGAAGAATACCCAGTTAGTTTGGGAAATAATTAAATAGTTGCTCGCACTTTTAGTGCGAGATTTTTTTGAACGAAGTTTGTGTTGGACGTCAACTTCCGCTGTGCTTTAGAAAGAAACTGCTTGAAAAACTTAGCCCCAACTTTTACCGCACTAAGTCTTTTCCATTTCTGATAAGGTTGCTTCAAAGCCTTTGGTATGGAATCTTTTCACATCCCGGATTCCCAAATTACCGCCAGCTCGTATCAACAGTACTTTGAGCCATCTCGGGGCAGGTTGCATATGACAGTAAGCGCCTCGGGGAATGGTGCGTGGTGTGCCAAGCAAAACTACCAGCTCGGAGAATGGCTACAGGTTAGACGACATACAAAAAAATCGAACTCTTAAGTGGTCCACCCTTTTACGGACAGGGTTACGTTGACCCTAGCTAGCCATCGCCAACTTGGTTTAGATTATTGCCTTGTTACATGTGACTGTAAGTATTAACAATGAGAGTAAACATATCGATGTAAACAAGCTGCAGATGAAACCAATGATAAATCCACAGGCCGGCAGGATAAAAATAAATGCCGTTTTGGAAAGTTAAACATAGTTTGAACCGATTTTGACCCGAGCGTTGTGTTGCACGGAGCAGCTCAACAGGACAGAAAGAGTACTTGATCCTGAAGACCATCAAATGGAAATTAATGGCTTTAATACAATTTTCCTTTCTGCTCAATCCGGCTTGTGTTTTTTTTCTTTCAATATTTTCAAAGGTGGATCTGGGAGGTCTGAAAAAGGTAACAGGATTTGCCACGCAAGGCAACATGGACTGGCTTAGGGATTCTTGGGTAACGAACCTTGAGGTTATGAGTAGTCGTGATTCTGTAAACTGGTATAAAGAATTTAACGGAAAGGTAAATAATACAGCTACTTATTACCTGGCGTGTTTTCCAGTTACCATGTGCGAGAATTTTAATGTGTAGATATGTGGTGGAAAAACTAGTCACGTGATCTAAGAACTGATTTTTGTTTGAGAACCAAGGTGCCTTGTAGTCGTGGAGCCCATCGAGTGTATAGATGATCGAATTTTTATGATGAATCGATGGCGATGAAACCTTTAAAGTGTATAAAAGAGTATGGAATTTTAAAATGGGAACATGAGGAGAGATTTGCTCCTAGAAGAGTGAAGAATTAATTAATTGCCAAAATCGAACTTGCAAAAGTGTATCACATATGGTCAACTGTGACACAATTCATTTTCACAGATCTTTATCTTTAAGATCGATGTTTCATGCACGAAGGTGTCAAAAAAGCTGCCAATCATGAACCTGTTGGTCTCTAATGCTTAATTAAAGAGGCTCTGTTAAGGGATATACCGTAAAATTCCGAAAATAAGCCCCTCCATGTATAAGCCCCTCCAAATATAAGCCCCCCAAACTCGTTACACAAAAAGCCCTCCGTTAAATCGCCCCTCCAAATATAAGCCCCCCCGGGGGCTTGTACTTGGAAATATGCCCTCAAATACAAACTAAAACAAATCAAAAACGGTAAATTTCCTTCCAACTATAATGCTAGCCCAATCGATTTTGAAACGCAAATTTCCCTCCGTAGATAAGCCCCTCCGAATATAAGCCCCTCCAAAAATAAGCCCCTCAAAAAGGGCCTTTGAAAAATATAAGCCCTGGGGCTTATTTTCGGAATTTTACGGTATGCAGTTTTAGGTTAATTATGTGGTACACACGAAATGCTTCAGTAGAGTGACCAAGAAGACCGGAAATCAATTTCATCAGGGAGGACTATTAATCATAAATTTTTTGGTGATTATTGCAGGCATAGCACCAAAACTTGAAAAAAATGGCGCAATTCTTTCGCGTTTTCACCCATGTCCATCCTTGCTATCCGTTTCAACAGAGAGCAAGCAAACGTTTCAGCGTGTAAAATATAGTCTTAAATAACGAAACTGACCATTATATTTAGAATTCAATTGACGCAAAAACACGTTTTAGCTTTTTTAAAAAATAGCAAATAGCTTAACATGGCCCCTTTATAAAAACAACCCCTGAGCCGACATGCATACGTATATGCTTGAGAAGTCCATGACAATTTGGACCCACTAGAAAGCCTTACAATAGTTTCCTCCGTACTTTTTCTTTTATTACAATGACCAATGTTTGTTCGCTGTATGTTTATCGCTTTTAGATGGTCAGTGCAAACTTTGATGCGAACTCAGCTCAGTATAACGAGGCACCGGCCCCTTTCATCGCTCGATACGTCCGGTTTATGCCGAAACACTGGTACAATGACATTTGTATGAGAGTTGAGATTTACGGCTGCGACTGTAAGTTACGTATTAACTGATAACAAAGCAAATTTGTAACTTCGTAGATTTAACACATACTTTATATGTAAGAGAATCCGGATTCTGGAAAAAGGGGAATTTTTGTTTGTGGAATCCAGAATCTAAGGATATATTGAATTACCTTACATGGAGCGATTTCTTTGAAAGCACATTACTAATGAACAAGGAAGGTGTTACACATCCAATTTTAGTCGCAATAAGTCTCTGCTTTAAAACCTTGGGAGGGCTGTCCGTCTAGTTATAATTACTATCTGTAAGAACCCCTAAAATTCTCTCAAGCTTTTAGCACAGGGAGCTTTTCATTTGTCAGAACTGACCGGCCAGGCCATTCCCGTCGTAATGCGAATTTCACTATTAATAAAAGCTATCCAACCAGATCAGTCAAATCCTAAATAGCATGCACAAAGGAAACTGTTTTTCTCCAAAAACTCTTGGAAAAAGCCTATTTCATTTTCAGAATGACCGGTCCGGCGCCAGATCTGACTTTTTGAAAGCTCCCTCAATTATGAATAATAATATGAACAAACGTTGCCACGCGACATTTACATGTGAAACGATGATTGGCATATTTTCAGAACGCCTTTAGAAATAATCCCTTGGTGATAGGTTATTGCACTTTTCTTGCAGCTTAATCCGCCCTCGCCGGATGTTCACCATCTCCAGGACTTCAATACAATACTGTACTGATGAATAAACTGTAGCGTAGAAGGGGCGTTTATATGTCAAGAATGACTAATTTGGACGAGAAGGGAATTACAGTTGACCCTCTTCACAACGGCCACCTTGGAGACCGACGGAAGAGGCCGTTGTGGAGCGGTTAAACAAGAGTCAATGTATGGACTTTCTGCCGAAAAAGTGGCCGTTGTAGAGAGGTGACCGGTAGTGGAAGTTCGACTGTAGCCCTTTTCTAATCGACGAATCTATTTTTATTTATCATTATTTTTTTCGAGCCTTTTAATCTTTGGAGTTGTTTTCACCGAAGAGTGGAAGCTGTTAATGAAAGGGCTGATACCATTATCAAAGTAGTATAGCGGGTAAGGAGTCAACCCATTTTAAGGTGGAAATACGTTAACGTAAGGTGCAGTGTGGGATCCAGGGGAGGGGCCCGGGCCCCCCCTTATTTTTTAGACCAAACTGAGGTCCGAAGGGCCAAAAAAAATTCTTTTTGAGACCCCCCCTTATCTCCGGGTCTGGATGACCGCCCCCCCCCGCCCTTATCTGAAAGCTGAATCCGCCACTGAGGTGCACTACAACTATGCCTAGGACTGGCCTAATGTACCTGAGATCTTGTTATGTCTCTGGGGCTACTTTCGCACGGCAACAGGGCGAATTTTCGACCGGCTGAAATATTTGACCGGACGCTTCATTCACACGGGACCGTTCAATACTTTCGCTCTGTTCACACGGAAGTTTGAACGGCTAGGTGTCTAAACTTTCACACAGTTAAGGTGGTGGTCCGTGTGAACTGAACGCCTAAACGCGCCTAAAGTCCGGCGCCGTATGAACGTGGCCTCATACTCAACTAAAAGCAATTATGGGATAGCGTGACAACCGCCCTGGAAATTACCAAGGTGAGCGGGCTGTGTACCAGGCCTTACCGCTAACCTAATGTAATTTGGAAAAATCACAGATGGCTGTGAAGAAGGGTTGTTTTTCCTGCGTTTTAATTCAAAATAAAGGGCAACACGAGGTGTGGTAGAAAAAGTACAATAAAAAGCTGAAACATGAAGCCAAATATCCTTTACAAGGCACTCTTTATTTTTCACAGTTATTACTTTTTAGATCTCCGCAGAAAAATACATGTGTACCTCGACTGAAGAAACCTGTTTCTTTAACATACACACTGAGATGCTTTAGCACACTACAATATGAAGAGAACTTCACGTTCAAAGAACAATTTACTCATTCCAGGAATGACTTTTGGAACATTTGTCCCAAGAAAAGACAGTTTAGATCTGTTTTAAAAAGCCGGAAACGCTAGCTTTTATAAGGACAATCCGTAGCCCGCGTAGCAAGCGTTTCCAATCGAGTTATTGCGCGAAAGTTAGAGCTCTCGTCCCAACTTTCCCGACGAACTAGCGCGGAAATGCTTGCTACGCACGCAAGACAATCCGAGACCTGAGTGTGTGAGGAATCCTAGGTAAACTAGATTTCATTTCTGGATATTGACCTCAAACAAATGAAGAGCTATCTAATAGTAATGAAAACAACCAAAGATAACGTTGACCAAAGTACGGAAAATACTGCCCTTCCTAACCCACGAAGAAATGAAGAAGATAAAACTATAACCGGCGTTACAATCAAAAATAAAAAAGTAAGTTTCTGCCAGTTTCTGTTAGTTGGCAGGTCTCCGGCTTTTTTCCTGGATAAGGCTTTCTTTTCCGAAGAAAATGTTGCAATCGAGTTTAAAGCTTCCAATAAATAGAGCAGAAATACTCAGACAATCGCAGATCTTGGGAGGTGAATTTGTAACAATTCTAGAAAAGTGACATTTTCGTTTTGTTGACTTACTAAAATAGATATACAAAATTGGAAAAAACGACTCTAAAACAGAGGATTCATTCTTTGGTGTCAGACACAAACTGTTCGCATTCGACTTAATTGATTATGCACGCCTTTGACCAGACATTCGTTAACTGCCATAATGCTCCCTGACTTTGTTAAGAAGTGCATCACACATGGTCTTGGCGTCTCCTAGCAACATTGAAGTGTTTTCGTTGTAGAACACAGGGTTATCCACGTCAGCGTAACCTGTGCCCAGCGTACGCTTCATCACGATCACCTGTCAATCAAACAGAATCTCTCTTAGATTTACAGTGAGCCCCAGCACACGACTACTGTTTACACATACACCCCGTTGCTACGGCCTTGTTTCTATGGTTTGACATTCCCTGACCAATGAGAACCTTTGGCGTCAACAGTGGAATGCAAGCGGAGAAAACAACAATCTAGCAAACGGTAAGATTTCTATCAAAACTCGTTAGTCGTGAAAAGGTGCGGTAAGTCTCTCCAGTTAGACTAGCCTATTTTTACCATGGTGTCCCCATACCACAACAACCAGGATTCATGTCGTTTCTAATTTGTTATTCAAATTTAGTAATCTCAATGAAGTCTGAGGAAACTTGAAAATAGCCCTAATTTGCACAAGAAAACAACATCGTGTTGTATTCTGTTGGTTGAAGTAAAATAATGCCAGATTAAAATACACTTGTCATCAAACAGTTCATTAAGGCTCTGGCAACGTACCAGTACATCGCAACCAACCCAAAAAATTTTCACGGACTGATTGAAGTTCAACTGCACATTCCACCCCAAGAGTCTGGGTATCATCTTCCCCCATGAAAACTTCTGGAATCGTTTTAGTAATCATCCTGACTCATGAGAGGCAGACGAAAAAACGTCAAAGTGGCTGAATATCGGCAAAATTCTTTTAGTTCGTCGTTTAAGACGCAAAAATGTTAAATCATAAAAATAAATAGTAGCCTTGCCTGTTTTGCCTTCCAAACTTCGAGGACAGGCATGCCCGCGATCACAGAAGTAGGATCGTCTTGGGCTGCGGAGTTCACTGTGTCGTTAGCACCAATAACCAACGCGAGATCAGTTTCAGGGAAGTCATCGTTGATTTCATCCATTTCAAGCACAATATCATAAGGTACTCCTGCCTCGGCTGCAACGATGTGTAAAATTAAAAAAAACAGTCAGTATTTACCTCTGGAATAAAATTAACTCTGATTGCTAGTAACAAATTCAGGGCTATATTGCCTGTACATTTGCGAACACATATAAGAAGTACATTATCTTTGAAACTTGGCCAAACTATAGTTTCCATGCAGTCAATGTTTTCAAAACCACAAAGGACAAACGTTTATAGCTTAAAGAGCCAATTAAGTGTATAAGCAACCCGAGAGAAAAGAAGCTTGGGCAGTACACGTTTTCAATGTGCCGTAAACTCACCAAGCAAGACGTTTAGCTGTCCCGGCATACGTCCCGCAACGGGATGGATCCCGAATCGCACGTTAAGTCCCTTATCCTTCAGGGTCTGGACCATATCAGCAATTGCATACTGCGCTTTAGCTACGGCCAGTCCATAACCAGGTGTGATGATGACATTCTTGGAACCGGTGATCATATCCACGGCGCCATCTGCGGTGACTTCCGTGTGAGTTCTTACGACCTTCTCTTTAGTGCCTTTGGCATCTTTAGGTGCTATAACAAACAAACCAAAATACAGCGTCTCGAAAAAAAAAAATATGTCCGTCCCGAAACTTCTAAATCAAGCAAAAGAGATGAAATTTAAAAAGGCAACAACACAGAGTGCAAGGAAAGTCAGTTTACAAGTTGCCATTTGGGCAAGCTTTAATTAGCATGTGCTAACCCAAAAGTCAATTTAACTAAACTAACGTGAAGCTACTAATTTTGGGGCAGAAATAATGAACAGTAGAGCGGAAATTAAGGGAAAACTCGGTCACGTGATACAAACACACGTTTGCCATAAAAGTGACTCTACATCTCTCTAATACTTTGAAGCTACCGTTCGTACATTAATACACAGTATCAGAGTCGCGCGCAGATTACAGGAACGAGTTTGTGACGTACTATTGGAAGGCGACAAAAGATAAACGACATTTTTCATTGCATTCACAGGACAACCACGATGTCACAGGACCTTACCAGAATAACGAGATTTCTTGTTCTTCGAACTCAATTAGCATCACTGAACCTCGCGCGTCACAAACACGAATAATTAGTGACGTCACCATCGCAGAAATATCGCAGTCCATGACCTCGCAACCTATGTAATTATTTTAGCAAGAATGTTTTCTTCACTCTCAAATTTAGTGTGGGGCGCAGGAGAGGAACTGCCAGATGAAACCAACAACGAACAAGTGTCTTTTGATGACTCAAAGATCATAGAAGATGACTGGGTTTTGGTTGAAGAAATCTCCAATGATCGTCGCCAAGAGGAAGGAAGCAGTTTACAAGACGAACGCGCTTCCTCGTTGCAAGCCTTGTTTGAGGAAAACAAACCAGAACCAGACGTTAGCGGAAGTAGAAACGAGAAAGATTCTAGCCAAGACCAATCTTCGCAAAATGAGAATTCGGACTCGAACGTGGCTTCACTTGGCAATTTGTGCGCGGATAAGCCATCAGACGATAGCGAGAAGTCATCGCTTGAAATTCTCTTCGCGCAAGGTCAACCCAACGAAGGCGAAAAAAAAGACGACTCCGACTGTTCAATGAAAACGGACGAAAGCGAATTAGGCCAAAAATCGTCGCTGCAATTCCTCTTCGAGGAGTCGTTGCACGAGCAAGGCTCTAGCGTTGGACACAACTCCACGTCAGTATTTACACTCAAGCCGCTGCCCGATCCGCCGATAGTTTTGGCGCCAAACGCTGGTCAATCAAGTGGCTTGTATAAGTCCTACAGCGCCGACTGTTACCGGCTAAAACCGGAAACTTTTGAGCCCACAGTGCTGAGACGACGTCACCTGTCCAGAGCTTCCAAGCGATCGGGAGAAGGCGCAAGCGCAATGGTGGGTCACGTGGTGCTTCAGAAAAAGACCAAGCAACCATCCGAGGGAACATCAGGGGTGGGGAGGGGAGAGGAAACGAGGAGACGTACAAGGAAAGCGAACAGCGTAGCCTGTGGACAAAACGAGAGCACTCACGGAAAGAGACGAAAAAGAACGGCCGATAAATCCAGTGGAAAAGGAGGACGGAGAAATTGCTGAGTCGATACAAAGATGAAAAAGATCGGCCTTTAAAAGTGCTGCAGTTAAAGAGAGTGTATTTATTTTACAAAAAAACTTTGTCAAGGGGTTTTTCCAGTCACCTTCAGTTTACATTGAAATTTAAATTCTACTTCAATAAGAAGTATTCTTGTACAATTTCCATTCTAAATAAACAATTCAAAATAAAAAAAAGCTACTGCGAATTTCAGACTGGTTGGGTTAAGGTATTTTGGTGCAATATTCTGCGCCATTTGTCTCAGTCGGCTCTCGTAACATTTCGAGACGAACTTGTACCAGATACAATGGTTAGCTATTACAGGTCGAACAATATTCTAACGGGAAAACGTTACTTAGATTCGCCAATTCGTGGCAGAGTTAGCTCAACAGCGCAAGACGCTAATTACTGGGGGCCGGTAACAGTCCCCTCCCCCCATAATAGAAAACATATCCGGGGACTACGTCCCCTACCCTTTACAAACAGTGTGTGGGTTCTTTAACGTCCCACAGAATCTATACGTGCAAGGGTCGTGAGGCGGGGCCTACGGTTTGTCATCCTTATCCGAGAAGACTAGAAAGTCTGACCGTATGCAGATGTCTTTACAAAGGCAGCACTTTCTCCAAAGTTATTTAAAGACTCTGAATGACTGCTGGTCCGGCCGGGCTTTGAACCAATTAAAGTGCGTTTGTGGCTGTCGCATATAACACCACATTTATTGACTTACCAGTAGATAACGTGCCGTATCCACCAAACAGGACATTGGCCAGGGACCGATTCATAGCCTTGCACATGATGTAAGACAGAATGCCTCCAGAGAAGCCAACCAGAGCTCCCACGATAGTGAGCAAATCGTTATTCAACATGAATCCCTCTGCACAGAGAGCCCAACCACTGTAACTGTTAAGAACGGTGATAACCACAGGCATGTCAGCTCCACCGATCGACGCTGTCATGTGAACACCCATGATGGAAGACAAAGCGGCTGTGGTACCTGCAAACCACAACAGCAGTTCTTATTCGTGGTTGTAGAATCCTCATTGCACACACGCATAAACGTAAAACTTTCTATTATTCTTGTGGAAAACTTAAGCTTCCCGAGAATCTTAATGTTTCTGGGGAGTATCGGGGCCCACTTCATTGCATTTCGTTAACTGGTTAAATAGCACTATTTTTCAGGCAATTACGACCCGTCGCGCGTGTCTGGTGACTCTCATGCTCCACGTCCGCTTCGACCTAGCCTAAAGCATGCGAAAAAAATAGCGCTTATTCTGCAGGCTGTTATAGCGCTATAAAAACATAGACGGTATAATTACAGAGTTGCAGCCAACAATCGCGGGTAATAGCGCACTCTTTCCCTCTGATGTCATAGCTTTTGTCGTGCGGCCTGCTCACAGGATTTTGGCGGGTAACGGTTTCATTGCTAAATGTCACGTGTTCAAGAAGTAGCCAATGAGAGCACGCGCCATTGGGGAATAATTTCAGAAGCACATAGCACGTGCATAGCACGTGAATATTATTCAGCAAGACCAAGAACAGCACTGGGAAAGCCTCCTACACAAAGGGTTCCGGCGGAAGCTAGGATAAAAAAAGCGTCTATGCGATGGAATACAGCGTCCTTTCTTTATTGATATGAACGAGCCAGTGCTTACCCAACATTGGTATCCCTACTGCGGCACTGTCAGAAGCCATGAACCAGCCCATCGCTCCAACATTGGCCAATGCCATGCCAATATTCAGCTGGTTCTTCATCGGTAGATTCAGCGCCTTGGAGTCCAGCAAGCCATGGAGCTTTCCAAACGCCACCAGAGACCCTGTAAAGGTCACTCCACCAATAAAGGTGCCGAGGAAGATTGCTGCTTTATGGACGTTTCCAGCGGGATCCTCAGGAAAAAGGTCAACATCGGCGAGGTACTTAGCGATGGCAGTGAGTACAGCAGCTAGACCGACAAAGCTATGGAAGGCTGCTACCAGCTGAGGCAGGTCACTGACAGCGATGCGACTGGAGATGATGGCCCCAATGGTGCCTCCCACCCCCATCATGGCTGCCATCTGCGTCAGGACATCGTGAGATGGTGCCAGCGCCCCTATAGTGGCTGTCATGCCAGTACCGATGCCGATGATTCCTACAACACAAAAATTGCATTGCAAACTGACTGAGACATGCGAACGGAGACGATGTGAAATGCGGAAATGCAAATTTCAATGAAGATGTGATCACGGCGGTTGTATTAATCGTAGTCTAAAACATTTCAAATTAGCCCGGGGCTAAAAGGGGATTTGCACCCACGACTTCCGAGCTAGCGCTGCAGTACTCTACCGATTGAGCTATGAAGACCCATACATTGGGAGCAAGCCAGTTTGTTGAGTTAGTCTTAAACCGTGAAAGGAATGACGCATGGAATGGAGATGATGAATTGCGGAAATGCAAATTTAAATGAAGACATAACCATGGCAGTTGTAATCGCTCAAAGAAGATAGATTAATTGCTTTCTTTTAAGTTTGAGATAAAAAGACGCTCATGAAACTTTCACTTCCTGAACTGTAGAACAAGGAACATGCTTCACTACTTTTCATGCTATAATTATGTTGTGGCTTGCCTTAAAGCCCACAAGCTGCCCATGCCTTCTCTATTCTGTGAGTCAAACTACAGCCCAGATTTTATTTCGCGTTTTTCGGACTGAAAAAAAAAACTCGCTTACCGAGAGCATTCCCTTGCCTGCTGGATGTTTGGGTTGAGAGTCCAGCTAGTGCTCCAACACAGCAAAGCGAGGAGGCAAGGTAAGCCATCTGATCAATATCTGGATATCCAGCCATCTTAGCGGCGGCATAACCACCTAACACAGCTGCTCCAGGGATGGCATACAGGTAGGTGTACTCAGGGGGGTCCCCTGGAACAAAAACATTGTCGTCGTTACATTTCGTTTTTATTCATTACAATTGACAGTTTACACTCTTTTCATGGTGTTTTCTTGCCTTTCACAGGTCTAACTAACGTTCGAACAACGTATATAACCGTTTGAAGAAAAGCTCTTTCCTCCAAAAACAGCGACGGCAGACATTTAAAGTTTCAACCAAAAGTGCGGGCGCAATATTAAGTTTTAAACATCTTAGCTTTTTTCTACTAAGCTGAATAGCATGTGGCGTTAGCATGTGTTCTTTAATATTTCGTATAATTCTCTCAATACCACACTTGCGTGACTTACAAATCAAAGCTTCAACATCCACCTGCCGTCAGCCCCTCTGACATTTGAATTTTTGGAAAATTACACTTAGTGTTAAAATTGTCCCCTCCCCAGGCCAAAAGACCGCTCGATCACCTCGGGAAAGCAAAGGTGTCAAATAACCAAGGGTAACCTCGGGGGATGTTGAAACTTCGATTTGACCGATAAAATCTACATTGCGACTACCGTTACAGGGCTTTCAATAAGCACCGACGACCGACAAAACATGTCGGCTACCGGGTTACTTTTTTCCCCTAAATTGGAAGCTGGAAATAGAGTATTAAATTAATGACAGATTCCGTCTTAAAAATTAAGATTTAATTTGCTGGACCTAGACAGACTTTTTTGCTTCAGATTTAAATATTTTAGAAAATTTTGGCACTTATCGTGCATTACTTGTCCAAAGGGATCGAAAATGCATTATCTTTTGTACTCAATTTAGTGCCCAGAACGCTGGAAATTGCACTTTAGGGCATTGAAATTTTCTAAATTTTCTAGGGGAGCATGTGAAAGGGTGTGCGGCCGAGTGGTTAACACTTCGAACTCAGGATTTGTAGGTTCAAGACTCGCCCGTCGCGTTGTTTCCTTTGACAAGGAACTTTACTCCACCTTGTCTCCCTTCACCCAGGTGCATAAATGGGTACCGGCGACAAACTGCTGAGGGGTAACCCTGCGATGGACTAGCAGGAGGAGCAGCAATACTCCTACAATTGTAGGTGTTTCATGCTCAGATGAAACCGGGATAAGCTTCGGCCGTTTGGGCTTTTAGCTCGTGTGCGTCTTTACCTTTTTTACCTATGCCCCTGGACCCCTCTAAAACAAAGGTACTACATGTAAAAGCCTCTTACTATGATGCAGTCGGTTACTTTTTTCAAACCTGCTGGCTACTTCAATTTCTATTGAAACTCCTGACCGTAGGAAAAAAAATAAACTTAGGATACCAAGGTAAATTACCTGGTCTTCTAAACATATCCAACATTCTTTTAGTGATGATAAATCCACCAGTGATGTTGATAGACGAAACAAGAGTCGCTAGGGCAGCTAAAGAGGTGGCAGTGTCATTAGGCAGCATCCCTCCTCCCATCAACACCAACCCCCCTGCGGCAGTGATGCCGGATATGGCATTAGTAACAGACATGAGTGGTGAATGAAGGGCAGGGGTCACACCCCACACAACCTTGTATCCAATCACTCCAGCTAAAGAGAAGGTGGTTACCATGGTAGCAAAGGCAGGATTTGGTGACACAATTCCCAGGCCAAGCAGAGAGCCTAAACCACCTGGAATGGAAACATAAGACTCAATAAATATCAAGCAAATTCATCTTGTGTGATCACGTCTATAATTCTCATGATCACTCTGTTTTACAAAGGATTGATATTATAAGGAGAAATTTGATGCTGATCACTCTCAGGGCTTAAAGGGTTAACAGTTGTGATGACCATGAGTCAGTATTGTGTTGGACTGCACTTTGAAACCCTTTTGGGAGGTGAATTTAGACTCCGTTACTGGTGCAACCCTGCAATAATCTATAAGGAGCCATAGCATCTCCAAAAGAGGCTCATGGTGCAACTTAACACTACACTGGCAAAGTCTCATCTGCAATTTCGGCCAATCCCGAAATCAGTAGTTTGCAGTCAAAGAAGTGAAACATTCCTACGGCACTTGATCCTAATGACCGGGCTCCCATGGGGTACCTGTATTTAGAAATCAAGGAACCTCCTTATAATCCTGACTGTTCATAATAGCCTAGTTTTGTGTAGAAGTCCAATTACACTGTTAAAAATAAACAGGATTCTGAGGAAGGTGCTTAACTTGTATTATTGTTATTACTATTAGGTTGAAAAACAAGATTCGGACCATTATACTTTTCTGGGAAACTGCCCACCAACCCCTTCCCTACGCCAACATTTTGCCCCATGAGAGAAGTAAGTGTTAATATTGCCTTAGGGGAGGGGTAGGCGGGCCGTTTGCCAGAAATGTATAATGATCCCTACATTGCTACCTGCTGTAAGGCCAGTTTCCCAGGCTGCAGCACTGAATGGCGACTGTTCCGGTGGTTTGACAAGAGGTCCTGATGGTTTAGCAGGGGCAGGAGGGGGCATTTCAATAGCTGGAGGTGGCCACATCATCTCGCCATCTTGAAGCACAATAGATCCACGGACGACATCATCCTTCAGGTCAATTACAAACTCTTTCTTGCCCCGCTCACCAAATGACAGCAGGTATTTGGTCAAGTTGTTGGCGTAGAGTGTACTGGACTGAGTTGGGAGACGACTGGGAAGATCGGTGTATCCAATAATCTATCATTTAAAAAAGAAAATGTCTCACTGTCAGAAAGTTCGGTCCCATCTAATGGTTAAGGGTTCACGTGCCACACCCAGGCTTGTGTGTTCAAGGTTCTCAGTTACATACTATACACCTGGAGTGGGGACCAACATAGAGAAAAGGGAAGAGCAAAAAGAGGGAGAGAGAGTCCTTGCCCATTTTTTATTGCATTGCCTTTTTTTGCTCATTCCCACTGACTCAAAATCTAGAACATGCTGCACCAATGACTAAAAATGGCTCATGGGCATGTAATAATAATCTTTATTCATGTTTACATCAGGCTTGCTTTTTAAACCCCTAAGGCTTCTATGTCAACACACATCTTAGCATGCACTGATGGCTGATTGTGCTACAGTGCTTGTTTTGACATATCTGCAGTTGGAATTCATTATCGTGAAACTTTATAAGTTTACAACAATTATTCCAAAATTAAGTTTGGTGGTTAAAATTAAACTCTGAAGTTAACATGCATACAGTACAATAAATGCCTTGGCGAATAAAAGTACCAATGTCAACTTAAAGGTCAAAGAAAGAATATCATATCTTACACTAAAGCAAGTTACCAGGTAAATGCAATCAGAAGGTGGGGAAAAAAAAGGCAAGGAATTTCTTTTGGTTCTATTTTCATTTTTTTTCCCCACGAAAGTACATGCAGCCAAGGGTGAAGCTCATAGTGGCCAGGAGGAATTCCTGACCCCCAGCCCTTCATAACTGCTCTGAAGTTGACTCACATTAACTCCATTGTGATTATACAGTTCTCCAGGCTTGGTGACCTCACAGTTTCCACCAGCCTCGGCTGCCAAGTCCACAATAACTGAACCGGGCTTCATTGATTCCACCATCTCTTTTGTTATCAGTTTCGGGGCCGGTTTTCCTGGAATCAGTGCAGTCGTGATTATGATATCAACCTCCTTGCACTGCTTGGCAAATAATGCAGCTTCAGCATTTTTGTATTCGTCAGACATTTCCTTAGCATAACCACCAGTGCCTGGTAGACAAAAGCGAACAAAGATTGAAACATTTACAACACTCACTCTACTACTACAGACCTCTTGTGGTTTCAGTTCTCGTCAGCAACCACTAAAGACTTCACATCTTGGGTGATTGCACAAAAACCACTAACCTTCTCCAGACTCTTTTATACCAGTAACTTCCAGAAACTCTCCACCTAATGACTGCACTTGTTCTTTTACAGCTGGCCTTACATCGTAGCCACGAACAATAGCTCCCATGTTCCTTGCTGTACCAATGGCTGATAAGCCAGCTACTCCACCACCTGGATTTTGACAAGAAGAAACAACCAGGATTATGACAAAGTTAACAGAATGCAGGGGATACTCAGCGCAGATGTGAGGCCCTTTCGCAGTTTGACAGGCGACAGGCAAAAGCTGCTTGTTTGTGTTTGCATTGCTGTAGCCATCATCTTTGACAGAGGAAGACTGGGGATAGTAGAAAAGCAACCCTTAGGGTAGGAGCTAGGGTGAAAGAAGGAGATGAGGGAGGGGAGTTATTTTCTCTTCTCTTTCCCTGCCCTACCTATAACAAGGATCTTTGCAGGTGGCACTTTTCCTGCAGCAGTAATTTGTCCAGTAAAGAATCTTCCAAACAAATTAGCAGCTTCAATGACCGCCTTGTAGCCTGCAATATTGGCCATGGAGCTCAGAGCATCAAATGATTGAGCACGGCTTATCCTTGGAATGCAATCCACCCCAAATGCTGTGATTCTTCTCCTTGCTAACACATCTAACAAGTCTTTATTCTGAGCAGGGTACAGGAAACTGACCAGTTTGCCTCCTTCCTTCATAAGATCAGCCTCGTGAACACCGGAGGCTTGGTTTTTCTCAGGAGGTCGCACCTGTATAGAATGATTAAAAACCATGGTACATGTTCAGTCATGTATAATAATCTGCCAAACTTTTACACGTACAACAACTTCATCTTTGAGGCCACTTTTTCTGGCTTACATGTAAGCTTGGCCTACACTGTAAGTCAAACTGCCACATCATTAACAAAAACAACACCCAAGGTATTACTGAATCTTCTTCACAGTTTAATCTTAGTCTGTTAATACAACCAGTCAAAGGGTGTCTTGAAAATAAAGGCCCCTAAGACCCAGGGGGTCATCCACTAGATTAGCCTTTGCTATTTGGATGATCCCAACTTGCGTTCCATTTTGTTGTTACCATTTTTCTTGTATTCCTTAGTTGTACTGTGTTTAGATACCTACATAAATTTAACCTTTATGTCGTATAAAACTGAGCTGAGGTTAATAAATCATCTTGTCATCTTGACCCCTAAGACCCCCTAAGATCCCCCGCTGAATGACTCTCAACTTTATTGAATGGGGTTAAGAAACTGATTTAATCAACTTTCAGGTCAGTTTGTCCAGTGTAATGACTTACCAGTAAATGGAACCTGATTAACTCAGTTTCCTAACCCTGATCAATAAAGTTCAGAGTCATTCAGTGGGGGGTATTTAGGGGGTCTCAGGGTTCTTTGTTTTCAAGACACCCCCAGTCCAATGCCTGAATATGATACCAGCTGCGAGGAGGGTAAAAGCAGACTCTATAAGCCAATACTACTCCAAATATCCCTACAAATTAACACTAGAGCCGGGTTCAAAGAAAATTGTACAACACTGTTAATGAAACTGATGTAATAATGAAAAATTATGATTCTAACAAAATCTTAGTCAGGCTTTTTCATGTTGTGAGCCACTTTACTATTGACCTTGGTGGCTGACATTCCTACATCTGCACAAATCATCCCAAAATCACACTTAAAATTAAGGCAAGAGCATTGTTTTCAGAAAGTCATAAACTAAGTACATTGTAGGCAGGTTTTTTGTTGATGTTGGTGGCGGAATTTCCCAGTCTGTTTACTTGTCTTCTTGCCAGCTGCCAGCTTTTTTTGGAAACCGAGCTAAAGAGATGAGTATGGGCTACAATGAGCATGAATCAATGACACTGTTTGTTTCCACACTCACCTTGAAGACAATATCCGATCCTAAAGCATCTTTTACTGTCTTCACTTCAGCTCCAGCTGCAATGTAGTCAGAATCAAGAAACTTGGCTCCTGCTCCAGCCCCTGCTTCGACAACGACTTTAAATCCTTCTTTCGTCAGCTGCTTAGCAGCTTCAGGGGAAAGGGCAACTCGTCGCTCTCCTTCATGGATTTCTTTTGGAACACCAATTGTAAGCTTATCATACGGCACACCGGTCAATGTCTCTGGTGCAGATTTATCTGTGTTAATTACATCAAAGTACAAAACAATAAAATATCAATCATAGTGAGTGGATCCAGAAAATATTAACCTGCACCACAGATGAAACAAGTCCACCTGTGAGCCAGCGCCAACATTCTTGTTCTGGGTCCCCCAACTGTGTGCCACACATATTTGACTGGTCAAACAGGTTGGAGGAAAATTCAAAGTACACCTCTGGTATTTTTTGAGTCCATTGGGAAATCCAGAACAAGGATCTTGGTGAAGCTTCACAGAGGTTAAAAGCCAGGGTTAAAACCTGTAGATTACTTCTGCGACGTAGGCTAGAAAAAAAAACATGTAAACCGACTACTTCAATTCTTTGGACTTATATAGAGTTCTATAATGTTTGAGATGGAATCCATCAGGAAATTGAGTAATTTTAGTTTTCAGTAGACAAAAACCTTGTACCAGAATAATATAAACAACATCAAATCAAGGGCTATAGATGTAATATTTATTAGTTACCTGTAATAACACCAAAGAAAATTTCTTATGAGAGCCCAAGAAAATAATATTAATGTCAAATTTCACAAAATGACATCTTACACATGAAATTTTTAGAATTTTACCTGTGTTTTCACAATTCTTGCAAAATTTGACGTTTACTTTCTTAGGCTCCGATGACAAATAGTCTTTGGTGTTATTACAAATAACATTATACCTATACTGCTTGAAAAAAGTAAAAAAAGTATGCGATATTGTTTAAATTATTGTGGTACAAGATTTTTGTCACTGAAAATCAAAATTACTCAATTTCCTGATGGATTCTGTCTTAATATGGCAGACTGAACTGCAAGCCAACATAAAAATGCAAATGTAATTGAAAATCAAACATAACTATTAAGCCAGGACAGGGTTGGTTACCTTTAGCCTCATTGGCGCAAAATCTTACTGTTCCAGCCAGAAGTTTAGGGTAGAAATGAGGATCCTTAAGACAAAAATTAACACACAGTTTAACTGAGAGTTATTCAACACATCATGCAGTATCCTCTTCATCAAGGCAACAGAGCAATTCCTGACCATTCTGCTTATGATTTATTGTGTATAGTGTAATATTACTAACAATGAAACAAGGCTGTAACAATCCATCGAACTATCAATTAATCGTGATATTAATGCTGTGATAGAGATAGATCGATAGCAAAAATGAAACATTGATAACAATCGCCATAGTGTAGCCAACTATCAATAGTTTTGATAGTTTCTATACTTCTAAAATTTTGACTTTTGTGGAAAATAAAGGCACCTGTTTTACCCATTTTGATTCTTAAGGTCACAATAACAGTAAATAAGAAACTGAGAACAATCTACAGTCCTATACTTAGAATGTTTTAACGTCTTGATTCTTCAACCGCATAGTACCTGTATTGTTTGACCACCACTTCTTAGTTATCAATTTTCTTAAACTATAAGGCATTAAGTGAAAACAGATATTCCTGAAAACTATCGCAATATAGTATTGCAATAGAACCTCCACTATCGATCGCAATACTATCGCAATATCCCTATTGCCTATTGCAATACAAATTATTGCAATAGTTAAACTTTCCTCAATAGTCACCCCTACGATGAAATAAAAAATATCTTTAGCATAACTCACTTAAACTTTTAGTAAATAAGTTGACGGTACCTTAAAAGTGGAACACTTTGGTGAACAAGTGATTCTTCCATAGCTACCTAATACACTCTTGGTTCCTGGAAGACAGTCAAATAATTTTTAGTCATTATTTAGGTGATTGTACAAAAGGCTTCTTGTGTAACTTACCCAGCAACAGTGCAACCTAATGGGCCATTTGCACGATGACATAATTTAACTACTGCATGTTTGACCATAAACCAATGCTTTCTTGAGCAAATTACAGTTGTTGTATTTGGGCTTTTGTTACTTAAACCTCACTGGACTTATCAAAAATGAAAGGAAAAATGAAAAAGATTCTTATCAAAGTAGACTAGTAAAATGACACTATCATGGAAATAATTTATATAGTAACAGAATCATTGCAGAAATAAGGTGGTGTTTACTGTTCAAATGAACCTCCTCGGCAGTTTTTGCTTTTCACTGTTCCACAAAATAAAATTTAATCTGAGATATCAGAGACAAATTTCATGTAAAAAATATACCTGGCACGTTTCTGGATAGACTTGAAGAGGGTGTGGTTCTGGTTAGTGCACAACCACCACAACCAGGAAATTTTAAGGCACAAACTTAAGTATTTGAGGCACTGCCACAATAAAAAATTATAAGGGCACAAGCTGTAGGAGTGGAAACGGCAACCCTGTTTCTTTGAGTGGCCTCTGTTGTTTTACTTAACAAAAACTTCACACAGACTCTTTGCCCAAATTACTTTCACTACCATATATGCATGAATGCGCTCTCCCATAAAATTTACATACCAGCTAACGACTGTCCATGGAATCTTCTGGCCACACTAAGGCCAGCTCTCAGGAACATTTCAGTGCAGGATCTGAGTCATAGACAAATACAGGTAACACAAGTATTGTGGTAACTTAATAACCTTCAGCAAAGCTATAACTGTATGTCATTTTCTTTCCGACAGAAGATGTCTTGTCCATTTTAATGCCAAAATCAACGGTATTATCCATCCTATTATTGAAACATAAATGCCTGAAGAAACAAAAAGGTCTTGGAAGTAACATTAATGATCACAAAAGATCAGCATTTGCAGAAACGTTGTCCTTACTCCCTATAAATATTGTCTGAGCCATAATCTGGTACCATTGTCAGGCATGCAGCTAAGAGCCGGCTATTGGCAGGGAGTAATTTTGAAGGTGCAGTTGAGTAAAAAAGCTGGGTTGACTTATAAAAAGGCCTGCTAAGCTTTTCCTTAGCTACAACTGTATTGTACATGACTGTGGAAAAGAAAACAAAATTTGGAGGTGTGTCAGGGGTGGGGAAATAAATCAGATTTCCAACAGGCTAAATAATTAAAAGAAAATGAAAAAAGGTTGACACACAAAAAATCTTCTAGCTTTTTAAATTCATTTTTAAGAAAGGAAGTTGTACTTGTTTTCCCCGAATAAGAAAGAAATGTTTACAATATCTATTGTTTTCCGAAATAAAATCTGCAAATGAAATTTACACTGACAATACATGTGCATTTATCTTCTCCAATGTGCAGTTTTCACACAACTCAACACGCACTAAAACATACCTTTAGTCACCATGAAACAGTTAAACAAAGCAACGTGTGTTTTTTTGCAGTTGAGTAATTAAATATATAACAACGCAAAGTATTATCTGTTTTCCCAATAGTTCAATATAAATAGAATAAGTTTTGGAACAATGCTTCAACCGGAGAAAATGAGTTACAATTAACCCAAAGTGAACCAATTTCTGTTCCGCAGACGATTAAACTTACGTGCATCAAGATGGTTTTGTGTTTTCTAAAGCGTCTAAGCAACTGCACGTGTTTACGATCTACAACTTAGTACAACATATTTTACACCTCTCCTTGGCTAGCTCAATCATCAGAGCCATACTGGCACGCAATCGGAATATACCACGAAAAGTTGAAAAATAGGTTCCTGCCTATCAACGGTCATAGATTAATAAAAATACACGTACAGCAAAAGCTTAACACCAATTTGGCTTCTTAAGACGAGGTAGAAACTGATTTATTGGCATCGCACTTCGCGGAAGTTCTGCATTTATATTCATTCGCGGTCCTTTCCATTCGATTGGGACGTCGCCCAGTTTAAACACATGCACAATTGTCCTATATAGGAAATGATACTTGCTTAGTTATATAATCCAGGAGAAAAAGGACGTTAACTGTTTTCGATAACCTAACCCTCTTTCAGCGTTAATCGTGCATCGCTTCCTGTTAATTCGACCGAACTAAATTTGCACAAACCGGCAGGTACAAAAAGGGCGCCATTTTAGAAGAGATATCTTCACTGTCTGAAAAGTTAAACGATAATCGATATAAGTATTAACACTAAAGAATGATTCCCTACCTTTCTAGCCGTCTTTGCAGACCGCTTGATCCTCCCTAACTCTTGTATTCTCAAGCTAAAAACCTTTTGGAAGAACCGAAACGGCTGGCTTCGGCCGGGCAAAGAAGCTCGATCCCTTAACAGGCCAGGTCGCAAAGCCAAGCAAGAACAAACGAGCAATGTACGTTTAAGCCAATCATAAAGTTACAGATAATTCCCTTGGGTGTAAACCCGCCAAACTTGAATACAGTCGAACCACCCAGTAATGTATTGTCCTTTTTTTGTTTTGTTTTTTGCGGAAAAAAAAAACAGATGTAGACAAATTGACAAACAATTGGATCAGGCGTATTTTTTCCGCGCCAAAAAAAAAAAAAATCGCCTGGTGGCAGGTTCTGACACATCCTTTTTTTTTTAAGTTATCAAGTTGTCCAAGGAAAGTTATTTGTTTCGTTCCCCTCCCCCTCCCCCGTCATTAATTTTTTTTGCTCTTGTCCCAGCTTTCTAGACGAACCTCGCTAGGAAACGCTTGCTACGCAGGCTAAGCCTTACAAAGCCTGCTAGCAAGCTCTCCAAAAATTATAATACCGTCAGCCCAAAACTGTGGTCGCTCACAGGAGAGTCTCTAATAAACAGAGCTATGACTTAAAATATTTTGGTCTTTTGGATCTGTTGTCGCGTACCAGAGGAGGTCCCTTTCAAGAGGTGGGCCCACATGGAGGCTGTATGGCTAAATATTCAAAACTGGTTCAACACTCGTCTTACGGCGGATTTGAACCTTGCCGTCAATCAGAGAATCAAAGCTGTCAAGCGGGGATCCACTACTGATGTAAAAAAGGGAAGTGCTCTGGTGCACAAATATAATAATATGCCAATCAAAAAATGTGTCCGGTAACCTGCGATCATGCCCTCTCTATAGAAGTCTTATCTCCATCTCTTTTATTCTCCCGTCGACGCTCAGGCGTTCGTCACGCAATCATTCCTTTGTGACGAGCCCCTAAGAACGTCTGCGTGTGGGAGGCCACATGCCTTTCCTTCTCTTCTAAACAAAAAATAGAACCTGCAACTGCTGATCGAAGATTTATAGGGCTGAACCGATTACAAGCCTGAGAAAACAACCAACATTTTCCGACATTTCATTTCCAGGGTGACGTCGCAAAGTGTTTTCTCTGGTTCACAACTTCAGCGGCCTGCTAGCCTGTGAATAGGCCTTTGGTCGAGCGCTATTTTTTTCTCCAAACAGAGAGCCTGTTCACAGGCTAGCGGCCTGCCAGCAAGCAGTTCCATTTTGAGTGGCGAGCGAAGCCAGCCGCGAGAGAACACGCGAGCGTCGGAAAGTGGCCAGGCCTTTCTACCCCCCTTCCTGGCTCTCGCTTCCTTTCGTGTGCCGCTCGTCCATGACTTTTCGCGTTACAGTGACGATATATGTCCACCAACTGAAGATCTTGTTTGCAGGATACAATATCAGCTGTAACACCCTTGCTATAAATTTACTTGCTGAGTTCGGTAAAAAATAGGCGATCACGTTGTTGAGTGAGAAAAATCATCTGAGACTGCAATGAACATTATATTAAATTGCAGGCAAGAGAGGTTTCGAGAAAACATTACGTTCCTGTCGAGGATTGTTGTAAGAAAAGACACTTCACGCCTAGTCCCTGTACGGCGTTTTTCCAGTCCCTCTCGGTCAATTCACTTCGGTGACGTATCCGAGCCGAACAGGCGGGAAACGCCTCACATTTTCGCTTGGACCACGTGACCCAAAACGCTTTGGCTACCCAGCAAAATGAGGCTAAGGGACTAAGCAAATCTTCGACTACAGTTGTGGATCGAGTGGAGGGGCCTGGGGACCTCACCCAAGTGAGATTGTCGTCTCACTTACGCTGTTAAGGACGGAAATCCAATATTTTTACCCGTCAAGGCCTCGCTTAGGGTTGTGGGTACAAAGAAAAACAGACGCTTTATACAAAAACCAAACGCAGTCAAACTGTGTTGGAGTATTCAGTATCTCCTTTAGGGGTCAAATATAGCCTGAGCCACGCCTAGATTGGTCTCCTTTTAGGTGTTTAGCTATACATTGTAATAGCCAGCGAGCAAGCTCTCCTGGGCGCTATGGCGGCGGGGCGGGAAAAAGAAGGAGAGCTTTCAACCACGTCTCTGGAATTTGAATTTCTGCATCGAAGAAGTCGATGCGAAATGCTGATTGGCGGAGATGACATTAGTAATAACGTCATTACCCCTGCCACGTGTTTTTCAATGTTTATTTACAATCGCGCTGATTGGCGGAAATCTGACAGCTCGGTCGACGGGGAGCCACAGGGGAATTGGAGGTGGAATTCAAATTCCAGAGACGTAGTTGAATGCTCTCCTTCCTTTTCCTGCCCCGCCGCCACAGAGCCCCGGAGAGCTTGTTCCCAGGCTTGGTTACAATTTTGCAACAGGCATTTCCATCCATTTGATATGGGAGTTCCACCGAGAGGTTCAGAACAGTTTATGGAAGGTAAAGTGAGACTGGCACAAAAGACAAATTCATAAAAAAATGCTTTATTTATTCCAAACTCATTCGTACAAACTTACTGGCCATTTGTAAAGGCATTTGCAACGGTAAACACGCCACACTAAATACAGCAAAATGAACAATCTTTAGACTGTAACAAATTTGGCGAAAAAAGTAGAGGAAATGAGGAATGCTCTCTGGAAAAGCATTTAAGCGTTCTTTGTTTAGAGTGATTTTACTTGACCCATGAGACAGATAATAACTACTAGTGTAAAATAGCTACAAGTAAACAAAAGAAGACAATGGAATTAGTGTATAAGAGAGCGTGGTATTCTACTACTGTACCTGTTTCACGGGTGAAGTAAAATCACGCTAACACCAATACATTGTCAAGAAATTTCGCTCAGGGCCTGTTTACATGGAGTGGGGGACCCCGGTCTAGTGGGGTTGGTTTCTTTTGTTTTCACGCTCTGGGGGACACAAACCAAAAGAAACCTACCCCACTAGACCCTGGTCCCCCACTCCATGTAAACAGGGTCTTAGATTTGAAAATTGTGACGGAGAGAGAGATATCGGAAAATATTCCGTTTTCGTAAACCTCTGAATCACATTCACGATTTTTTGGGAAATCATAACAGTGATAAGAGTATGAAAGCCAAAGGAAACTATAACAGGCTTAACCTGCTATAGGAATGAGCGGGAGAAGAACAAGAACAAGAACCCATAAGAGGAAAAATTTACCGACGAAAGCTGATTGCCAATAATTACTCTGAACGAAGACCGATTTGTAATGCAAACCATTCAACCACGAACTTACTCCCCCTAAAAAAAAACGCGTCTATACGGGAAAAAAAATTGTGCTTTGTCATGCAAAAATACACTAAAATTAAAAAAATGACAACAGAGTAACAAGGGAACCAGGGAAGAGGGTAACAGGGTAACAAAGGGATAGAACAATAAGGTAACAGAGTAACAAGGTAACAGAGGAACAAGCCAAATAGAGGGTAATAGGGTAAACGATAGCCTGAATTTCATCCGATTACTTCGAGTCGTTATTACCGACTCAGTAACGTCTGAATCGACCGGCCGTTAATGCCGTCCAGTGACGTCACTCACTACCCGAAAACCTGGTAGTGATTTTGATTGGTTGATTGTCTAAACATTCGCATAATTATCTATAATTATGAAAAATTTTAGCGGGAATGTCACTTGATATTCAGCGGATCGCATCGCTGGCATTCTTTCGTGTAGTTCAAACATTTCGATAAGCTTAATCTTTATCTTAAACAGCAAAATTGCCCTTGTCTTCGAAACTGAAATGCTAAATTGAACTGCCAATGAAGAATCATTGCGGAGAGTCGGTAGGTTTTTCATTTAGAGCCGCTTTGTGGTTTCGGCGGCCGGTGATTTTGTTTACGCGAAGTTTTCTGAGATCAATGTTATAATTCGACCTTCTTGCTATTTTCACCGTCAAGTGTAATGATTCTGTTAGCTTTTCTTTCTTGTTTCCTTGTTTTTTTTCTTCGTTAAAGACCAAATAGCTTCTTTTCAATTAAAGCAAATCATTGTGTTTTTGAACTAAGTGTTCCGTGTGTGTGTTTATTTCATTGCGTGATTGCGACCGAGTTTTATTAAAAAGTACCATCGGTTTAGAGTTGTACTGCATGCAGTTGATAGTTTGAAACGTTAAACATGAATTACGATCGAAAAAAATAAAGCAATTCTGTATCTTGCAGACATTTCCAAACGATATTTCTCGGTTTGCCACTTGAAAATCGTGTTTTACTTTTTGCCTGAATTAAAGCAAAGGTCAAGGAGTAGTGACGTCACTGGAAGGCATTAACGGCTGGTCGATTCAGACGTTCCTGAGGGAGTAATAACGACTCGAAGTAATCGGATGAAATTCAGGCTACGTAACGGGGTAACAAGGTACCAAGCAGAAAAGGGAAGGTATAACTTACGCAAGTAAAGTCGATACATACATCAGGTACCTACCCAAGTATGTAGCGCAGTCGACGAAAGGAAGACCCGACGACACGAAGACATAAAAATGACGCAACGACGACATAAGCCCAAAGCGACGCCACGGCGAAAAGCCAGCGGTGCCCCGAAGAAAACAGTACGATGAAACGAGGGATGTGACGACTCGAAGACATGGAACCGACGCCACGAATGTAGGATTAGGCTTGCATTGCGTGCTGGGTTTGAGGTCGGCCATCTTGAATAAACCTCGTGCTAGCTTGTGTTTACTCGAAGTCTCCTTTCTTCTTCGCCCGATACTACATGGTAACAGCGGCCTTGACCCATCCAACCCCATAAAACAGAATGGGAGACCAACCCGAAGATGCTCCTGCAGTTGAAAATCCGCCTCCACCTGTTAATCCACCTATACAGCCTATACAGCCTGTGAACTCTCTCCCGCTCCTGAGCAAGTTCGAAGGAGCGAACAACCCGAATTAAGCAGACATGTGGCCCAAATGGCTTCGACATTTTGAGCGCCATCGGATCGCTTCTGGTCTTCAAAACAAATCAAACCAGGAACAAGTGGGAACATTTCTCTATGCAATGGGGGATTGTGCGGATGACATCGTTAAAACGGTAAGCATAAACGAAGCAACCGCTTCCTTTGACGAAGTCAAAACAGCCCTCAATGGTTATTTTGCAGCCCGCCGCAATTTTATCGTTGAATCGACGAAGACAAAACCCCGGTGAATCGGTGGACACCTTTATTCAAGACTTATACCGCCTCGCCGAAAATTGTGAATACGGAACTCTGAAGGATGAACTTATAAGAGACAGAATTATTGTTGGAGTCCTCGGTGATACACTGTCCGACCGCCTACGAGCTAAATCTGACCCCACTCTCGCGGACGCTGCTCGCATGAGCAGACAAGCCGAAGCAAGAAAACAGAATCGAACTGTAGTCCGTGGGGTAGAGACTCAAAACGTAGTTGATTACGTTAGTCAGGAAACACTCAACTGCCTGTGAAAGGTCTGTTCTATGCGACACTAAAGTACAGACAATCAAAGTTAACTGAGCCTATATATGTGCATGGTGCATAATCAGAAGTGTTCGTTACTCAGCAGGAGAGCCTGTGTTGAACTAGGGCTCATAAGACGTGCTGACAAAGATGCTGAAGAGGTGAACACGGGGCCAACAGATTTCAAAGCCGAATTTCCAGCGCTCTTTAGCGGACTGGGAAAGCTGAAGACTGAATGCCACATAACACTTCGCCCTGATGCTATTCCTTTCTACAATCCAAGAAATATCCCACATGCACTGATTCCAAAGGTAAAAAGTCAGATAAAGACAATGCTTCAGCAAGGAGTGATCTCGCCTGTCACAGCGCTAACTGAATGGTGTGCAGGTATCGGCCCTGTCCTTAAACCAAATGGCAGTGTGCGTATCTGTGTTGACCTGACTCACCTTAACAAAGCAGTCCAGCGTGAGATACACCCAAGTGCCTTCAGTAGATGAGAACCTCGCTAAAGTGGGAGACAGTAAGATCTTCTCCAAACTCGACGCCAATAGTGGGTTTTGGCAGATTCCCTTGGATGACGAATCGAAATTGCTCACAACCTTGGTCTCACCATTTGGACGTTTTTGTTTTAACAGACTACCATTTGGTATCAGCTCTGCGCCAGAGATCTTCCAACGCACTATGTCCAAGATACTTGAGGGCTCGGAAGGGACACTCTGTCAGATGGATGATGTCCTCATTCACGGGGTGGACCAGTCAGAACATGATGGACGCGTACGAGCTGTTCTTCACCGCCTGCAAGAAGCTGGGTTGACCCTTAATGACGAATGTGTGTTTTCACGATGTTCAACTCGATTCCTCGCTCACATCATTGATAGCTCTGGACTCCACGCAGACCCACAGAAGACCACTGCCGTGACCCAATTCCCAGTCCCTTCAGATGTCGCCGGGATACAGCGATTCATGGGGATGGTAAACCATTTTGGGAAATTTATTCCCCACCTGGCTGACCTCAGTGACCCCCTTCGTCAATTATTACGCAAATACAGTTTGGGTTTGGGGTAAACCCCAGCAAAAAGTCTTTGAGCAGATCAAGCAAGCATTAGTGTCACCGACAGTCCTGGCGCATTACAATCCAAACCGCCCAACGATCATTTCAGCAGATGCTTCCAACACAGGACTAGGTGCGGTGTTATTTCAAGTTCAGGATGATGGACAGCGCCGTCCAGTGTGATACGCGTCAAGATCTCTCAGTGACACAGAGAAACGTTATGCCGTAATTGAAAAAGAAGCCCTCGCGACAACGTGGGCTAGTGAGAGGTTCTCTGATTACGTGCTCGGCATCCCTTTCACCCTAGAAACAGATCACAAACCGCTTACTGTATTCTTGAATTCATCGGAGCTCTCAAAGATGCCCCCCCGTATCCTTCGCTTCCGCCTGAGACTTATGAGATACAACTATCAAGTTCAATATGTACCAGGAAAACATCAAGTCACCGCAGATACACTCTCACGTGCTCCTGTCGCCCTGCCAGGGCTAGAAGATAAGCTACTTGTTGAAGAAGTAGAGGCCTTCTCAACTCGGACAACTTCCTGTCTCCCTGTCACGCCAAACCGACTACAGCAGATAAGAGATGCACAGAAGACAGACGAAGAATGCTCCCTTTTAAGATCGTATTGCCTTCAAGGATGGCCCCCTTACATGCCTCACCAGCCGTTACTACGCCCATATTGGGAAAACAGAAGCCACCTCACGATTATTGATGACCTACTTCTGTATGACGATCGTATACTAATTCCAAGGAGTATGCGACTACAAATCCTCGACTGCATTCATACTGGTCACCTAGGTCTGACTAAGTGTAGATCCAGGGCACGCACTTCCGTATGGTGGCCAGGACTCTCCACACAAATCGGTGAGTTGATCACCCGATGCCACACATGTGCCAAGGAACAACCAACGCCCAGAGAACTACTTATGCCTTCGTCCTTCCCAGCCCGCCCCTGGGAGAGGGTTGCAACAGACCTGTATGATTTTCAAGGAAGAAAATACATCATCGTGGTTTGACATCAAGGAACTCTCTGATGAGACTTCACATTTAGTCATAAAAGCACTCAAGGAGGTTTTCGCCACACATGGCATTCCAGATGTCATAATGTCAGACAACTGGCCACAGTATAGTGCAGAGGCCTTTTGACAGTTTGCAGCCCGCATACCATCTCGCACATGTTACTAGTTCACCCAAATTCCCCTAGGGGAACGGCGAAGTCGAAAGAGCCGTTCGCATAGCAAAGTCCATGCTGAGAAAAACGAAGACATCTTCAGTGCTCTCTTGACTTACAGGTCAACTCCTCTACAGAATGGCTATTCACCCAGTGAACTATTGATGGGACGCCGTCTGCAAACGCAGCTACCGACACATCCAGCCAACTTGTACCCTAATGTGAAGATAAAAGACCGCCAGTTGGTAGAAGAAAAGGAAAGCTCGTATCGGTTGCACCAACAGCGCAACTTTGACAAGCGTCATAAAGCAAAGGAACTGCCAACACTTGAACCATGTGACCGAGTTTGGATAAGAGATCAAGTTCGGTATGGCCTGGTGACAGAGAAAACTGAGAAACCCCGATCTATACTTATCACTACAGAAAGGGGCACACTCCCGAAGAAACCGCTCTGCCTTAGTAGCTGCAGCAAAACCCGCTGAGACCGAACAACACTCAGCTATGCCAGCTGGTGATGTCAACCATGCCTCGCCAGTACATGTCACCCCTGTATTGCCAGTGCCCAGCACTCCGCTAAGGCCTCAGACTCCGCAGGTGCCCCCATCACCACAGACAGCTGTGCCAGTAGATACCCTCGGAACAATACTGGAAGAGTGCGTACCTCCACGAAGTCCAAGCCCTGCAGTCCTGACAACTCGGTCAGAAAGAACTGTGAAGCCTCCAGAACGCTTGAATCTTTAGTTGAACATTGAACTGTGTGTGCCCTCAGTGCTTCACATGAACATTTTGATTTGTCGTTATTATTCCTCTTGTTGTTCGTTTGTTGTATTTACATAGCTTTCCCTTTAGGGGGAGGGGGCGAATGTAGGATTAGGCTTGCATTGCATGCTGGGTTTGAGGTCGGCCATCTTGAGTAACCTCCTGCTAGCTTGTGTTTACTCGAAGTCTCCTTTCTTTTTCGCCTGATACTACAACGAAGACAACAGACAATGACTCGAAGAACAATTTTCGAAGCGAAGAAGTGTTTCCAAGGCCACGAAATTTTGTCCCCGATCTGACGCCATAAGTTATACGTCAACGAAATGCATTGACCGAGAAAGCCAGGGAAGACGCCGTGCGGGGCTAGGCTTGGGGCTAGGAAAACTCAGATCGACCCGAGAGAATTAATGTAGGATGCTGAAAGTTCTGAATCCACGGTACAAACGGCTGTGAAGATAAGTTTCTCCTTCAACCAACCACAAGGAGTATCAAAAAGAGATTAAGTCTTTCTGGAACTTTGGAAAATCCGCGACTGATTTGTGACGACTAGATCCCGCGAAAACGTCGTAAAACGTTAACTTTGTCACCTTTCTCGACAGTTTTCTTGTGTTGAATATGTTTCGAATACCAAATAACGTAATATACCGGAGGTATAACATCCATACCACAACGCAACAGCTAACTAAGCCTTAGTTAACTGTTGTGTTGTGGTATGGATAATTTAAAAAAAAACTTCTTTTCAAGTAAATAATCTAGTTATTCTTCTTTCGTTCTACGTTACTTCTTTAGTGCGTTGTTTTATAAACACTATCATTTTTAAGTGTACAGATCATAAAGAGACATAATATAAAGATTCTTTCCTAATTCACCCTCTGTCGTATCTTGCCAGCTGTGTCGTTGTTGTATCAGCCGGATGGGCTGGTTTTGTTTTAAGAAAATATGGTTGTATTTCCGAAATGCATGTCAGATATTTCTACCACTAATAGCCTGTCTACAACTTTGATACATTTGAACTACTGTGAACTACACCATCAGTGATTAGCGAAGTTCCGCTTGGCCGCCGCGCCTGTAGGCTTGAATACATGTTCATGATCAAATCGCACATCACGCAAGAACTGTAATACACTGTATAGAGACGAACGGAAGCGCTAAAGCGTGTCTTAACCAATACTCGATCCATCGATAGTCACTTAAGGTATCTTTAAATAGGAAAGGTAAGTCTACTTCTTTACTCTTCAACTTGGTTAGCTCTATCACATCAATTCAAACCTTAGAAAAAGGCTCGCTGTGATACAGCGAACCATGTAGGACTCAAAGCTGCCAAAGCTGGCTGAAAATGTAGATCGCTGCGCGAACGGAACGATTACACAGGGTATTTTTAACGATAAGGAAGGTGTGGTATATCTTCCTTCGAGATATTCTCACAAATATTCTCAAAATATAGTTGAAAATCAAGCCAGGTCAACATGTAGATTTCAGATTCATTTCCGCATTCCTGCATGCGTATTTAAATCAGAAGGGAATTCACACGCTTGAATTCGATGTAAATGTCTTCGAAGCGATTTTGTCCATGCAAAAATATTTCAACGTCACCAAATACAGAAAAGTTATCGTAAAAAATTTATTGTTCATTACGAATGCAGATTTGAATTTGTAACAGGCTACGGCATGCCCAGCAACGACTGACGGATTCCAGGGATTTATTCTTGGTTTTCACATGACGTTACCAAAATTCAAACTAAGAAACTATCGCTTCTTCTGAGTTTCTACTTTCGTGTGATACTAGAGCACCTTAAAACCTTTATACAAACAAATTTTCGGTTCAAAAGGGTTCTATGTTTTGCGATACAGGACGTTTGGATTTCCAGCCTGTTGCGTGACGCGCGCAGCATTTAGCTGCCGGCCGGGAAAGCACTTATGTGGGTTAAAAACATTACTGATTTTTGGAGATTTTGCTATCTAAACATTCCTTGTATTCGAATAAATATTAATTTAATCTTTATGAGTTACTCATATATTTATCTTCTTTCATTTCCCAGATTCTAGACTTTCTGTATTGAAAGGTTTCCATTTTTATTTCTGCTTTCTCACGTGAGTAAAAACCGAGAATTGAACTTTCGAATAATAATTTCATTAATGGAATATTGGGGGGTACACTTGACCTGGCTGGGCTGTAGAAAAATGTAAACATTCTATGTCGCAAAAACGATATGTTTATATTTCATATGAATTTACGCACACTAACGTTAACAAGACGCTGTGGAAGCGTATATTTGGGCGTGGTCGTACTACAGGTATGATACTTTGAAGATGCCTTATTGCAGTTAAACAAATGTCATCATATCTTACCAGAGAAGATAAATCCGTTACTCCGGTTGTTTGCTGAACCACACAGCTTATACAGTATGTCCCAATCCACAACAAGAATAGTGTCATTTCATGACAATGTTTGAAAATATGCACATCTTCAGTGCAGACATGCTTGGAGCCAAATTGCAACATAGGATATAAGAGGTTACAGCCCGGAGAGTAAGGTTTATCTCAGCTCCACTGATACTGACACTTTGAGGAAGATTGACTGACAGATGTGTTTTCACACCCATCACAATGTACAGTGTATACCGGTTACTAACAAGGGCAAATAAATTTCGCTAAGTCCAGTATCCACAAGGATTAATAAGGGAGTAACACACTGCATAAACTGGTATAGGGCAGCACTGTTTACAGGAACATTGGTAACTATTAACATTTGATATACTACAATGTTCAACATTGCTTCAGAAAAGATACCTCCAATTGCAAAACTCAACAAAATGCCACTTTAACCGGCCAGGAAAGACAAGGATACGTTTAGTTAAAGGTATCTTAGATTTGTTTTGTTATATTTTGACTTTTGGACTATTTTAGTTCATGGGAGTTTCGACGACTCATCCTATTTTGTCCATGTGAATATTAATATATTCATTTGACACATACTACGTCTGGGCCGCCTGTGATGTACTGCGTCACAATATACACAATTAGACGAAAAAACACAACACGCAATGCAAGCTAATACAAAACCAAGTACGTTAACCGTCACCCTGTTAAACAAAATTGAAATAATAAAAGAATTGTTGCAGTTATCACAGTAGTTCCAAAAGAAGCCTCAGTCCCTTTTGGTTTCAATTGTTGACTTTTTATCACAGGCAACTCGTTGTGTTCCGCATTGCAAAAATCGAAATCACTATTGTCACACTGATAACCAGCTACACAAATCTTGCGACTCTCAAACTTGTTAAACATTCCTCTGTTCAAAGTCTTATCCATTTTACACGTACACTCCTGATATTCCGATTTGTTATTGCGTCTATGGGGTCCATGAGTCTTTGATGTCATTGAATGTCTTGATAATTTCCTTTGTTTCTCTTTGAGTTCGCGGATCTGCCCATTCCAAAAACACTCAGTATTATTTTTTAGTGTGGGCCTACCGCGAACAGTGTGTGCATTTGTAAATTTAACCCGGGATAACATAATTGAACAATATATTAATACGTTCCCCGAAACGCCGCGGCCAAATGTTATCCAAACTGCTTCTTACTGCTGCTTCGAAAAATTTCGGATCAAACTATATATAAATCGTCCCTCATTGGATTATCCACTCGACCTAACAAAATCGACCAATCACAAAATAAGGAAAAGAAAATGGACATAAAACAAAGAAAACAGCAAATTCAGATGACCTCTTAGGAAACATGCAATTAAAACTGTCTTTCTATGATTGGTGCATTTCGATCCTCTCGTCAAAAAATGTCAGACGCCAATCATCTTAGCGGACCTCTTGGGAAACGAAAATTTACCTCAACGGGTTCAAAAGGTCATTGTTTGTGATTTGTGATTGGTGGATTTCGATCCGTTTTGTGAGTTTCTGTGTTTCAAGGTTCGTTATTTGTGATCTTATTGTGACCAAAATCCTATGTTCATATTCCAAATGTTTTTGATATATTTCATCCCTGGACTTCAGACTTCCAAATTTCGATGAGGCAAAAATACTGAAGATTCAGATTAACTTTTGAGATCGTAAAAGTGCGATAAAGCGCCGTGTGCTTGAAGAGCTTTCTTTCCCACATGCCTCTCACCTTGTACAAGACGTTCGCATGGCAGACATTCGCCTCGCTTCGCTTGTTTACTTGCTTTGTTTACGTTAGCACGTATTGTGTGCCTATTGCACATTTGCGTCAAAACAAGCCGTTTCCATTACTCTATTTGGGCTACGCCCAAATAACAATGAAATGTAAACAGGTCACATGCAAGGACAGTTGGTTAAGTATTTGCAGGGTTGCAGGAATGTCAGGGAAGTTTGCAAAAAGTCAGGGAGAATTTATGTCCAGTCAAATACTGTGAGGAAAAGGAAATTTCATTTCCAAATAAAGTCAGTTGTCACAGAGTCACGAGGATTACATATCAAAGCCTTTCTTCTCCCGAAAACAACTCTACAGTCGATCGAATTTTACAATCCAAATACCGTGAAAATCATAAGGTGATAGAAAAGAAAACAGTAGGTTATATGTTCCTAAAGAAGAATATTCTTCGACTGCAAAAAGAGGAGAAAAAATATAGGACTTAACTTATATGAAAAGCCAAGAATGTTTTTGTTCTCGTGCAATGTGTCAACGCTGTATAGAATTTTTCTCAGTGGATTGGTCTTGTGTTGTTCCTAGGATGAATTTAAAGATAAAACAAAAACGTAACCCATTGATTTTAATTTGTTTTTAGGTTCAGAAGACTGACCATGACAGCTCCAGCTCCAGTTCGTCTCTCGTGGATCCGCGCATCTTTCTACAGATTTCCTACGTTCCGTTTCTCCGTGCCAAGAGCACATTTAGTTCATAATAAGACCAGAAACTTGTTTTCAACAGGTACTTTCAAACCGCTACCAAGAGAAGAAATGCTTACAAAATTTAAGTCAAGAATAAAAGACCGACCATCCATGGCAGGTTCAACCGGGAAAGGATTCCCAAAATTCCTTGCAGAGCCAAGAGAATCATTCCCGCATGGCGTGCTCGTTACCAATCCCCAGCAATCCTCACTCGCCCAGCTGACGGCAAAATGTATGGAATATGTGGAAGAAAATCTCACACACCATCCCGCTATTTTATTTCGCAATCTCCCAGCCCAAACCGCGGGGGACTTTTCAATCATTGCACGGGAAATTCCAGGGAAAGCCTTGACTTATGAGGGAGGGGCTTCTTTTCGCCAAAGAATTGACGAGAATATAGGAACATACACCGCTAACAACGATCCAGATGAGATATCGATAGATCCACACAACGAAATGTCGTACAGTAGTGTATACCCATCCAAGGTAAACTATATTAACATTCAAGGCAGTTGAAGTTATCTAAATAATCATCTATCATCTAAATGTACAACGGAAATAATAATTATTAAACAACAAAATAAAAATAATAATTATTATAAACTAGTACTCAGTAATAACCAAAGGTTACGGGGTACGGGCGAAAACGATCGAAGGTCAAAACGCTTTTGCTCAAACGCTGTGGTTTGCATAAGTTGCGCGCGATAGATGGTCAAAACGTGGGTGATCAGATTGCGAGTGATGGATAGTTCAAATACGAGTGATCAAATTGCGTTCTGTGCATTCCATTCATTCTTATTGGAAGTGCAAACGAAGGTATACATGCGACGCATGCGTAATAACAACCTGGAGATTAGGATTGCGGGCTCCTCTTGTCGCCCGCAATTCTGTCTCCACGTAAAAATAGAGATAAAAACAAAACTAAATAATAAAATCTACATCTACATTTCTTTCTTCGGTAAAATGTTTTGTTCTCGATCTCCACCCCCAGGTTTTCTTCTTTTGTGTCAAAGAACCCGCTGATGGCTGCGGAGGTGAAACACCGCTGGTCAAAAATAGTGACCTTCTCTCTTCACTGGATCCTGATATCGTGAGGAGATTTGAAGAGAAACAGCTGCGATACGTGTGCTATTTGCCTGATAAATCCAACGCAGAATACATGAACTGGCAGCACATTTTTGACACTGACAACAGAGAGGTAAACGATTTCGTTTTAAATTCCATTTCACGGCCGGACGTACAACAAATGTATTTTTCTACTCTTATCTTCTCACGAACAAGGGGGAAAAATTCGTTAAAGATGTAAACTTTGCTGTTAAGAGCATTAACATAAAGGAAATATTTTAATTCCTATTATGACTAGAACAATTTCGTCTTTTGAGAGAGAGATTCTTGAGTTCACCACGCATCAGGCCCAGTCTAAAACGAAGTCAGAACGAAGTGGCTTGCGTGAATTCAGTGAAAAGATGTACAAAGGTGTGATCCATTGGACAAAAGGGGCAGAATGGAGAGTCTTCTTTTTTCGTTTGAAACAATATACTTTTAGTGCGCAGGATATTGTGGATAATTTCACACTGAAACATTGATAGCTTTTCCTCTATAGTTACAGGAGTTACCTAAAATGGCCTTGGAAGCGACATGCTGGTTATTGTAACCTGTTTGTTTAACGTTTCTTAGTTTGTAAGCTGTCTTTCACCGTTTGCATTATGTATGTAACTATAGTTTGTTTTTTATAAGAATATTATTTATTGTACTGAAATGTGATGCGAGGAATACTTGAATACAGTTGAAAAAAAAAGAAGACAACAGAAAGCAGAGTTTGCGATAGCCTCTCTCGCGCACCTAAAAGTTCGCGAATGCCCTCAAGGCGCTGCTACTCACTGAAGCGTACTTACGTACAGTCCTGAAACTGACTAGATTAGCTATAAGAACCAAATAGAATCCAGAATTCAATCAAATAAATGCAGAATCCACAGTAGTAAAAGAAAAATTCAAACATTTTAACTGCTGCCAAATTGAGTGAAACATGAAAATAACTGCTCAAAACATTACAAGAAGGTTTAAATAACAAAGAAAATACATAAGAAGGCACTGAGATAGACAAACTTTGAAGAAGATTAAATCGGACTGGAATTGTAGTTTTTGAAACCTCGTTAGCCTAACAGTTTTTCAAACTTCACGTTTGTTATGTGTAGTGCTGGAAACAATGCTTGGAACACAAAATCATTTGTTTTACATTTAGCTGTGATTTTGTTAGTAACAAGAAGTTTCTTCACTAACGTTGTGTTCCATAGAAAACAAGGGTCACGCGTAATTGAAAATATTGCAAAAATGAATAGCCGTCACGCAGCTCCTTTAATTTTCATTTCCTTTTTATAAATGTCTCATAGGTTGTGGAAACCATAGCAAAAGAGCAAGGCAGGAATTTCACCTGGGACCCTAGCGGTGATTTGTACATATGGCACAACAGGCCTGCCTTTATACATCACCCAGTCACTAGAAAGAAAACTTGGTTCAATCAAGCTACGACACACCATGGTTCCTATTACCGTCTACTGCCGGGAGGAGACAAGATCCAAGAAAATAAATATCCATCCCACACATTTTACGGCGATGGAAGCGATATCGAGCCCGCAGTAATACAGCACTTACTCGCCACTGGCTGGTCATGCGCAGTAGGGTTCAAGTGGAGAAAGGGAGACCTCTTGGTGCTCGACAACTTGGCAGTACAACACGGGAGGCTTGGATTTGAAGGGGACAGAAAGCTTTTGGTCTATATGACAAACTGATAGAATATACATTTGGAAGTCCAATGCGAGATTAATTATATCCTTACATCGACAAAACATGCTTTGTAGCGTGTAAGCAAGCTCTGCACTTAACAAACGATTGACGCGAAGATTCAGTATTCCACCCTAAAGAAATTGCTCTGTCTGCTCAGATAACGGTTGAGTAAGAAACTCAGAATACCAAAAAAGGGTCTTTTTTGTTATTTGGCTCCTTTCAACAATCAAACGATTAAAACATTGAAATTTTGTTCAAAGTTCAACAATTTAAAAAGGAGTCTGAACGCTTTGGTTTTTTCTTTCGTTTGTTTGTTTGTCATCGACCAATCATAATGTAAGGAGAGATTTTCCATGAATTCTTTATTTGCCTCAAATTTCATGTATAGATTTCAAATATTCGCTTTGACATTGTTCTTAGTCATTCATACTGAATTTGCAAAAGGGCTCGTGCCATTTTTATTATCCTTTGTTTCATCTGCTGTGTGTTCGCAAGGTAATAATCATAGAAACGCCAACAGTGTTCCTTAACAAACAAAGCTAATTGCTCGTTCTCTTTTATACACATTTTACGTCAATGTTGACTCTTGAAAGAATACTTAATTTCTTAATAATGGTTTATTTGACTTTAGTCTGTTTTTTCGTGATTTTACTACCGGACGACATTTATTCATAGTAACGCCTATCGTGCAGGTGCATCTCGTTTTAATTGCGATTTAGTTATATTTATTTGCGAAAATATATTTCATTAAGTTGTTAGTTAAAGAGATGTGATGACCGAATTTTGAATATGAAAGGTTTTGCAGTCTTGCAATTTTAAAAAGAGATCGGTTTTTGTTTAAGGTGAAAACTTCCAATTAGTCTGCGCTTTTCCTGTTTAAACAGCCGATAGCTGAACTTGCAATTTAATTCATAATTGTAACACTTTGTACGTAAACGCTGTTTTGCTGACCTGGCTAGGTCTTTGTCTCAGTACTTTTACTTTCTAAAATAGCAACAGTAACAAAAGATTTCAGGTTAAAAATAGAATTTGTATTTAGTTTTCATTTAACTCTAAGTGGTTTCTGTTTATATTTCTATTGTATTTTTTTGTCTTCAATGGTTGTAAAAATCATATATAAGTAAGTTAGTTTTAAGTGATTGTCGATTATTTTGCCGTGTCCCAGCCGAGTTTTTGCTGTTTGATCCGCTGAAGAATAAACGCTGTTGGAACCAAGTTTAGTTCTGTTTTATCTACTGCTGTACCAGTTAGTGGTCTGATCCCGGTCCTACAGAGAAGTCACGGCTCTTCCCCTCAAGCGAGTTGCCATTTGAGTCTAGTTTTCCCCAGTTTTACCGTGAGTCAAGCACCGAGTTCCCGTTGAGCCTTAAATTCGTTTCAAAGTGGAAAAACCTTCCGTCACAATAACTAGAAATACGTGAATCGCAGAGCTTCGCGAAGCAAAGGTTAAGTAAAGGTTAGAAGTAGGAAAAAAGGAAAGAAGTCAGTAGGGAAAAGAAAATATGAAAGAAAAATAAACAAACAAACAAATAAGTAAGCAAAACAACAAAAAAAAAGAGGAAGAAGAAGAAGAAGAGCGAATTAAGTAAGTGTAGAACCCGCAAATCCTGTTTTGGGCACCACTTTTTTTTACCATTATACTACTGAGGATGATTAAATAAACGGGATGAAAAGTGTTTAATTTAACGCCTTTTCCATGGATTTTCCGCAGGCAAACACCGTTTTAAGCTGATCGAGCCGTATTAAAAACGAATTCAAAGATATATTTCAGGAAAATAACCAGGCTTTCGACGGTAAAAAAACAAATTTAAAATCATACCTTTTTTCTCTGAATAACAAAGAAATGTTTTTCTAAATAAAATCGACAAATGAAATTTACACTTACAATACATGCATCTTCTCGACTCTAATGTGCAGTTTTAACACAACTGAACATGCACTAAAACATACCTTTAGTCACCATGAAACTGTCAAGTAAAGCAACGTCTGTTTTTTTGTAGTTGAGTAATTAACAACGCAACGTAAGCTGTTTTGCCAATAGTTCAATACCCAATGTGAACCAATTTCTGTTCCGCGGACGATTAAACTTGCGTGCAACGAGATGATTTCTAAAGCGTTTAAGTAAGCGCACGTGTTTACAATCTGCAACTTAGTACAACATAAACATAGTTTACACATCTCCTTTGCTAGCTCAATCACCATAGCTATACTGGCACGCAATCGGAATATACCACGAAAAGTTTAAAAACAGGTTCCTGCCTATTAACGGCCATAGATTAATAAAAATACATGTACAGCAAAAGCTTAACACCAATTTGGCTTCTTAAGACGAGATAGAAGCTGATTTATTGGCATCGCAATGCGCGGAAGTTCAGCATTTAAATTCGCGGTCCAGTCCATTCGATTGGGACGTCGCCCGGTTTAAACACATTCACGATTTTGCTATATAAGAAATGATACTTGCTTAGTTATATAATCTAGGAGAAAGAGGACCGTAACTGTTATCGATAACATAACCCTCTTCTAGCGTTAATCATGCGTTGCTTTCTGTTAATTCGATCGAACCAGAAACTCATAATCGAACTAAATTTACACAAGCCGGCAGGTACAAAAGGTCACAAAAAGGGCACCATTTTAGAAGAGATATCTTCACTGTCTGAAAGGTCAAACGACAATCGATATAACTATAAACACTAAAGAAATGTTTCCCTACCTTTCTAGCCGTCTTTGCAGACCGCTTGATCCTCCCTAACTCTTGTATTCTCAAGCTAAACCCTTGGAAAGAGCCAACACGGCCAGCTGAGGCCGGGCGAAGAATCCCGATCCTTCAAAAGGCCAGGTCGCAAAGCAAAGAAACAACGAACGTGCAATGTACAATTTAGCCAATCATAAAGTTACAGATAATTCCCTTGGGTGTAAACCCGCCAAACTTGAATACAGTCGAACCACTCAATAATGTATTGTTTTTTTGTTTGTTTGTTTGTTTTTTTGAGGGAAAAAAACAGATGCAGACGAATTGACAAACAATTGGATCAGGCGTATTTTTTCCCCGCCGAAAAAAAAAAAAATCTCGCCTGATCGCACGTTGGTGAGGTTCTGACAAATATACTTTTTTCTAAGTTATCAAGTTGTCCAAGGAAAGTTATTTGTATACCCTGGGTGGTGTAGTAAATTCAGTGAACAAAGAGAACAAAGTGTGGTCGCTTACAATGGAAAATTATAGCCTGCTAGTAAGCTCTCCGAAAATTATAAAACCGTCAGCCCCAAAAGTGGTCCGGCTTACAAAAGATCGCCGTCGCTTACAGGAGAGTCTCTAATAAATAGAGCTATGACTTAAAATATTTTGGTCTTTTGATCTGTGGTCGCGTATCGGAGGAGGTCGCTTTCAAGAGGTGGGTGCACATGGAGGCTGTATGGCTAAATATTCAAAACCGGTTCAACACTCGTTTTAAGGCGGATGTGAACCTTGCCGTCAATCAGAGCTGATCAAGACAGCTCACAAGCGGGGATTCACCACTGACAAGAGCCATAATGGCTCTTCCTCCGGGGTGGGGGACTCAGCAAATGAAAGGGGTGTGGATGCTCGTCGTCTCGCTTAGGAGCGTAAATTTTGGACTTTGGTCTCAGTTAGGGTGTTCTGGGCAAAACGCCATAATATTTGGCCGTGAAGTTCTCGTTTAGGGTTGCTCGCGAAAAAATTTAAAAATATATATATTGTCTGTGTTTTAACATGGTCTCTTTTAGGGGTAAAAAAAAAAAAAGCTTGGGCCACGCCCAGATTGGTCTCCTTTAGGGGTTTAATTCAAAATTTCAGACGAGCATCTCCACCGCTTTCATATGCGGAGTCCCCCCCGGGCCCCCGGGCTCTTCCCACTGATGAGAAAATGGGAAGTGCTCTGCTGATCGCAAGTTTATAGGGCTGAACATTATAAGCTTGTGAAAACAACCAACATTTCCCGACATGTCATTTCCAGGGTGACGTCGCAAAGTGTTTTGTCTGGCTACAACTTCTGGCAAGCGAAGCCAGCCGCGTGAGAAAAGGCGAGCGTCGGAAAGTGGCAAGGCCTTTCTACCCCCCTTCCTCGCTCTCGCTTCCTTTCGTGTACCGCTCGCGCGTGACTTTTCGCGTTACAGTGACGATATATATCCACCAACTGAAGACCTTGTTTGCGGGATACAATATCAGCTGTAACACCTTTGCTATAAATTTACTTGCTGAGGTCAGTAAAAAATAGGCAGTCACGTTGTTGAGTGAGAAAAATCATCTGAGACTGAAATGAACATTACATTTAATCACAGGCAAGAGCGATTCTCTCTTGATAACAGAGCACTTGGTATTCATCACTTATTTCGCTCAATATTAAAGGTTTTGAGTAAATATTGCGTTCCTGTCGAGGATTGTTGTAAGAGAAGAAACTTGACTTTACTTTGCTGTTTGGCGGTTTCTATTTGTGACTTCGGGCTTCCACTTGACTAGAACTTGCCTAGTCAATGTATGAAGTTTTCCCAGTCCCTCTCGGTCAATTCACTTCGATGACGTATCCGAGGTTATCCGAGGCTAACGGGCGGGAAACGCCTCACATTTCCGCTTGGACCACGTGACCCGAAACGTTTTGGCCGCGCAGCAAAATGAGGGGTTTAGTTATACATTGTAATAGCCTGCGAGCAAGCTAACCGGGGCGCTCTGGCGGCGGGGAGGGAAAAAGAAGGAGAGCTTTCAACCACGTCTCTGGAGTTTGAATATCTGCATCGAAAAAGTCGATGCGAAATGCTGATTGGCGGACATGACATTAGTAATGACCTCATTACCCCTGGCATGTGTTTTTCAATGTTTCTTTACATTCGCGCTCGTTTCCGCTTCGCGCTGATTGGCGGAAATTTGACAACTCGGTCGACGGGGAGCCACAGTGGAACTGGAGGTGGAATTCAAATTCCAGAGACATAGTTGCAAGCTCTCCTTCCTTTTGCCGCCCCGCCGCCAGAGCGCCCTGAGAGCTTGCTCCTAGGCTTAGTTATAATTCTGCAACAGGCATTCCCGGAGTTCCACCGAGAGGTTCAGAACAGTTTATGGATGGGTAAAGTGTGACTGGCACAAAAGACAAATTCATAAAAAAATGCTTTATTTATTTCAAACTCATTATTGTATCATCTAGGTACAAACTTATTGGCCTTTGGTAAAGGCATTTGCAACGGTAAACACGCCACACTAAATATAGCAAAATGATCTATCTTTAGACAGTAAGAAATTTGGCATAAAAATAGAGGGACTAAGGAATGCTTTCTGGAAAAGCATTGAGCGTTCTTTGTTTAGAATGATTTTACTTGACCCATGAAACAGATAACTACTAGTGTAATATAGCTACAAGTAAACAAAAGAAGACAATGGAATTAGTGCATAATAGCAAGGCAGTATTCTACTACTGTACCTATTTCTCGGGTTAAGTAAAACCATTCTAACACACTCGTTGACTCACAGTTTAAGTTACTACGCCGTGGTAAATTTTAAGAATCTTTCTTTTACTTTGTTTTATTGTGTGTTTGCCCGTTCTTTTGATTGACGTTTAGTCTGATCCGAACCCCGGTTAATGATTTAACTGCCATTTATTTATCAATTTGAGTTCGGTAAATTCAACACTAAAACGGTTCTTCCAACGAATTACAGTACTCAGATCTTGGCTAGTCCCTAGGCCTCATTATTCCGCGCGGCCCATGCGTTCCAGGCCACGTGGTCCGAGCGAGTTATGTGTCACTGAAATGCATTGACCGAAAAGGCCAGGGAAGACGCCGTGCGGGGGCTAGGCAAACTCAGATGACCAATTAATAAAGAATACTCAAAGTTCTGGAGCCTCGGTACAACGGGCGTGAAAATTAGTTTCTCTTTCACCCAACCTTAAGGAGTATATCAAAAAGAGATTATTAGTTTTTCTGGATGTTTCGAAAATACGGGAAATTTGTGACAACTAGATCCCGCGAAAACGTCACTTCAGATACTATTGTCAACTTTCTCGACAGTTTTGTTGTGTTGAATATGTTTCGATCACCAAATAACGTAATATAGAAGGTGAACAACAAAAACTGAATAACATCCATACCACAACACGACAGCTAACTAAAGATAATTTCCGCAGCATAAAAAAAACTTTTTTTAAGTAAATAATCTAGTTGTTCTTCTTTCGTTTTACGTGACTACTTTGGTGCGTTGTTTTAGAAACTCTACTATTTTTAAGTGTACAGATCAAAAAGCCCGGGGGGGGTACTCGCAGAAAAATTGGGTAGGGGTGTGCGGCCCGCTTCCCAAAACCCTTACCCTTTTTATGACCAAAATCTGCGATTTTCCCTACCCTATTTATGACCTAACCAAAAATTTGATACCCTATTTATGACCTGACCCTTAAATCAATACCCTGTTTCAGACCTGCCTTATAATTATTTCCCTAGTTTCAGACCAATGTTAAAGGCAATGTTTATCTGCTTTTATTAGGTAGGTTATAAGACTGCAAAGTTAAGACTACAGTGCAAAAATCGTTACCCTATTTATGACCAAAATGGCGGCAAAATAGGCAAAATCGATACCCAATTTATGACCAAAACGGCTGAAAAACCCTACCCTTTGGGGCCGCACATACCTGTATAGCCCATATTAGGGAGTACCCCCCCCCCGGGTCAAAAAGAGACATAATATAAAGACTCTTCGCCAGTTCACCCTCTGTCGTATCTTGCCAGCTGTGGAAGATCACCTGAAAACGAAACAACGTTGAAAATCGAATTTAAGTAGCTGTACACGGCTGTCTGTTTGAATTTATTTTTTTGTAATATTGCCAATTACACTTCCTTATGCACTATGTAGAACTACGTGAGCGAGAAATTACGTGTAAACAACAAAATTACAGCTTCTCGTCAAAGAAATATGTCTCGCGAGCATTATGTCAAACGTAACAAACAAAAAATGAACTTTGAAAAACTGTTAGGCTAACATGCTTTCAAAAACCCACAACTGCGTTCCGTCTTAATCTTCTTGAAGTTTCTCCATCCATGCCTCCTTTTGTAATTGCTGTGTTATTTATACTTTCTTCTTATGTTTTGAGCGTTTATTTTTATTTGTCACTCAATTTATAACACAGCTCCTTTAAAAGGCATGGTAAACATCTCAGTGGAAGGAAAAAATAAATAGGAAGAGTTAATACCGTTTTGGAAGGCTCTGTTAGCAGGAACCCATTCTCCGAAAAACGACCACGGACGTCTTTGGCCATCAACCATACAAAACAAGCTGGAGACTGGGCTTGAACGGACACTCTAAATTCTGTCTTGGATAACTGGGCAACTTTGGAAATCTAGAAAAATACGTAGATCTCAGGGTCATGCATGTGAAAGTCTTCATGTAACTAACAAAGACGTATATAAAAATATAAGTAGAATTAGCTTTCAGAGAATTTCAACCTTTAACTGAGGATCTTGTAAGCCGATAGCGTCTGATAGATTGGAAAGGAAGAATACGTTGGCTGGCCCGAGGTCTTCCTCGGTGCTGAAGTCTATGGGAGTCATGGTGAACACACAGTGTCTTGGGCTCTCACACCCGCTTGATTTTACAAGAATCTTCAAGTCATCAGCAAAAACAAATTTCTGAAATAGAAACAGCAGCACACATAAGAAGGCATTAAAACGTGGTGGGAAAACTTGCCACTAAAAAGAATTAAGTCAATGACATGACTGCGTAAATGAACAACTATATCAGCTAACGCTACACCAGTCGCGTGGCATAGGTAACATTCGCTCAGGTTGTCATGGGGCGTACCCATAGAAATCTGCGCCTGGCTCTCGGTCAGTTCAGGCGAGCGAAAAGAGCGGGCTAGCAGCGAAAAAGCGAGCGAAAAACGGCGGGAAGAGAGAAGGTGAGTTCCTGTAAGCATCTTTCCAAATACCTCAGTCCACCAGTCTGTTTCTCGTGCAAAAATGTCAAATGTCAAAATGCCAAAATGTGCGGTGTGGAAGGGATTCACAGGCTCACCATGTTTGTATCACTCTACGCGCTCGAAGCCAAGCGATCGATTTAAGTGTTGACAGAAACTGTCAAAATTGACCAATCACAGGATACCAACAGCTGGTATACCGGAATGAAGTATTGAAAAGCTCCACATCACCGTTTCCCCCCAGCCCCCTCGCGGTTTTCGCGCAAAGTTTCTAGATTCGCCTTCCCTGCTATCCTGGAGCTTGGAACAAGCTATGCTTATATGGACTCTGATGTTTGGTACTGAGAATACGTGAACAGTCTAAAAATTACTGTGGTCGTTTCTTTTGTTTCCTCTTCATGACTTACAAGTAAGTTAGAGACATATAACATAGGCTAAAAAACAACTCGTTGTTCTGTTCACTCAGTAACTTGGCTACTCACAGAGGACTGTGGATCAATGTTAAAAGTGACGTTCATTGTAGACAACGGTTTGAACGAAGACCAGGCCCAAGCCTTAATAGACACAACACCCTGGGTGATAGGCTGAAAAAATAAATAAATAAATAAATAAAGCCATAGTGAAATTTCTTGGCTCTCTTTCATAAGTAGGTGCACATAATTTAATTTAATCCATTTTCACTGCATACAAGTCAATACAGTTTGACACGAAGGGAGCAGCTGGGAACGACTTGTAGGGAACAGAAGACCCAAACGAGCTAATTCACCCATTTTAAAATAACACTGTTGTAGTTATAACACAATTTCGACCCTGCTCGCCACAGAGCCTCCAGAAGCTGGTTAGAGCATCCGAACTAGAACTCGGAGGGTCGTGAGTTTGATTCTCACCTGGTAATCGGAATTTTTTCTGAGCTTTCTGGTGTTAGAAATCTCCTTCTTTCAAATTACAATTTTAAAAAAAAGAACGAAACAGAAACTGTCAGAAAAAGTAACATACAAACTGCTAATTAAGATTTACGTTTGTAACTAGAAAAGTACACTAGGGGCCAACCATTTGACTTTCGAGGGCGGATATGGGTGATTTCAGAAAAATCCTGCAAACTGACTTGCAAGGAAATACCTAGGGGAAAAAATTCCCACACTATATATAATATATCTTTCAAGGCGTATAAGGCTGGAAAAAATCTTACAACATTGTATTTCAGGGAAAAATTATTTCACCAGAGGTTTGGGAAAAATAAAATTACCCAAACCAAATCACCCATACCCACCTCGAAAGTAAAATGGTCGGTTCCTTAGTCTTTTAGTCTCATCGTGCAGGATGTAAGAAGCAGTTACCTTCATTAGGTCGGACACCACGAAAAGTTTAAATTTCCCGCTTTCCACATAAGATGAAGCTATCACCGGAGCATAGAAATCCTTTGCGAAATAATGCAGCACCTGCAGGGTAGGTAAGTAAGTAAGTAAATACTTTATTTGGTAAGGGTAACAATAAAAAGCTAAAAGCTACTCAGCCTGTGGCCCTCGAATCAGTTAATTAATTAATAAATCAATCAATTTAAAATACCAGTATCTAATGACTAAAACTATATTGATATGTAAAAATCTAAAAACAAATTTACATAAATGGAGCTAAATATGAAAATGCTTTAAGCTAAGCTGTTCTTTAAAAATTGAATTCTACAAACTCTTCTTAAAAGCAGGAAGAGAATCCTAAGTAAGAAAGACTTTTCAGGTTTTATTACATTTGGTAAATAACGGCGGTATTTTAATGTTTATGAAACTTCATGCTGAAAAGGTTGTTCTCAATTTCACAATGCGTATGGCCTAATCTCCGGGTCTTCTAATACTCGAAAGTCCTTAATCTTGTCTACATGCGTGAAGTTAATATACAAACAGATATTACCCCTGTTTTCCGCTCTTTTATACCATGAAGAGACGTGAACAAGACCAAAATAAGTTATTTGTTTACCTTCCAACGGCCTCCATATTCCAATGAAGACCAACTGGGAGCTTGCCAAATACTATTCAACCTGATAAAAACAATTAATCGAATTTAAAAGAGGTTTCCTTTAAAGTAAATCGAAACTCGTAGCACACGGTGGCTTTTTACAAGATTGAGCCTTTCGGAGTAAATGTGAGATTTTTTGTAAGTTTTTTTCTCTTATTCTCCTACCGATGGTTGGCTCAAATGCGGTTATTGCGAGCATAAAAATCGAGCCATAAATCATGGCCAAACTTTCAGTGATAATAAAGGGAAATATCGGCGATAGTTGAAGGCACGCTAGAACAAACATCATTATTTTCATCATTATCATCATCATCATCGTCGTCGTCGTTGTCACTCCTTCCTGTATTGCTCCATACAACGTACACCTTCTGGCAATGTTGGGTAGACCGTGCTGATCACATTGTAGTCAAACTGGCAATATTGACTGAACATTAGGTTTGGGCGACCGATTTTGCGTTCACCATGGTTGTTTACTATTTACCAAAACTTTCCGGAAAATCCGGTTGGAAAGTAAGTGAGTCGTTCCAGCGGAAAATTTCCGGGTGCAACGGAACATCTGAAAAGGTAGTCCTGTTGTTTCAAGCGGAAATTCGTGTACCATAAGTTAAAAACTATCTTTGATACCAGTTTCAGACTTTCGCGGTCGTTTTTCGGTAAATGGAACTGATCTGTACAAATGGTAAACGCGATTCCGGGACGAAATTTATCAGTCCTGAATTGTGCTTACCATTTGCCCAAACCGTGAACTGACCGGTTTGCCCTTGTAAATACAGCTGTTTCAAGAAAGGTTGTCGGACGAAATGTGCACGCGACAACCCCGAAAGGTAATATGGGATATGATCAATACACTGTTCGTAAAGACTGTCGCCGTCCAACCTACTTTTGCTGCTTTCCATTAGCACTCGCGAACATATGTCCGTGGCCTCTCGTGCCATTCTTTCAAATTTCTTTGGAGAACAGGGCAGACAAAACCTCCCACAATACCTTTGGGGATTGTCACGTGCACTTTTTCCGACAACTTTTCTCGAAACAGCTGTACATGGTAAACAACTCATGTCTACTTGGAGTGGAAAGCGCGTGCTTAATTACCAGTTCATTCTCTGGTTTCTCACAGGGTTGTGCCCCAACGTGTCGTTGTTGTATCAGCCGGATGGGCTGGTTTTGTTTCAAGAAAAATATTCAAGAAAATATCGTTGTATTTCCGAAATGCATGTTAGATATTTCTACCGCTAATAGCCTGTCTACAACTTTGATACACTTGAACTACACCATCAGTGATTAGGGAGGTTCCGCTTGGCCGCCGCGCCTGTAGGCTTGAATACATGTACTGGATTAAATTTGGCTTAAATTGCACATCACGCCGCCAGAACTGTAATACACTGTATAGAGACAAACGGCAGCGCTAAAGCGTGTCTTAACCGATACTCGATCCATCGACAGTCACTTAAGGTATCTTTAAATAGGAAAGGTAGGTCTACTTCTTTACTCTTCAACTTGGTTAGCGCTATCACATCAATTCAAACCTTACGAAAAGGCTCGCTGTGATACAGTGAACCATACGCTAGGACTCAAAGCTGCCGAAGCTGGCTGCAAATGTAGATCGCTGCGCGAACCGAACGATTACACAGGGTTTGTCTGCCGAGAAATGAGTTAAAGGGACGGTCATATCAAAGGTATTTTTAACGATAAGGAAGGTGTGGTATATCTTCCTTCGAGATATTCTCACAAATGTTCTCAAGCCAGTTCAACATGTAGATTTCCGCATTCCTGCATGCGTATTTAAATCAGAAGGGAATTCACACGCTTGAATTCGATGTAAATGTCTTCCAAGCGATTTTGTCCATGCAAAAATATTTCAACCTCACCAAATACAGAAAAGTTATCGTAAAAAATTTATTGTTCATTACGAATGCAGATTTGAATTTATAACAGGCTACGGCATGCCCAGCAACGACTGACGGATCTTAGTTTTCACATGACGTTACCAAAATTCAAACTAAGAAACTATCGCTTCTTCTGAGTTTCTACTTTCGTGTGATACTAGAGCACCTTAAAACCTTTATACAAACAAATTTTCGGTTCAAAAGGGTTCTTTGTTTTGCGATACAGGACGTGTGAATTTCCAGCCTATCGCGCGACGCGCGCAGCATTTAGCTGGCGGCCGAGAAAGCTCTTATGTGGGTCAAAAACATTACGGATTTTTGGAGATTTTGCTATCTAAACATTCCCTGTCTTAGAATAAATATTACTTTAATCTTTATGAGTTCCTCATATATTTATCTTCTTTCATTTCCCAGATTCTAGACTTTCTGTATTGAAAGATTTCCATTTCTATTTCTGCTTTCTCACGTGAGTGAAAACCGAGAATTCAACTTTCGAATAATAAGTTCATTAATGGAATATTGGGGGGGTACACTTGACCTTCCTGGGCTGTAAAAAAATGTAAACATTCTATGTCGCAAAAACGATATGCTCATATTTCATATGAATTTATGCACACTAACGTTAACAATGAAATGTAAACAGTTCACATGCAACGACATTTGGTTAAGTATTTGCAGGGTTGCAGGAATGTCAGGGAAGTTTGCAAAAAGTCAGGGAGAATCTATGTCCAGTCAAATACTGTGACGGAAAGGAAATTTCATTTCAAAATAAAGTCAGTTGTCACAGAGTCACGAGGATCACATATAAACGCCTTTCTTCTCCCGAAAACAACTCTATAGTCGATCGAGTTTTACAATCCAAATACCGTGAAAATCATAAGGTGATAGAAAAGAAAACAGTAGCTTATATGTTCCTAAAGAAGAATATTCTTCGACTGCAAAAAGAGGAGAAAAAATATATGAGAGTTAACTTATATGAAAAGCCAAGAATTTTTTTGTTCTCGTGCAATGTCTCAACGCTGTATAGAATTTTTCTCAGTGGATTGGTCTTGTGTTGTTCCTAGGATGAATTTAAAGATAAAACAAAAACGTAACCTATTGATTTTAATTTGTTTTTAGGTTCAGAAGACTGACCATGACAGCTCTAGCTCCAGTTCGTCTCTCGTGGATCCGCGCATCTTTCTACAGATTTCCTACGTTCCGTTTCTCCCTGCCAAGAGCACATTTAGTTCATAATAAGACCAGAAACTTGTTTTCAACAGATACTTTCAAACCGCTACCAAGAGAAGAAATGCTTACAAAATTTAAGTCAAGAATAAAAGGCCGACCATCCATGGCAGGTTCAACCGGGGAAGGATTCCCAGAATTCCTTGCAGAGCCAAGAGAATCATTCCCGCATGGTGTGCTCGTTACCAATCCCCAGCAATCCTCACTCGCTCAGCTGACTGCAAAATGTATGGAATATGTGGAAGAAAATCTCATACAGCATCCCGCTATTTTATTTCGCAATCTCCCAGCCCAAACCGAGGAGGACTTCTCTATCATTGCGCGGGAAATTCCAGGAAAAGCCTTGACTTATGAGGGAGGGGCTTCTTTTCGTCAAAGAATGGACACGAATATAGGAACATACATCTCTAACAACGATCCAGATGAGATGTCGATAGATCCACACAATGAATTGTCATACAGTAGTGTATACCCATCCAAGGTAAGCTATACTAACATTCAAGGCAGTTGAAGTTACCTAAATAATCATCTATCATCTAAATGTACAACGGAAATAATAATTATTAAACAACAAAATAAAAATAATAATTATTATAAACTAGTACTCAGTAATAACCAAAGGTTACGGAGTACGGGCGAAAACGATCGAAGGTCAAAACGCTTTTGCTCAAACGCTGTGGTTTGCATAAGTTGCGCGTGATAGATGGTCAAAACGTGCGTGATCAGATTGCGAGTGATGGATAGTTCAAATGCGAGTGATCAAATTGCGTTCTGTGCATTCCATTCATTCTTATTGGAAGTGCAAACGAAGGTATACATGCGACGCATGCGTAATAACAACCTGGAGATTAGGATTGCGGGCTCCTCTTGTCGCCCGCAATTCTGTCTCCACGTAAAAATAGAGATAAAAATAAAACTAAACGATAAAATCTACATCTACATTTATTTCTTCGGTAAAATGTTTTGCTCTCGATCTCCACCCCCAGGTTTTCTTCTTTTGTGTCAAAGAACCCGCTGATGGCTGCGGAGGTGAAACAACGCTGGTCAAAAATAGTGACCTTCTCTCTTCACTGGATCCTGATATCGTGAGGAGATTTGAAGAGAAACAGCTGCGATACGTGTGCTGTTTGCCTGATAAATCCAACGCAGAATACATGAACTGGCAGCACTCTTTTTACACTGACAACAGAGAGGTAGACGATATATTTTGTTTTAAATTCCATTTCACGGCCGGACGTACAAGAAATGTATTTTTCTACTCTTATCAGTCTTCTCACGAACAAGGGGGACAAATTTGTTAAAGATGTAAACTTCGCTGTTAAGAGCATTAACATGAAGGAAATACTTTAATTCCTATTATGACTAAATGACTGAGGGCTAAACTAAGCAGAAGGTAGAATCTTGATTAATAATGCCAAGAACAATTTCGTCTTTTGAGAGAGAGATTCTTGAGTTCACCACGCACGTGGCCCAGTCTAAAAACTCTTTTCAGAACGAAGTGGCTTGCGTGAATTCAGTGAAAAGGTGTACAAAGGTGTGATCCATTGGACAAAAGGGGCAGAATGGAGAGTCTTCTTTTTTCATTTGAAGCAATATACTTTTAGTGCGCAGGATATTGTGGATAATTTCAAGGTGAAAAATTGATAGCTTTACCTCTATAGTTACAGGAGTTACCTAAAATGGCCTTGGAAGCGACATGCTGGTTATTGTAACCTGTTTGTTTAAAGTTTCTTAGTTTGTAAGCTGTCTTTCACTGTTTGCATTATGTATGTAACAATAATTTATTTTTTATAAGAATATTATTTATTGTACTGAAGTGTGATGCGAGGAATACTTGAATAATTTGAAAAAAAAAGAAGACAACAGAAAGCAGAGTTTGCGATAGCCTCTCTCGCGCACCTAAAAGTTCGCGAATGCCCGCAAGGTGCTGCTAATCACTGAAGCGTACTTACATACAGTCCTGAAACTGACTAGATTAGCTATAAGAACCAAATAGAATCCAGAATTCAATCAAATAAATGGAGAATCCACAGTTCAAACATTTGTAACCGCTGCCAAATTGAGTGAAACATGAAAATAACTGCTCAAAACATTAGAAGAAGGTTTAAATAACAAAGAAAATACATAAGAAGGCACTGAGATAGACAAACTTTGAAGAAGATTAAATCGGACTGGAATTGTAGTTCTTGAAACCTCGTTAGCCTAACAGTTTTTCAAACTTCACGTTTGTTATGTGTAGTGCTGGAAACAATGCTTTGAACACAAAATCATTTGTTTTACATTTAGCTGTGATTTTGTTAGTAACAAGAAGTTTCTTCACTAACGTTGTGTTCCATAGAAAACAAGGGTCACGCGTAATTGAAAATATTGAAAAAATGAATAGCTCCTTTAATTTTCATTTCCTTTTTGTAAATGTCTCATAGGTTGTGGAAACCATAGCAAAAGAGCAAGGCAGGAATTTCACCTGGGACCCTAGCGGTGATTTGTACCTATGGCAAAACAGGCCTGCCTTTATACATCACCCAGTCACTAGAAAGAAAACTTGGTTCAATCAAGCTACGACACACCATTGTTCCTATTACCGGACAAGCCAAGGAGACAAGATCCCAGATAATAAATATCCAGGCCACTCGTTTTATGGTGATGGGAGCGATATCGAGCCCGCAGTAATACAGCACTTACTCGCCACTGCCTGGTCATGCGCAGTAGGGTTCAAGTGGAGAAAGGGAGACCTCTTGGTGCTCGACAACTTGTCTGTACTGCATGGAAGGCTTGGATTTGAAGGGGAAAGAAAGGTTTTGCTCTATATGATCAAGTGATAGAATATATATTTGGAAGTCAAATGCGAGATTAATAGGCCACTTCCGAGTTCCAAAAACCCTCACTTTGAAAATGAGGCTAGGTGCACAACCTTTTCAGTGTGAAAATGAGTTTTATTTGCACGAGAATGAAAAATGATTTCCATATCAAAGGCTGAGCACCTACCCTCGTTTTGAAACAGAGGCCCAGGGGAACTCGGAAACGGCCTGTTATATCCTTTACCTCACATCGACAAAACGTGCAAGCTAGCTCTGCACTTAAGAAAAGATTGACGTGAAGATTCAGTAATCTACCCTAAAAGAAATTGCTCTTTCTGCTCAGAGAACGGTTGAATAAGAAACTCAGACTACCAAAAAAGGGTCTTTTTTGTTATTTGGCTCCTTTCAACAATCAAACGATTAAAACATTGAAATTTTGTTCAAAGTTCAACAATTTAAAAAGGAGTCTGAACGCTTTGGTTTTTTCTTTGGTTTGTTTGTTTGTCATCTACCAATCATAATGTAAGGAGAGATTTTCCATGAATTCTTTATTTGCCTCAAATTTCATGTATAGATTTCAAATATTCGCTTTGACATTGTTCTTAGTCATTCATACCGAATTTGCAAAAGGGCTCGTGCCATTTTTATTATCCTTTGTTTCATTTGCTGTGTGTTCGCAAGGTAATAATCATAGAAACGCCAACAGTGTTCCTTAACAAACAAAGCTAATTGCTCGTTCTCTTTTATACACATTTTACGTCAATGTTGACTCTTGAAAGAATACTTAATTTCTTAATAATGGTTTATTTGACTTTAGTCTGTTTTTTCGTGATTTTACTACCGGACGACATTTATTCATAGTAACGACTATTTGCGAAAATATATTTCATTAAGTTGTTAGTTAAAGAGATGTGATAACCGAATTTTGAATATGAAAGGTTTTGCGGTCTTGCAATTTTAAAAATAGATCGGTTTTTGTTTAAGGTGAAAACTTCCAATTAGTCTGCGCTTTTCCTGTTTAAACAGCCGATAGCTGAACTTGCAATTTAATTCATAATTGTAACACTTTGTACGTAAACGCTGTTTTGCTGACCTGGCTAGGTCTTAGCCTGCGCGCAGACGAAATTAAACTCTGGTTAACTCCGTCTGCGAAACAGCGCCGAAATCCTTGCTCTGGACTTCCAGCTGTGTACCCAGATTTGAGTACGCGCCACGATTGGCCAGTTAAAAAAGGCCTTTGTTTTGTTTGTCGTGATCGCCAATCAGGTTGAAGGGAAATTCGAAACCCACTTCCGGTAATTCGTTGAGTCCGTCGGGGGTTCAGAACAAGGATCTCTGCGCTGCTTCGCAGACGGTACTAATCAGAGCTTAGTTATCGTCTGCACGCAGGCTAGCTAGGTCTTTGTCTCAGTACTTTTACTTTCTAAAATAGCAACAGTAACAAAAGATTTCAGGTTAAAAATAGAATTTGTATTTAGTTGTCATTTAACTCTAAATGATTTCTGTTTATATTTCTATTGTATTCTTTTGTCTTCAATGGTTGTAAAAATCATATATAAGTAAGTTAGTTTTAAGTGATTGTCGATTATTTTGCCGTGTCCCAGCCGAGGTTTTGCTGTTTGATCCGCTGAAGAATAAACGCTGTATCTATGTATCTGTATCTGTATCTGTATTTATCTACTGCTGTACCAGTTAGTGGTCTGATTCCGGTCCGACAGAGAAGCGACGGCTCTTCCCCGCAAGCGAGTTGCCATTTGAGTCTAGTTTTCCCCAGTTTTACCGTGAGTCAAGCACCGAGTTCCCGTTGAGCCTTAAATTCGTTTCAAAGTGGAAAAACCTTCCTTCACAACAACTAGAAATACGTGAATCGCAGAGCTTCGCGAAGCAAAGGTTAAGTAAAGGTTAGAAGTAGGAAAAAAGGAAAGAAGTCAGTAGGGAAAAGAAAATATGAAAGAAAAATAAACAAACAAACAAATAAGTAAGCAAAACAACAAAAAAAAGAGGAAGAAGAAGAAGAAGAAGAAGAGCGAATTAAGTGAGTGTAGAACCCGCAAATCCTGTTTTGGGCACCACTTTTCTTTGCCATTATACTACTGAGGATGATTAAATAAACGGGATGAAAAGTGTTTAATTTAACGCCTTTTCCATGGATTTTCCGCAGGCAAACACCATTTCAAGCTGATCGAGCCGTATTAAAAACGAATTCAAAGATATATTTCAGGAAAATAACCAGGCTTTCGACGGTAAAAAAACAAATTTAAAATCATACCTTTTTTCTCTGAATAACAAAGAAATGTTTACAATATCTACTGTTTTTCTAAATAAAATCGACAAATGAAATTTACACTTACAATACATGCATCTTCTCGACTCTAACGTGCAGTTTTGACACAACTGAACATGCACTAAAACATACCTTTAGTCACCATGAAACTGTCGAGTAAAGCAACGTGTGTTTTTTTGTAGTTGAGTAATTAAGAAAATACTGTCTGATGAGTGCGTGAGCACGAAACTCGGAGTAACAGAGAATTTCGTCTCTTCGTTATATCTTCTTATTCAAAGCTCTACACTTAAAAAGTGTATTGAGCACTGTTTAACGGCTTTAGCCACTTTATTACACGTAGTTGAGTAATTAAATATATAGCAACGCAACGTAAGCTGTTTTGCCAATAGTTCAATATAAATAGAAAAAGTTTTAGCCGGAGAAAAAAAGTTACAGTTAACCCAATGTGAACCAATTTCTGTTCCGCGGACGATTAAACTTGCGTGCAACGAGATGATTTCTAAAGCGTTTATGCAAGCGCACGTGTTTACAATCTGCAACTTAGTACAACATGAACATAGTTTACACCTCTCCTCGGCTAGCTCAATCATCATAGCTATACTGGCACGCAATCGGAATATACCACGAAAAGTTTAAAAACAGGTTCCTGCCTATTAACGGCCATAGATTAATAAAAATACATGTACAGCAAAAGCTTAACACCAATTTGGCTTCTTAAGACGAGATAGAAGCTGATTTATTGGCATCGGAATGCGCGGAAGTTCCGCATTCAAATTCGCGGTCCGGTCCATTCGATTGAGACGTCACCCGGTTTAAACACATGCACGACTTGCTATATAAGAAATGATACTTGCTTAGTTATATAATCCAGGAGAAAAAGGACCGTAACTGTTATCGATAGCATAACCCTCTTCTAGCGTTAATCATGCGTCGCTTCCTGTTAATTCGATCGAACTAAATTTGCACAAGCCGGCAGGTACAAAAGGTGACAAAAAGGGCGCCATTTTAGAAGAGATATCTTCACTGTCTGAAAGGCCAAACGACAATCGATATAAGTATTAACAGTGAAGAAATAATTCCCTACCTTTCTAGCCGTCTTTGCAGACCACTTGATCCTCCCTAAATCTTGTATTCTCAAGCCAAAACCTTGGAAAGAACCAACGTGGCCAGCTGTGGCCGGGCAAAGGATCCCGATCCCTCAAAAGGCCAGGTCGCAAAGGAAAGCAACAACAAACGTGCAATGTACAATTTAGCCAATCATAAAGTTACAGATAATTCCCTTGGGTGTAAACCCGCCAAACTTGAATACAGTCGAACCACCCAATAATGTATTGTTTATTTTTTTGTTTTGTTTTTTTGCGACAAAAAAAAAAAAACAGATGCAGACGAATTGACAAACAATTGTATCAGGCGTATCTTTTCCCCGCCCCCCCTTCCTCCCCAAAAAAACAAAATCGCCTGATCGCAGGTTAGTGAGGTTCTGACACGTATAATTTTTTTTTAAGTTATCAAGTTGTCCAAGGAAAGTTATTTGTATACCCTGGGTGGTGTAGTAAATTCAGTGAACAAAGAGAACAAAGTGTGGTCGCTTACAATGGAAAATTATAGCCTGCTAGCAAGCTCTCCGAAAATTATAAAACCGCCCGCCCAAAAAGTGGTCGCTTACAAAAGGTCGCGGTCGCTTACAGAAGAGTCTCTAATAAATAGAGCTATGACTTAAAATATTTTGGTCTTTTGGATCTGTGGTCGCGTATCAGAGGAGGTCGCTTTCAAGGGGTGGGTGCACCTGGAGGCTGTATGGCTAAATATTCAAAACTGGTTCAACATTCGTCTTAAGGCGGATCTGAACCTTGCCATCAATCAGAGAATCAAGGCAGCCTTCAAGCGGGGATTCACCACTGACTGTAAAAAAGGAAAGTGCTCTGATGCACAAATATAATAATATGCCAATCAAAGAATGTGTCCATATCTCGGACCAGTAACCTGCGATCATGCCCTCCCCATTCCTCCGTGACGAACCCCTAAAGAACGTATGCGTGGGATGCTACATGTCTTTCCTTCTCTTCTAAAAAAAAAATTAAAACCAGCAATTGCTGATCGCAGGTTTATGGGGCTGTACATTATAAGCTTGAGAAAACAACCAACATTTCCCGACATGCCATTTCCAGGGTGACGTCGCAAAGTGTTTTCTCTGGCTACAACTTCAGTGGTCTGCCAGCAAGCGCTGCATTTCGAGTGGCATGCGAAGCCAGCCGCGTTAGAACACACGAGCGTCGGAAAGTGGCAAGGCATTACTACCCCGCTTCCTCGCTCTCGCTTCCTTTCCTGTGCCGCTAGCGCGTGACTTTTCAAGTTTACAGTGACGATATATATCCACCAACTGAAGACCTTGTTTGCAGGATGAAATATCAGCTGTAACGCCCTTGCTATAAGTTTACTTGCTGAGTTCAGTAAAAAAATAAACGGTCAAGTTGTTGAGTGAGAAAAATCATCTGAGACTGCAATGAACATTATATATAATCACAGGCAACAGAGATTCTCTCTTGATAACAGAGCTCTAGGTATTCATCACTTACATCGCTCAGAATTAAAAGGTTTCGAGTAAACATTGCGTTCCTGTCGAGGATTGTTGTAAGAAAAGAAACTTCACATTACTTTGCTGTTTGACTTGCACTTGCCAGGTCGCCTAGTCCCTGCACGGCGTTTTCCCAGTCCCTCTCGGTCAATTCACTTCGGTGCCGTATCCGAGGCGAACGGGCGGGAAACGCCTCACATTTTCGCTTGGACCGCGTGACCCGAAACGCTTTGGCTGCGCAGCAAAATGAGGCCTAAGGACTAGGCAAATGTTGCACTACAGTCGTGGATAAACTTGAGGGGCCTGGACCTCACCCCAAGTGAGACTGTCGGCACACTTAGGCTGTTCAGGACGGAAACCCAATATTTTTACCCGTCAAGACCTCGCTTAGGGTTATGGGTAAAAAGAAAAATAGACTCTATATACAAAAACCAAACGCAGTCAAACTGTGTTGGAGTATTCAGTATCTCCTTTAGGGGTCAAATATAGCCTGAGCCACGCCTAGATTGGTCTCCTTTTAGGTGTTTAGCTATACATTGTAATAGCCAGCGAGCAAGCTCTCCTGGGCTCTCTGGCTGCGGGGCGGGAAAAAGAAGGAGAGCTTTCAACCACGTCTCTGGAATTTGAATTTCTGCATCAAAGAAGTCGATGCGAAATGCTGATTGGCGGAGATGACATTAGTAATAACGTCATTACCCCTGGCAAGTGTTTTTCAATGTTTATTTACAATCGCGCTGATTGGCGGAAATCTGACAGCTCGGTCGACGGGGAGCCACAGGGGAATTGGAGGTGGAATTCAAATTCCAGAGACGTAGTTGAATGCTCTCCTTCCTTTTCCTGCCCCGCCGCCACAGAGCCCCGGAGAGCTTGCTCCCAGGCTTAGTTATAATTTTGCAACAGGCATCCCCGTCCTTTTCGGATATGGGAGTTCCACCGAGAGGCTCAGAACAATTTATGGATGGGTGAAGTGAGACTGGCACAAAAAAAATTCAAAAAAATGCTTTATTTATTCCAAAATCATTATTGTATCATCTAGGTACAAACTTACTGGCCTTTTGTAAAGGCATTTGCAACGGTAAACACTCCACAGTAAATATAGCAAAATGAACGATCTTTAGACTGTAACAAATATCGCGAAAAAGTAGAGGGAATGAGGGATGCTTTCTTGAAAAGCAATAAGCGTTATTCTTTTAGAGTGATTTTACTTGACGCATGAAACAGATAATAACTACTAGTGTAAAATAGGTACAAGTAAACAAAAGAAGACAATGGAATTATTGCATAATAGCTAGCGGGCAGTATTCTACTACTGTACCTATTTCATGGGTGAAGTAAAATCACCCTAACACACTCGTTCACTCACGGTTTAACTTACCATGCCCTGGCAAAGTTTAAGAATCTTTCTGTCAGTTTGTTTCATTGCGTGTTTGCCCGTTCCTTTGATTGACTTTTAGTCTTATCCGAACCCGGCTTAAGGATTTAACTGCCATCTATTTATAAATTTGAGTTTGGTAAATTCAACACCAAAACGGTTATTCTAACGAATTACAATAGAGCGTTTTCACTCACGTGGCCAGCATCTATGCTAATTTTACTGGAACAAAAGAAAGCATTTACATGAGAAAAGAGTTCAACTCCCAGAAGATTTTCTGGGTAAACCAACATGGCCGCCGTTTCATTGCTTTGGAACACCAATATGGCCGCCGTAACGTCACGTGAAAACACTCTACACTCAAATCTTGGGATCTTGGCTAGTCCCTAGGCCTCATTATTCCGCGCGGCCCATGCGTCCCGACGTCACCGAAATGCATTGACCGAAAAGGCCAGGGAAGACGTCGTACTGAGGCTAGGCAAACTCAGATCGACCAATTAATATAGAATACTGAAAGTTCTGGAACCACGGTACAACGGCCGTGAAAATTAGTTTCTCTTTCACCCAACCACAAGGAGTATCAAAAAGAGATTTATTTTTTCTAGATGTTTCGAAAATCGGGGAAATTTGTAACAACTAGATCCGGCGAAAAGGCCACTTCAGATGCTAATACATAACTTTATCAACTTTCTCGACAGTTTTCTTGTTTTGAATATGTTGCGATCACCAAATAACGTAATATGCAAGGTTAACAAAAAAAACTGAATAACATCCATACCACAACACAACAGCTGACTAAGGATAATTTCCGCAGCATAAAAAAACTTCTTTTCAAGTAAAAATCAAGTTGTTCTTCTTTCGTTTTACGGTACTACTTTGGTGCGTTGTTTTATAAACTCTATTTTTTTTAAGTGTACAGATCATAAAGAGACATAATATAAAGATTCTTCGCCAATTCGCCCTCTGTCGTATCTTGCCAGCTGTGGAAGATCACCTGAAAACGAAACAACGTTTAAAATCGAATTTAAGTGGCTGTACAATTTATTTTTTTGTAATATTGCCAATTACGCTTCTTTATGCACTATGTAGAACTACGTGAGCGAGAAATTACTTGTAAACAACAAAATTACAGCCTCTTGTCAAAGAAATATGTCTCGCGAGCATTATATCAGACGTTACAAACAGCAAAAACGAACTTTGAAAAACTGTTAGGCTAACGTGTTTTCAAAAAACCACAACTGCGTTCCGTTTTAATCTTCTTGAAGTTTGTCCGTCCATGCCTCCTTTTGTAATTGTTGTGTTATTTATACTTTCTTCTTATGTTTTGAGCGGTTATTTTTATTTGTCACTCAATTCATAACACAGCTCCTTTAAAAGACATGGGAAATATCTCACTGAAAGGAAAAAAATAAATAGGAAGAGTTAATACCGTTTTGGAAGGCTCTGTTAGCAGGAACCCATTCTCCGAGAAACGACCACGGACGTCTTTTGCCACTAACCATACAAAACAAGCGGGAAACTGGGCTTGAACGGACACTCTAAATTCTGTCTTGGATAACTGGGCAACTTTGGAAATCTAGAAAAATAGATCTCACGGTCATGCATGTGAAAGTCTTCAGTTAACTAACAAAGACGTGTATAAAAATAAACGTAGAATTATCTTTCAGAGAATTTCAACCTTTAACTGAGGATCTTGTAAGCCGATAGCGTCTGATAGATTGGAAGGGAAGAATACGTTGGCTGGCCCGAGGTCTTCCTCGGTGCTGAAGTCTACTGGAGTCATGGTGAACACACAGTGTCTTGGGCTTTCACACCCGCTTGACTTTACAAGAATCTTTAAGTCATCAGCAAAAACAAGTTTCTGAAATAGAAACAGCAGCACACATAAAAAGGCATTGAAACGTAGTGAACAAATTTGCCACTAACTGAAGAATTAAGCCAATGACATGGTTGCGTAAATAAACAACAATATCAACTAACGCCTGGCGAATCGCGTGGCATAGATAACATTCGGTCAGGTTGTCATGGGGCGTACCCGTACTAACCTGTGCCTGGCTCTCGGTCAATGCAGGCGAGCGAAAAGAGCGGGCTAGCAGCGAAAAAGCTAGCGAGCGTAAAACGGCGGGAAGAGAGAAGGTGAGTTCCTCTAAGCATCTTTTCAAATACCTCAGTCCACCCACTACCCTGCCAACTTCCAGAAAAACTGTTTCTCGTGTCAAAATGTCAAATGTCAAAGTGCCAAACTGTGGGGTGTAGAAGGGACTCCCACGCTCACCATGTTTGTATGACTCTACACGCTCGAAGCCAAGCGATTGATTTAAGTGTTGACATCAACTATCAAAATTGACCAATCATAGGATATGCCAGCAGCTGGTATACCGCAATGAAGCATTGAAAACAATGCTTACCGGCTAAATCACCGGCTCTACTTTACCGTCTATCCCCAGCCCCCACGCGGTTTTCCAACAACTTTTCTGGATTTGCCTTCCCTGCTATCTTGGAGCCTGGAACAGTATGTTTATACGGACTGTGATGTTTTCACTCTAAAAATTACTGTTGTCGTTTCTTTTGCTTACTCTTCATGACTTACTAGAGAGCTCAAGATTTGAGGACGAGTACGAGTACTGAATGATTTAACTTAAAGTTTTTGTACGTGTTCTAAAAAAGACAGCCCGGAAAGCTTTATTTTACCTTTTTTCACCAAAAAAGTTAGTACGGTTATTTATACTGAAGGAGGTTAAGCCCTCTCCTGATAGCAAAATGGTAAAACGTCCTGCATTTGATAACTTGTTCCCGCCACTACGACTCGTTAAGGACTTTAAGATCCAACGACGCGACGGCGACAGGAACGTCGCTTAAAAAGTGAATTTGCGTTCTTTCAGTCTTTATAGCGATTATTCCTACCCACTTACTTTGTCAATTATAGGCGAACCCTCCTGAAGCTGAATTTCAAGGGACCAAATTCAAGCTCAGAAAGAGAACTAAAATTTCGTCGTTGCTTGTTTACGTCCTCCATAAAACGCGAAATTAGGCATTTTCACGTCGTAGTCGGGCAAAAACGGGAAAGAAATGTACAAAAAAGTGTGATGCACGTGCGAAGTTGTTGTTTTGCTAATTAACCAATTGTTTTTTTGACGTTCTCGTTGTCGTCCGCGTCGTTGGATCTCAAACTCCCTATTGCAGAATGACGACGGCTATCACGTTTTCCCGCCAAAATGACGCTGGTTCACGCGTGAGCAATACTCAGTATTGAGAAAATCTCGCACTCGTGGTCGTTCTCGTCTCAGAATCTAAAGCTCTCTATAAGTGAGTTAGAGACGTATAACACAGGCTAAATGACAACTCGTTGTTCTGTTCACTCAGTAACTTGGCTACTCACAGAGGATTGTCGATCAATGTTAAAAGTGACGTTCCTTGTAGACAACGGTTTGAACGAAGACCAGGCCCAAGCCTTAAGAGACACCACACCCTGGGTGATTGGCTAAAAAAACATAAATAATAAAGACCACAGTGAAGTTTCGTGACTCTCTTTCATCAGTAGGTGCACATAATTTACTCTAGTCCATTTTTCACTGCATACAAGTCATTATAATCAGACACGAAGAGAAGGAAAGGGAAGGACTGTAGTGGGGAACAGAAGAACCATACGAGCTAGTCTACCCAATTTAAAAATACAGACTGGTGTAGTTATTATAAAATTTCGACCCTCCTCGCCACAGAGCCTCCAAAAGTTCAGTGGTTAGAGCATTCGAACTAGAACTCGGAGGGTCGTGAGTTCGATTCTCACCTGGAGCTCGAAATTTTTTCTGAGCTTTCTCCTTCTTCGAAAAAACGAACGAAACAGAAATTGTCAGAAAAAGTAACATACAAACTGCTAATTAAGATTTAGGACTGCACTATCATTTATACCCAGGTAACATGTGGGCGATCAGAATCAAATTCCCTAACCTTATTTGGATCATCATATGTTTCTGGGAAACTGCCCACCTACCCCTCCCCTAAGCCTACATTTTGCCCTAAGTAAGAAGTAAGTGTTAATGTTGGCTTAGGGGAGGGGTAGGTGGGCAGTATAATGATCCTCTTATTCTTGATAAATTTCTTGCATTTCTTTGAAGCAAGTCAGGCGTAGGTCTTCAGTTCTTAGGTTCTCGGGTAAGATATTCCATAAATAAGGAATTCTATTATTAGAAATTGTTCCCTTGAACAATTCGGTTTTTACTGAATTTAATCTAAGTTTGTCACTTAAAAAGGACATTAGGGGCGACCATTTGACTTTCGAGGGGGGATATGGGTAATTTCAGAAAAAAATATCCTGCAAACTGACTTGCAAGGAAATACGTTGGGGAAAAAATTCCTACACTGAAAAAAATATATTTCTCTTTCAAGGTGTATAATGCTGGAAAAAATCTTACAACATTGTATGTCAGGGAAAAATTCTTTCACCAGAGGTTTGGGAAAAATAAAATTACCCAAACCAAATCACCCATACCCACCTCGAAAGTAAAATGGTCGGTTCCTTAGTATTTTAGTCTCATCGTGCGAGATGTAAGAAGCAGTTACCTTCATTAGGTCGGACACCACGAAAAGTTTAAATTTCCCGTTTTCCACATAAGATGAAGCTATCACGGGAGCATAGAAATCCTTTGCGAAATAATGCAGCACCTGCAGGGTAGGTAAGTAAGTAGGTAAACACTTTATTTAGTAAAGGTAACACTAAATAGCTAAAAGCTACTAAACCTGTGGCCCTCGAATCAATTAATTAATTAATTAATCAATCAATTAAAAATACCAGTATGTAAAAACTAAAACTATATTGATATGTAAAAATCTAAAAAAATTTACATAAATGGAGCTACATATGAAAATGGTTCAACCTAAGCTGTTCTTTAAAAATTGAATTCCACAAACTCTTCTTAAAAGCAGGAAGAGAATCCTAAGTAAGAACGACTTTTCAGGTTTTATTACATTTGGTAAATAACGGCGGTTTTTTTAATGTTTATGAAACTTCACGCTGAAAAGGTTGTTTTCAATTTCACAACGCGTATGGCCTAATCTCCGGGTCTTCTAATACTCGAAAGTCCTTAATCTTGTCTACATGCGTGAAGTTAATATACAAACAGATATTCCCCTGTTTTCCGCTCTTTTATACCATGAAGAGACGTGAACAAGACTGAAATAAGTTATTTGTTTACCTTCCAACGGCCTCCATATTCCAATGAAGACCAAGTGGGAGCTTGCCAAATACTATTCAACCTGATAAAAACAATTAATAAATTAATCAATGAATTTAAAAGAAGTTTCCTTTAAAGTCAATCGAAACTCGCAGCACACGGTGGCTTTTTACAAGATTGACACGTTCGGTGTAAATGTGAGATTTTTTTGTAAGTTTTTTTTCTCTTATTCTCCTACCGATGGTCGGCTCAAATGAGGTTATTGAGAGCATAAAAATCGAGCCATAAATCATGGCCAAACTTCCAGTGATAATAAAAGGAAATATCGGCGATAGTTGAAGGCACACTAGAACACACATCATTATTTTCATCATCTTCTTCATCACCATCATCATCATCATCATCATCATCATCATCATCATCATCATCATCATCATCGTCATCGTCACTCCTTCCTGTATTCAGCTCCATACAACGGACACTTTCCGGCAATGTTGGGTAGACCGTGTTGATCACATTGCAGTGAACTTGGCAATATTGACTGAAGATCACGTTGCGTTCACCAAAAGTTTCCGGAAAGTCCGGATGGAAAGTAAATGAGTCGCTCCAGCGGAAAATTTCCGGGTGCAACGGAACATCTGAAAAGGTGTTCCTGTTGTTCCAAGCGGAAATTCGTGTACCTTTCGTGTACCATTAGTAAAACACTATCTTTGATACTAGTTTCAGACTTGGGCGGTTGTTTTTCGGTAAATGAAACTGATCTGTACAAATGGTAAAAGCGATTCCGGTAAGAAATATATCTGTCCTGAATTTTACGTACCATTTGCCGAAACCGTGAACCGACCGGTTTGCCCTTGTCAATATATGGTAAACAACTCATGTCTATTTGGAGTGGAAAGCGCGTGCTTATTCACCAATCCATTCTCTGGTTTCTCACAGGGTTGTGTCCCAACGTGTCGTTGTTGTATCAGCCGTATGGGCTGGTTTTGTTTCGAGAAAAATATTCAAGACAATATCGTTGTATTTCGAAAAGCTTGCTAGATGTTTCTTCCACTAATCGCCTGTCTACAACTTGGTTACACTTGAACTAGCCAGGTTGTAGAAGGCACAAGTGTAATAACGGGACCCAAGTGTAATAAAGGTCCCATCTGTAATAACATTTGGACCCAAGCGTAATAAAAGTCCCATCCGTAATAACATTTTGAACCCAAGCGTAATAAAGGTCCTATCTGTAAAAACATTTGGACCCAAGTGTAAAAAAGGCCGAATTTGTAAAAGTTATCTTTATACTCAAACCGGTAATATATCAAAAAGTTAAAAATCACGTGACCTGCAGAAACCAACTCCTACCATTTAATTTCATCTTCATGGCTTTCATGTCACTTTCAAACTGAATTTTACACCTAATAGTTTGGCGAGTAACGGCACTGGCCATTGAAAAATATGGCCATTACCACTTAACCAAAGAAATTATTATGTTATCTTTATTCGTTCAATCATCGATTTAAGGAAATTCTCAATTTTTTTAAAGCCATATAATTTGTATTAAGCAACGGCATATGCTTGATTTCACTAATGTATAAGAAAAAATTTTAAATTTAAGGTACTCCTTTTCAGTACAAGTACTGACAGTCATGAAATCAATAAAATTCAGCCGTGAGGGTGAAATACTGAAAATGACAAGAAGACAGAGGGCAAAAAATAATAACAGATTCCACTGGGTTTAAAACTGTTTAGCCTGAAATTTTATATACGTGAACGTAAATGACATATTTACTTGTTCTGGAGCGATGAGTTTTTTGAAAAGCACGTTTCATAGCCAGTTATAAATTTGTCAAAACGTGAACCGAGAGCCATTGCTAGATTCGGTGGTATTTTTTCCCGTTCATGCTTTTCTCGTTCTGTTTGGTCGCATGAGCCCTGATGTCAGCCTTGTAAGTTAAGATACACTGTTGTGAGCATGTCTCATATTATCTCAGCTGGGACGAAAGGTCAACATATTAGACCTTTATGATCTTTATTACGCTTGGTCCAAATGTTATTACAGATAGGACCTTTATTACGCTTGGGTTCAAAATGTTATTACGGATGGGACTTTTATTACGCTTGGGTCCAAATGTCATTACAGATGGGACCTTTATTACACTTGGGTCCAGTGATTGCACTTGTGCCTTCAACAACCAGGTTCCGCTTGGCCGCCGCGCCTGTAGGCTTGAATACATGTACCGGATTAAATCGCACATCACGCCGCCAGAACAATACTCGATCCATCGACAGTCACTTAAGGTATCTTTAAGTAGGAAAGGTAGGTCTACTTCTTTACTTTTCAACTTGGTTAGCTCTGTCACATTACTTCAAACGTAAGAAATACAACGATACAAAGAACCATACCGTAGGACTCAAAGATGGCTGAAAATGTAGATCGCGCTGCACGAACCGAACGCCTTTACGCAGGGTTTGTCTGCCGAGAAATGAGTCAAAAGGACGGTCACATCAAGGGTATCTTTGACGGTAAGGAAGGTGTGGTATATCTTCCTTCGAGAAAGTCTCACAATTGAACTCAAAATACCGTGGAAATCCGCATTTTGTGTTACTGCAGTACGTTGTTGTTCAATTTTATCCTTGGTTTAAATTTTCTTTCTTTTGTTTTTGGGTATGGTAATGTATGGTAATGATTTTGAAACAAAAGAAAATAAAATTTAAACCAAATTAACGATAAATTGAACAACAACAATAAAATTCTATGTCGCACAAATGATATGCTCATATTTCATATAAATTCACGCGCACTAACAATGAAATGCAAAACGTCACAACACGTCACGACATTTGGTTAAGAATGACAAATAACTGTTTGCAGGGTTGAAGGAATGCAAGGGAAAATTTGCAAAAAGTCAGGGAGAATTTATTTCCAGTCAAATACTGTGACGGATAGAAAATTTCATTTTCAAGTAAAGTCAGTTGTCATAGAGTCACGAGGATCACACATAAACGCCTTTCTTCTCCCGAAAAGAACTGTATAGTCGATCGAATTTTATAATCCAAATACCGTGAAAAACATAAAGGGGTAGAAAGTGATAGAAATGAAAAGAACACAGTAGGTAATATGCTCTTGAAGAGGAATATTCTAGGCGAGGCGCACAAAAACTTGGTGATCACAGCACATAGATCAAATTCTACCCCCCCCTCGGTGGGGGAGAAATGAATGCGTGACGAACGAACCCCAAAGGACGTCTGCGGGGGGGCTATCGTACATCGTGCCTACACAATAATCCTGCATAAGAAGCCTGAAATCTATTGATGGTGCATAGATAGTGCCTTCAAGATGCCTTTGCCGAGCTTTAACTGTTTTTTCATCGAGCCTTTTTCAAACAGTCCGTCGATATATCATCTGAGAAAAAAATTACGGTGTTGAATAGAGAAAGAATCTGAAGAATGAATGACAATAAACTGGGATACTTAGGCATGTATTAAAGAGAGTCAGTGTTGTATTGACGAAGCATTTTCAACTTAACGAGTTGAATTTACGAGTACGTTTTGTTCTAAATGTGGTATCGTGTCTCTCTCTTTGTGCTTGGATGGTGCCTTCATCGTCCTTAAATGGTGCCTCAAGGACAAAGGCACGACGCACGAACACAAAGAACGATAATCGCGCCTCTATGCATGGATATGTATTGTGCATTGGCAATTTGGTGCATTAAAAATTACGTTCATACGCTAAAAAGGAGTTATTTATCAAATAACCATGAAAATTAAGTTTCTATACGCGCAGTTTAGAGGAACTGTAACAGTAAAGGTAGCGTTAGAGCATTTTTTACAAATGCAAAAAGAGGTAAAAAAATATGTATATGAAAAGCTAACAATTTTTTTGGTTCTCGTGCCATGTGTCAACCCTGTACAGGATTTCTCTCGGAGGACTGATCTTGTGTTGGTCCTGGGATGAATTTAAAGATAAAATAAAAACGTAATCTATTTATTGATTTTAGTTTGTTTTTAGGTTCAAAAGACTGACCATGACAGCTCCAGCTCAACTTCGTCTCTTATGGAACCGCGTATCTTTCTACAAATTTCCTACGTTCCCTTTCTCCGTGCCAAGATCACATTTACTTCATGACAAGACCAGAAACTTGTTTTCAACAAGAGCAAGCCCAACAACAACAGATACTTTCACACCGCTACCAAGAGAAGAAATGCTTACAAAATTTAAGTCAAGAATAAAAGACCGACCATCCATGGCAGGTTCAACCGGGGAAGGATTCCCAGAATTCCTTGCAGAGCCAAGAGAATCATTCCCGCATGGCGTGCTCGTTACCAATCCCCAGCAATCCTCACTTGCTCAGCTGACGGCAAAATGTATGGAATATGTGGAAGAAAATCTCACACACCATCCCGCTATTTTATTTCGCAATCTCCCAGCCCAAACCGAGGAGGACTTCTCTATCATTGCTCGGGAAATTCCAGGGAAAGCCTTGACTTATGAGGGAGGAGCTTCTCTTCGCCAAAGAATTGACGAGAATATAGGAACATACACCGCTAACAACGATCCAGATGAGATATCGATAGATCCACACAATGAAATGTCATACAACAATGTATACCCATCCAAGGTAAGCTATGTTAAAATTCAGAGCAGTTTTAAATTGATACCGTTAACGAACGTTTCGCCTTTTCATATGTCGATTGCCGGAAACTATGAGAACAATACTAAGGCCTAATCACTCTAGATTGTTAGAAGGGAAGGCGATATTCCGGCCAATTAAGGTGTGTGCCGGGAATGCTCTTATTTCATGATCTGTTTAAGGGATCGGGGGGATAAAACTGATATTTGAAAGAACTGGAAAATAACTGGCCTGGGAAAATAGCCCACACTTCCCTTACTATTTTGGTTGAAGCAAATTTCCCTCGCGGAACGCCCAGTTAATCACTCAATCAATTTATTTAGGACAATATGTGGGATGGGGTTGCCCTGATCATCTAAGCCGGGAGCTCATCAGTGGCGAATCTGGACCTTCAGATAAGGAGGGGGGGGGGTCATCCAGACCCTGAGAAAAGGGGAGGCCCAGTCTCCAAAAAACATTTTTTCGGCCCTTCGGACCTCAGTTTGGTCTAAAAATAAGGGGGGCCCGCCCCCCAGGCCCCTCCCCTGGATCCGCCAATGCTCATGTATGAAACGTATGACAATTAAAATACTAAGTTTATAATAATACAATCTCTATCCCCAGGTTTTCTTTTTTTGTGTCAAAGAACCCACTGATGGCTGCGGAGGTGAAACACCGCTGGTTAAAAATAGCGACCTTCTTTCGTCACTGGATCCTGACATAGTGAAAAGATTTGAAGAGAAACAGCTGCGGTACGTGAGATATTTGCCTGATAAATCAAACGCAGAATACATGAACTGGCAGCACGTCTATGACACAGACAACAGAGAGGTAGGTGGATTTTAACAAAGTTCGGATAGAAGAAAAGTAAGATTCGCGAGTGGATGTATTTTCCCAAATGCCAATCGCTGAAGCTTAGTTAGATACATTCCTAGCCCTAGTTGTTTATATGGTGGATTACCCTATCCACTGGATAAATCTCTATCCACTGGATAGCGCCATTGTTTTCTCTAACACTTTTCCGCTGGATAGTGACTTATCTTGTGGATAGCGCTATCCAGCAACGTTTGAAAAACTGTAACTGAAATTAGTTATAAGAACCAAATAGAGACGAGAAGTCGTTACGTCACGTTGCCATGGTAGCAAAATTTTTTGGATGAAAATTCACTTAAAAAGTAAATTCTCACTGTTTCAAAGTTCATCGATCTTATTCAATTTCATGTAATTTGTCAAACGTTGGCGAAATTTTCTGGATTTAATCCGAAAGGACCGTATCTGAGTTTAGAAAAAAAAGAAACTTTTTGTGTTGCGTTCACCTACTCCGTAAAGCGGGCGCGAGAAATTAGTAGGTTTCATGTCTCACTCGTGCAACGGTGGCTAAGAAACGTACAAAAAAAGCGTGATGCACGTGCAAAGTTGTTGTTTTGCTAATCTAAACCTATCGGGGTTTTTTTGCCGTTCTCGATACTGTAGCCGTCCTCGTTGCTTAATCTCGGCCCTATTGTTGTCATCCAGAAATTTGGCTACCATGGTAACTTGACGTCACACTTCTCCTCTCTATAGATTTCTTTCCCAAGAATCCAGAATTCAATCAGAGAGATGTGGAATCCGCAGTATTAATGTTCAGTTCCTTCTTATCGCTGTCTAATAGGTTGTGGAAACCCTAGCAAAAGAGCAAGGCAGGAATTTCACCTGGGACCCTAGCGGTGATCTGTACCTGTGGCAAAACAGGCCTGCCTTTATACATCACCCAGTCACTAGAAAGAAAACTTGGTTCAATCAAGCTACGACACACCATTGTTCCTATTACCGTCTACTGCCGGGAGGAGACAAGATCCAAGAAAATAAATATCCATCCCACACATTTTACGGCGATGGAAGCGATATCGAGCCCGCAGTAATACAGCACTTACTCGCCACTGGCTGGTCATGCGCAGTAGGGTTCAAGTGGAGAAAGGGAGACCTCTTGGTGCTCGACAACTTGGCAGTACAACATGGGAGGCTTGGATTTCAAGGGGACAGAAAGCTTTTGGTCTATATGACAAACTGATAGAATATACATTTGGAAGTCCAATGCGAGATTAATTATATCCTTACATCGACAAAACATGCTTTGCAGCGTGCAAGCAAGCTCTGCACTTAAGAAAAGGTTGACGCGAAGATTCAGTATTCTACCCTAAAGAAACTGCTCTGTCTGCTCAAAGAACGGTTGATTAAGAAACTCAGACTACCAAAAAAGGGTTTTTTGTTATTTGGCTCCTGTCAACAATCAAACGATTAAAACATTGAAATTTTGTTCATAGTTCAACAATTATAATTTAACAAGGAGTCCGAAGGCTTTGGTTTTTTCTTTCGTTTGTTTGTTTGTTTTCGTTCTTTTTTTACCACAAAATTAATAAGAAACAATGTACACTAGATATTTACTTGTGTCGCCTTGATATGTTTCATGTTTAGTGTGTGTGTTAAAGCCCTAAGATGGGTCCTTAAAGCTACTACGGTGGACATCAAACTTTAATTCCGTGTTTACAAAATATTTAAATTTAAAAGAATGGATTTGTTGTGAAACTGGACAAGATTTTTACGGACACATTTTCGATCAGTGCTATTTTTTCGTTGGGCATATGTTTTTATCCCGTCGGTTTGGTGCCATAAATTTTGGATCAATACACGTTTTGGTACGGTTTGGATCCACGCACGTTATGTACATCATAATACCGCACTATTTTTACTAGTACAGTAATTAACTATAATTCTGTAGAATCCAGATTTCTCGAAATCTAAGCAGGTCTTCAACAATTTTTCGATTTGGTGAGGACATATACCCGACCACTACAAGGGGAAAGGCAGAACAGCTGTCGGAAATACTTTATGTTGACTTTTAAGTATGTTCAAACATTGCACTGTAATCGTTGGTTACAAAATGAAAGCCTTTGGTATTCTCCACTCTAGAAACTATAAGGAGGATAGGTACACGCTTTCGGCACAACGACTTCTGGGATTATTTGGGTGATAAGCGATACTTATGATTAGTTAACGGCTGCCTTGAGTACCATCGAGCGATCATAACTAGAAATACGTGAATCGCAGAGTTTCGCGAGGCAAAGGTTAACGGCCAGAAGTAGGAAGAAAGGGAAGGAAGTCAATATGGAAAATGGAAAAGAAAATATATGAAAAAAAAAAAAACAAATAAGTAAGCAAAACAACAACAACAACAAAAAGAAGAAGAAGAGGAGCGAATTAAATTAAGTATCGAACCCGCACGTCCTGTGGGGGGCGACTTTTCTTTACCACTACACTAATGAGGATGATAATATAAGAGGGAAGAAAAGTGTTTAATTTAACGCCTTTTCCATGGATTTTCCGCCGGCAAACGCCGTTTAAGCTGATCGAGCCTTATTAAAAACGAATTCAAAGATATATTTTAGGAAAATAACCGGGCTTTCGATAATTCCAACTAACTTCCCTCTCCGCAGAAGGTTTGAAAAATCGGCAGTACACTGTAAACTCTAGGAAGAATAGCCAAAATCTCTGGGCGTGGTGATTTCTGGTATGGTTTTGGTGGACAAGCGTTAGTTATGATTAGTCGCTGGTATTCAAGCAGCAACCATTAACCAATCATAAGCAATGCTTGTCCACCAAAACTATCCCAGAAATCGTTGCGCCAAAAGATGCTACCCTTTCCCCTTATTCTTGGTTTGCAACCTCGTGACAAGGGCGCCATGTTGGTGGTCAATACAATAAAATTATTTTTGAGAAATTGACATAAAAATGGGTTTTAGTTCCCAGAGGAGAGAAATGCTTCTGTTACTGACAAGCAACATGGCCGCCGTGAGGTCTCGTGCAAACCAGTAATAGTTTCTGGAATAGACAAGTGATATTTACGATAAAACTTTAACTCTTACTGCCAATAAATGGTTCCCATTGTTCTTCCTTCGCCCTGTAAAGAGCAAAGAGTAATAAAACAATCAGAGTAACCTGATGTGGTGCCAAGAGTGGTGGGCGAGTGATATGAAACGAGAAAACATTTTAAAATTTACCATCACAAGTTCGCTCTGTAAACGTCGATAATGTTCAGTTTCCACCTTCATACATTGGGCTTGCGTTACCTAAAAGACGAAATACACAATACTTTCATAAAATATTTCCATCAATGAAAAGAAACAAAAATTCTTTATTGCTTTTATAACGGGCTAAAGGTGACGTTTACACCTTAAACTTTAATGGCAGATAAAGATGAATGACACTTAAAAGAACATTTAAAGTTTAACGTTTTTCCGTCGTGCGCATGTCTCACGACTTAAACAAGCCTTTGCACAATTCACGATCTTCAACTCACAAAAGGAATAATGGCGACAAGCTCAGAGCCTCCTTCGCAGGCAACTTTTTTTTTAACAGTTACACCGAGAACTCCCCGTCCTCTCCTCATTCTCCCAACTGTCGTCTCGGAGGAGCCTAGCTACAAACTTTCAGCGAAATGATTTCTGGGATTCGTTGCCATTTGTTGATGGTATCCAAAAGACAGCCATCAATAAATTATAACAAACCCTTGTCCACAACAACAATCCGCCGAAACCATCCATATACATTCTTTCTGTAATGTATGGAGTGGTCTATTCAGGATACTAAATGTTCATTGTATAAATTGTTTTCATCGAGTGGCCGAGTAATCAGCGCATTGGAATTGCAATCCAGTGGTCTTGGGTTCGTTTTGATATCCTTCAGGGTCGGCCAGGGGGGGGGGGTAGTGGTATACCAGTATACCCGAAAAAAATTCGCCAAAATACCCAAAAATACCCACAATTCATCCAAATATACCCAAAATTAAGGTAGGTATATTTATACCTGAAATTCAAAGAAAGTGATATACCGAATACCCGTATTTAAGCTGCAATATACCGTATACCCGATTTAAAAAGCCCCTGTATACCGTATACCCAAAAACCCTGGCCGACCCTGATCCTTCTCGGTACCCATGTAATTAGCCAATAGACCTTATTCACGATACCCGCCATCTTTGCAAGCGCTTTAGGATTGATGGGATAAAAGCGATGTCTTGTGGTATTTTAGGCGGCAAACGAGTGATAAAATTTGCCAACAAGAGTAACCGCAGTCAAGTTTGTTTAATAGAGAGCTTCAGATTTGAAGACGAGAACGAGTACGAAAACGAGATTTAACCTAAAGTTTTTGTGCGCGTTCTAACAAAAAAAACCGGCAAGCTTCAATTTACTTTTTTTCACCAAAAAAGTTAGTACGGTTATTTATACTGAAGGAGGTTAAGCCCTCTCCCGATAGAAAACTGATAAAAATTCTTACATTTGTTAACTTGTTCGCGCCACTACGACATTTTCGCTAAAACTCGTAGTAGAAAGACGACGGCTATCACGTTTCCCGCCAAAATGACGCTGGTTCACTCACGAATGAACAATACTCAGTATTGAGAAAATCTCGTACTCGTAGTCGTTCTGGTCTCAGAATCTAAACCTCTCTATTGTCTCAAAACGAGACGACTATTTTAGTCATATAAAATGACAAGTTTACCGCATTATTGCTTGCTATGATAACATCGAAGATAGCTACCGCTTAAAGAAGGGGAACATGATCCGGCTTCCACTCATAATTTGGTATTATCGTCTGTGAGATAAAAAGGTTCTTCACTTTCTATTGTCGGGTGATTTTATCAATTGTTTGCTCTCCTGAGAAACCAGGTGACATTGCTTATATCCCATCAGTTCTTAAGCGCGTGCAAAGATCGCGGGTAGCGTGAATCAGGTCCCTTGGTTTGCCTCCTCAGGGGTTCTTAGGGCTTCGTCAAGTGCTTCTTCTGCGTAGGAGCAGGCTAAACTCAACTCGGCTGGTTCTTGAGCTGTACCCGCAGTAACGGTAGTCAGTCGGTAGTTCGTTGCGGTTAAGTACAGATTATTAGTTATTACACGAGCCATTTGTTCATAATTTGCAAAAACCTGAGTGAGAAAAAGAGTGTCCTTGAATTTCTTCAGAGGATCAGAAGAGTTAGGAAGTTTAAAGTGCTTTCTTGCTTGGTCCAACATCTCTTCATTACCTTCGTTACGAAAGAAAAAAAAATTAGTTAAAACCGTGAACTCTCAAAGTCTTTTATTCAAGACCAACATTTTCCCCTCTTTTTTCCATGCATCTCCATTTTTCTTTCTTTTTCATGATGCTGTTCCCCTTTAAATTTAGCTTCTCAGAAAATCCTTTATCAAAGATATAAGTTTTACCGACCAGAGCAATCAAAAGGAAAATGTCTATTCCCAGGTTGAAATTCCAAGAAACAAACGACCAATTTAGGTTTCTCGGAAACTAGCCACCTTCCCTCCCTTAAGCTAACATTAACACTTACTTCACACTTAAGGCAAAATGTTAGCTTAGGGGAGGGGTAGGTGGGCAGTTTCCCAGAAACTTAAATTGATCCGAAACAATCAGTGCCTCTGAATGATCGTCCCGTAGGGTTTCTTAGACATAAAGGTTGAAACCGCCCTGAACGGCATTATACACAGCAACACAGGAAGGTACTGCTCAGTAGCTTTCACTTGAATAGTCACACCATAGGAATTTGTCCACAGACTCAAAAGTTACAACCACTTTGCACGGCACAATAAACAGCACCGCAGAAAAGTTCGGCTAAGTATCTTTCTTTTGAATGGTCACACATTGTATTTCATACACACACTAAAAGTTTAGAACTACATTGTGCAGCAAAATAATGACATTACCAAACGAAAGAACTACTCAGTAGCTTTCATTAAATAGCCACATATGCTCTTTTCTTCAAAGACTTGAAGGAGCCACCGTGCATAGCATTTCTTCACTTGATTTCACCAACAGACTGAAGTAGGATCACCTTGTTCGATTAGATCAACATTGCCCTTGTACTTCTTAGACTTTCTTAGCTAGAAAGTCAGTCGAGAGCCCACCTTTGATAATTAAAAACATAATCGCGGCAATGTACCTTGTAAAAGTTACCATTAAATTATACGAACCGTTTCCGTGATGTTGCCGATGGTCCATAAAGGCACTGTTATAGGTCCAGTCCCCTGGCACTGACACGGCGGCAAGGGTTTCAAAAGACGGATATGACTGGAAACCATACTCGGATGCAAAGCGTGGCTTGGGGTAACCACTCACATCCCAGCAATCCATATAATAGTCGTAAAAGTGCACTGAAAATAATAATAATAATAACAAAAAACGTGAGCAAACGTTTGTGCTTTTAGGTTGGTCTATATCCTCAAGCAAGCCAAGAAGCAGATACAGACTAGCATTCAGAATTCACCCAATAAACCCACTCCGAAGAATTTACCCAAGTTCAGAGCCAAAAAATCTGCGTTTTGCGTCTACGTCCTCCATTAAACGTGAAACTAGGAAATTTCACATTGAAATTGAAATTGTGCAGTGACAGTAATGTAATGTACTGCAAAGTGTGCTGCACTTGCAAAGTTGTTTTGCTTATTAAACCTACTGCTTTTTATAGCGTTCTGGTTACCATCATGGTCGTTAATGCCTAAAGCTCCCTATTTACCAATTTTTACCGGTGCAGGAGATCAGGCCATTTGTCAAGTGGTCGAGAAGTTGAAACGGAAAATGTCACACTATCGCCCCAAAAAGTGGCCTCGTTCGATAACGTCAGGTGGCCGTTTAGTAGAGGTTCCAACCATGGTGCATTGCATGTAATGGCTTACCATTTACAGTGGAGCCCCGCCTTACGGCCACCACGGTAATACGGTGTCCTCGTTACTAATCCCAAACAGTAGAATCTCTTATAATTTCACCCCGTAAATGTAACCTGCGATCAGGCAGTCCTTCTTCCCTTTTGCTTAGGAGATGCAAGAAAAAACGCCTGATAATACGGCCACTCGTTCGAAATTTAGAAAATTAAAATGCCTGTGACATGTCAATTTTATTGACTTAGTAATTTGAGCTTATTCTTGTACTGTTTTTAAACTACAGCACACTTAAAATACACTTGTGGCGATTTATAGCCGAATTTTAAAAGAGTTTCATGTGCTGAGGGAAACTATTAAGTAGTTTTTTTCAATTACTGTAAGCGATATCTACATTCCGGTTGTTTATTAATGGGAACAGTACGGTGAATGCGATATACGGTGTATTTGTCATTACGGCCCTCAAGTCATGAAATTTGATCCTGCTCTGGTAATACGGCCAAATGTTTTTGGCTCATTAATGACCGTATTAACGGGGTTCCACTGTACAAAACTTTTCCTGTAATTCCGGCGGGAGAGTAAACGGAACACCACTCTTCGGATCGTTTCTGTTGTTCTACTACATGTATTTCACTTACCATCTCCCCAGTATGGGCTCCCCGGGTCTTTTGCCACCCACCCCTCCCTTTCTGTGTCACTCTTCGGATCGTTTCTGTTGTTCTACTACATGTATTTCACTCACCATCTCCCCAGTATGGGCTCCCCGGGTCGTTTGCCACCCACCCCTCCCTTTCTGTGTCACTCCTCGGATCGTTACTGTTGTTCTACTGCACGTATTTCACTTACCATCTCCCCAGTACGGGCTCCCCGGGTCTTTTGCCACCCACCCCTCCCTTTCCGTGTCAACTCCGTTGGAAGGAGATGATGATAGAAAAGGCCGACTTGTATCTTCTTCCTCTAGCGTCTCTCGGATAATGTCTATATAGAGCTAAACAATAAACGGGACAAAACGTATTAGAATTTAATGAAGGGAAAACAAAGGAAATCACAACATAAAAAGCGGGTTTGGACATCGGATACTAATTCCCATAAAATTTTTCCGAACTTTTCTACTGATTCTTTTCAAGAAATGATAACCATTGGAGAATTTGAATCAAACAAAACACTAAATTCACCATCACACTTCTATCACTGTGCATAAGCACATATCGACATTCCCGCAGCCATACCAGTATACAGGATGTTTGTTAAGTGAAGCTAGTTTAGTGGTCTTAGCTTCTAGGAGTATCCTGTAGCTCTGTAGTAGAGTATCTCTCTCGACTAGAAACCGGAAGTTCATAGGTTCGACTCCTATTGATAGTTCTCGGATCTGTTCTTCCGCGCCGCCTGTGTCACTGACCGAAAAAAAAATCTTTCTCATGTATTCACCGGGCTTGAAATTCACCATCACATTTCTATCAACAGAAAAGGGGCTTTTCTGATATTCACATACTTCGAGGTCGGGTAGAAAAACTAGCGTGTGTGCATATATCAGATAAAACGCTTCTTCTCTTGTTAGCAAAAGCCGATTCGGCGATGTCACAGCAAAGACAATGCCAAAACGCGGGCTGGAATATCATGAATGAATCTAAATCAATTCTTATACCAACGATTTCATAACGGAATAGGAATTCATTCTTTTAGTAAAATCCCACTAGTGTTCTATTATCAATGCTGCGTTCTGATTGGTTGAGACACTACTAAGCTTTATGTTATAGCCCACTAGTAGCGCAAAGCTTCGGCTTTTTGGCGGCAACAAAAGGATTAAAGTCTAGCTTTAACCAACTAAAGTTGTTTTGTTTTTCAAAACACCACCAGCCTCGCTTCCAATCAAAGGCTAGGTTCCTTAGCGTACAACTATAAATCAGCCTTTACGATAAGAACTTACTTTCACGTAATCATTGACATATCTAGAAAAATGTGAAGTCGTGTTGTACCTGCAAAAATATATGTCAAAACGAGAGCAATGGTTAGTTTCTGCATGGTTAGTAGAGGAAACTGGTTGTTAAAGGTGGCAAACATAAAAAAAAGAAAGAAAAAACCAGTGGTACTGCAGTTTATGTTGGAAGCTCCCAGACGGTGTACAATCCTTTGTTTTTTGTTCTCAAATTGTGACGGAATAAAGTAATGCGACGTTTTTATTCCTCAGAAAGATCAAAATGATAGGAATGCTACTGAACGTCGTGCACCGTCAAATCCACAAAAACATATAAAAAAGACGTCTGACGGGCTCCATGACCATTCCACTCTTTTGGTTTCTAAGACCACTCTTGTATAACTTTATTAACTTTACCAATAATCTACCAAGAGAAAGGGACCGAGTGCTACTACATGTAAACCTCACCAGTCGTCAGCCAGTGCCGCTTCGTTTTCATTATTCCCACTCCACACAATGAGTGATGGGTGATAATGTAAGCGCCTAACCTGCGAAAAGACATAACTTTAAAGTTTACGCCCGTATATACTGTATTAGTAAAATCCAACTAGTGGTCTATTTTAAAGTTTACGCCCTGATTATATACTACTAGGTAATGTTCGTCGAACAAAGTTGGGCGGCAAAAAGATTAAACTTTTAACTAGGTAAAGAAACCTCACCACCAACATTTTGAGGATGGGAATTTTACCTGTTGTTTGCTACAATGGGAGAACCTCACCACAACTAGTAATTTGCCTTTTGCTCAAGAATGGATCAGAATGGATCAGAATGATCAGACTATCAGAATGGATGGAAAGCAGTGAATTCCTCACCTGGTATCGCACTTCGTCTTTTACTGAGTTTAAGAATTCCGTGTCTGTGGGATACAGGGCACAAGCAAACATAAACTCTTCCCACACAAGTAACCTGAAAACAATCAGTGACCTTAGTGAAAAAATATTAGGGGAGAGGTGGGTGGAAAGTTTTTCAGAATCTTAAAACGATTTAGATGCTCTATAGAAACAAAAACCTGACCACCCCGAACAACAGAAAGGAAGTCACCCAGTCTTCACTCTGTTTACAAGTTACCGTCAATGCTCAAAATGGCTGGAGGCAAAACAGCTGGCTACTTACAAGCGTGGTAGAGGTTTTGAACTCGGGACTACCAAGAACAAATCCAGCAAGTGGTCAGAACGGGACTTAGACTCGGGGCCTCTCAATTGCAAGACCAGCGCTCTAACCGCTCGGCCTAGCCTGTTCTGGGCATTCATATAGTAGAGCGCGGAGTTCAGATGGTGGGAAGCGAGTCACTCGTACGCGGGAAAACGAGGGGAAAAATGTTTCTTTTCCTGGTCAATTTTTCTCCCGCGCTCTACTATCTGAATGCCTGGAACAGGCTGCGCACGGCCACACTACCTCCCTTCAAAAAAGCCCCCTCCCCTTCGAATTAGCTCCCCATCCCCCTTGAAGAAAAACATCAAGAGCTTTAACAACGAGGACAAACTCATAATTTACCCTAATTCATCCGCTATGCTGTAGAACTCTTCGTGTTGATAAATTCCACCTCCCCAGTTTCTCACCACATTCATGTTGGCGTCAACAGCGGACTGTAGAATATTCCTTATAACTGAGCTTGTTACACGGTCTTCAAAGGCATCTGTGAAGAAGACACAAAAACTAGTTTTAATAAGGCCTAGGCCAAACGTCGAACCAAACTTTGTGAGTTAAGTTCATGTTAAGTTCGACGTCTGAATCAGTTACGTTTCTGTCAATGAGTTTGGATCGTCCAACACGTTCTATCCGTTTGCTTCAGACGAATAGAACGTCTCAAGATCGTGCCCCGGACAAACGTCGATCTTTACAAGCGACAAACTAAAATTTGAAAGATAATGTATCTTTAGCTTCCGGTTCGGGAGAAAATTTATTACCGATCTGATTCAGCTGATTGGTTCGACGCGTCATATAAGTTCGACGTCTGACCCAACAGACGGTCTTAACTTAATTTAGGTCGACCCAAATTAGAGTTGGGTTCGTCTCATGAAAAGTCCGACGTTAGCCGAGGCCTACGTAAGATGATAAATCAGCAAACACCCAAAAGCTGACAGTTCGAGCGTCAGCTTGTCATTTGAGCAAATTCAAGAGGAGAAACCCACGTAATCATGTGAGAAATGCTAGTATCCATCTGCGGTCTGAGGATATATATCTGTAAATTTCATTTTTTTTGAAGCAACAACGGCGCCGACAGCTACGAAAACGTCACTTAAAATGTGAATTTGCTCTGCTTTAAACTTAATCGCGCATATTCCATCTCGTTCAATTCCTTAAATGTTGGCAAATTTTTCCAGAGTTGAATTCTAAAAGACTTTATCGAAGTCCAGGAAAAGAAAAAGAAAGTTTTTGTCTTGTGTTCACGTACTCCACAAAACGTGAAATTAGTCACTTCTACCTTGTACTCGTGCAGTGACGGCAAAGAAATGTGCAAAAAAAGCAGGAAGCACGTACAGAGTTGTTGTCTTTTGCTCATCTAATCTATTGCTTTTTTGACGTTCTCGTAGCCATTGTCTCTCTATTGTTAATAAAGCCTCGTGCAAACGGACGCAACGTTGTTGGATGTTACATGTTGCGTCTGATGTTGGGAGGTGTTGCACCGTTTGCACACCACTGCAATACGGACGCAACAACACGCAACATTGTTGGCGCAACAATGTTGGGAGTTGTTGTATCAGTTTGCACGTAGCTAAAGCCGTAGGCAAGATCATGTTATACCTGCTGGGATCCAGTTGGCTCCTTTGAGAAATATAGGTAAATCGTTAATTTCAAAGTGAAATCCTAGACCTGAAAAATAAATAACAGCAGTTTAGAAAACGTATTTAACGTCTCCAGAGCTTTGATAACTGACGAAAAGATCTGAGCCTCCCGCAGAAAATTACAGCGACTCCAAGTTTGCTTGGAAGTCTCAGTTGTTTTAAATATTTCTAAATTTTCTTCAAAACCTCACCGTCTGTAAGAAAGCAAGTTTGCTCCTTATTCTGTCTACCGGCATTCTTTCCACCGGGTAAAATCGTGAATGTTTCAGAGACGCACTTTTAAGGGACCTCATTAAAGAAAGTTACCAGTGTGTTTTAAATTAGCCTTTTTCTATATAAAATCTTCAAATTTTTCAAATTCAGTGAATCAGAACAGGCTTGTAAACTGCAAAAAAGGCAATTCCCATCATTATTCATGTTAACCAGCCAGGTCAGATCTCTCACCTTTCCTCTCTAACCCCTCCCTCACCTGTTTTAAATCCTTCTCCAGCCCCCACCCCGCTTCGTATCCACCTGTTCAACTTTTACCCTATACATATAAAGCCTCGTGCAAAAGGAGCAACATTGTTGGCCAACAACTCCCAACACTGTTAAATATTGCATGTTGCGTCCGTTTGCACACCCTGTTGCATGTTATTGGGAGTTGTTCCGCAAAGTTTAACACCGGTCAAACTTTTGGCTACGTGCAAACGGACCCAACAACTCCCAACATTGCTAGGCCAACAATGTTGGGAGTTGTTGGGTCCGTTTGCACGTGGCTTTTAAGTACCGACATGATCACACAGTGCTCACCTGGAGCTCCCTGTATCGGTTCCTGCACAAGCTTTACTTTTCTAAAGCCAATTTGACGACTTATACTCGATTGTAGCTCACCAGCGCTGTCCACAAAGAGAACCTGCATTGAATTGTAGGGTACGTGTAAGTAATGTAGAAAATAATACTAGGCCAGTTCGAAAGATATAATAATACTCTTTTTATTAAATTAAAGTGCAGGTGTAGGTAGTGTGTCACGTAGGTCTAACCGCTCCAGCGATCCATTCTCTATGCGTATCTTTGGCTGGGGCGGAGAAGGGTTAGAAAAGTTACTTGTGGCAAAAACACGGAAACACTTAGTCGGGTGATTCAACTGTTTATCTCGCATGGCAGGTGTGTTTTCATCACTGTTAAATGCATTTAGTGCCAAAAGGAACAATCACTAGGCTGTGTTGTTCAAAGCTGGGTTAAGATAACCAAGGAATAGTGTAAAATTTGAATTCCCAGTTTTATTCCAGAATAAATAAAATCAATTGAAATCAATTGAACAGTACGGAGTTTCCAAACTAAAACATAAGTGAAACAAAAAATAATTATTGGCTGGTTGTCATTAGCAACATAACCCTTCGAATTACGGGCTTTTTTACCTTGAGAGCATACAGATTTGGTTTGCCATAACCACTGGGCCACCATGGTTTTATTTCGTCTTTCTCTGTAAATCTCATAACTGGCAAAGAAACTTTCTGTAGCCCCTGCGACAGTTTAATGGGAACTTTCAGAGACTGAGACATCTGAGGGAGGCTAAGGTAAACAGTGCCTGTAATACCATCGCAAGTTGCATCCATAAACACAGCCACTGATAATTGCCAGGTGACGTTAACTAAGCCGACAGGAAAGGAAAAAAAAAAGTACAAAGAATTTTCAAAAACGTAAATTAAGTCATTTTCAGTACTCAACCGTTAAACATTTAGATGAAAAGAACCAAAACTACAGAAATCTCAGTTTGCAAACAATAGTTTGAGTATAGAGAAATCTTTTTCTGGGGCGAAAAATGGTTTGGATTGATGGTTTGGATTACAGTGGGTAGTAAAGGACAAGATTCAGCACTCAATTAAACACTCTTTTGCCTGTATTTCTAGTTGAATGGCTTCCATTTGAGCATGCCCGGGAACAATTCTTGTGCCGCAAAAAATTGTGCGTCAATGTCATCTTTTAGCATTAAAACTGGTGACATCAAAACTGGTACAAGGAAAATGGCCTTTTCATGGTTTCCAGTATCTGGCAAGTTTCACGTGGTTTAGGCGTGAATGTATTAACCATGTCACTCCCGGAATAAAAGAGTCTATCATCTGTGTCTGTGGATGAAATATGTCATGTTAACATGTTCAAATGAATTCTCTTCCTACAGTAGCACTTTCATGTGGTCCTACATGTACATGTACTTGCTTTTTAGCATTTTTCAAAATGACATTCAGAAATTTTACCAAATTATGACTCACCACTTCTGGTAATAAAAGGGTTACAGATAAAGAGTGTCCTCACCACTGTGTGATTATCATTTAAAATGGCTTTTAAGAAATTCTGTTGCAGCTACATACTGTAGACATGACTAAAAATCATTGTATTTCCTTCGTGAATCATTATATATCTTTAAAGTGCTAGCTAGTGCTCTTAATTACTGAGTGGACACTGGCCAGAGATCACATTAGATTACAAGGAAGGAACCTTTAGTTGGTGTAACTGTAATGTCTCTTATGACAGCAGAATTGTAAGCTTGTAGGGACACATTCCTCCTATAGATGACAAAAAAAAAACAAATAATTTTATAAGGTAATGAACAAGGGATCTTAGACGTTTTTTCAACATTCAAACTTTTTTAATTCAATGTACTATTTCTGGGACATTTTGCACGTTTTTAGTCACTGACAATGATTGTTTCGTCATTTCAATGATAAAAGCGAATTTTGATAGTATGTACTTCATTTGAGACTGCATATAATGTCCTACACCAAAGGTCACGGTGCAATGGAGGGGGGGGGGGGCAGATTTTAGATCTCCAGAGGTTGGCATCTCTGCCCATGCAGATCCTTATAAATGGATAAAAATGATATAGTTGATGTGAAGGATTAAAGCCACAACTGACTAGTTCTCAAATGAGAGAAGCCTTGTTAAACTTTAACCTACATGCAGCCATACCCTCCCCCCTCCACCATGAAGGGAGGGAGGGAGGGTACAGTAGGCTAAGTTTTTTACATTGGTTGTTAAAGATTGTGTAGCTCACCAGATCCCTTGTGTGACGAATGCTGGTCCCCAGTCCTACAAAAGAAAAGAAAAATTAATTTACCTCTACTAACTTGCCTTTTGATGACATTTTCCATCTAACAGGCCATGTGCACTACGAGGTCACCTGACCAATGCTTCCTTTAAACAATGAGTTGGAATCTTGCTGATGCCAAAAATTGACAGAGCACATAAAAATTATCTAACACCCGAAATTTGAGAGGAAATGCATTTAAGGGAGATATTTTATGGCACTTTGATTTTTCAACAAAGTAGTATGATTTGTATTGGCAGCCATGTTGGAGGGCATACTCTTACCCTCCAACATGGCAGCCAAAACTACTTTTTGCTTATATCTTGTTAAACGTTTGATAGGTACGCTCAGATGTGCTGTAAACATTACCACATCATCATTTCAACAATTTCCTTGAAATTTAAGTGCAAAACTTGCATTGAGAAAGAGGTAATTCATAATTTTAAAAGTCACATTTTGGTCACGTGACCAGCTACAAACTTACTTGCGGATTTGAAAAATCAAATCACTATTATTTTGTTTAAGATATGACCCACTAATCGTTTTTCAAAGACAAAATCATATAACTTTCATTTTCATAAAAATGATGTCACATGACCTCTTAGTACAAATGGCCTATTGTAGAAATGAAGTATGTCTTTAACAACCTGACTCTTATATTAGCCATTTATTTTTGATTCACGGGGTTTCAATTTAGTATCCATTCAGACAAATGGCTTACCCAGCTGAAAGAACATTGCTCTTTTCTGATGAAATTACCATGACACTCCCCACGTTGTACTGGGACAGGACAAGCCGGAGGCACTGGATACGGAGACTTGCTTGCTTGCCCTTTGGCGTAAGTAATGGCAGATGTGAAACACACCTCAATTACATTTAAACCACTCTTGAGAGTTCCCTTGACACTGAAGATATACCTGTGAAACATGTTTGTTGATTCACCCACTTTGACGCCATTCACCAGAATTGTAGCAACTGTATCTAGTCCTTCAAAAACTAGGAGAATCTCTCTTTTGGAAATCACATCTTCAGACACTATGAGAAATGATTAAAATTAACTCAGGAGTCATTGTACATCATAAGAAGGTTAACAGTAATATAATCATCTGGATATCACTTATGTGAGACTAAACTGCAGCAGGAGTAGCTCAGTCAGTAGAGCTCTTGAATTCAGAGCAGAAGGTCATGGGTTCGTTTCCAAGGGCTGGACCAATACTCAGGGTCTTCAAATAACTGAGAAGTGAAGGTATTCCTTGCACTGTGAGCAACAAGACCTTCGCATGGCTCAGATGACCACATAAAATGGTGGTGCTGTCTCCAGTTAGAGAAGAAAAATAGCGTCCCCAGTTAGTACTCTCTTAATACATTTACACTCAAATAAAGTCTGTGTGTGTTGGTAGAATCCTTTACTGTGTAGCTTTAGTTTAAGAATCATATTTTTTCAGATAAGCCATTTTATGGAAATTATTTGACATTAGATTCTCAAACAAACACTGTAATTTCTAACTCGGTTGCCTACTCGTCAAGATGGCTTCCAAAACTGCGACAAGGTCTATAACCATGCAAAAAGCAAGAGAGATTGTCTAGCCATGCAATAAGTTCAACCACCAGCCTTTGCACCTAAATGAGTGACCTTAATGAGGCTCTCTTAGGGGGGGTCGGTCACATATATATGTCCCTAGTCTGAATTCCAAAACCTGTCGTTCCATGTATTGAGGAGGAAGTCATGTCCCTGTCAGTGTTTAACTATTGTATTTGCACTTTTCTCTGTCGCAGTCGCAATTTCAACCTATCTTTGTGTTGTTTGTCACCATTTCTGCTGTCCTATGTCACTGTTTCAAGGTCATGTTGCTGGTCGGAATTTTTCCCAAAACAGGGCCTCCTTAATGTTCCAAGAGTTGGGGGAAGGGTGGTAGTCACAGGTAGAATTGTACCCTAGCTGCATTAGGTTGCCTTTTTGTCCATTAAATGGGTCATGGTTGTGAAACATCGGCGATTCCTTTACCCAAGGATAGGTTTTCCATATCACCCGCTGAAAATGTCAAGTTTTGGCTCACGTAACTGAGAATACGAAATTTGACCAGCAATTGTGACATTCTCAAAAAACAATCTAAGTGTCAGTTAAAGCGATTAAAACTTAAAGAGCACTGCACCAAAACAATGAACAATGGCCAACGAATTATCTAACCTTCCAAAGATCTAGTGTATGTCCAGTTATCATAAGCTATCCATCTATAGTTGACATCATTAAACCGGAAATAAGGATCCATAATGGTTCCATTGCGGTACAGGGCTGTATGTACATTTCCGGGAACTTCTCCAGCCACGGATATGCTCTTATTTCCATTTCGAACAATCCATGTACCTGCTAGATTGATTTCTATTGCGGCAGAACATATCAGATGAAGATAACTAAATGCGAAAACTAAATGTCTCATCGCCATCTTGGAAAGTCGGAAGATGATCTCATGTTTACCTTATGAGCCTGTAACCAAAACGATCAGCGGCATGAACAAAATGGCGGCAAATTTCCATGCTGTTGGTGCAGGGTCTTGAACTCGAAAAATGGCGCCTAAGAAGGAAAAGAAGAAGCGTATTCAGCTTTGTAATGCCCGTCAGATAATCTCTAGCTTCTACGCCAAACTATTTACGTTGCTAAGCTTCATTCGCAAAGTGAAAAAGGAAAGCGACCAGCCACTCATTCAAGATGGCGACCCCGCGGATTACAAGTTTCTTCTTAAATCAACCCTCGTGGCCGTTCCTCGAGATCTGTCGAAAGCCCCGCCATTCAAGCCGAGCAACACACACTGGTTTACGTTGAAGGAGATAACCAACCGTGTGATCGAGCATGTTTGCCGTTCAAACAAGAGCAATGTTCTCGCCCTTGGCTTTGAGCCCCTCAGAGGGAACGGGAGAAGTGGAACAGTGGCTGGGACTATTGGAATACAGAACAGCTATCCAAATACGATCGTCAGCTATATAAGAACATCCAAAGCGTGGCTGCTGCTTCATAAGCGCGTAGGAGATGATTTGATGATTCATCTGCTGCAGAACGTAGCCATGTTTGTAAAGGCCACTTCAAAGTGTTATTTCCAGGTGGCAGGGTTTCCCATAAGCCGTATGTCTCCCTTGACAGAAAAGGGCGTCGATGCTCCAGATAAACTCGGCAGCATCAAGTGCAAGAAACAAAAGCCTACCGATGCAGCAGAAAAATCGAGTCACGCGGTCAGGAAATTGCGGAGAGGGGAAAAAGGATGAGAAGATCTCGCCAAAATTTCGCCAACGAAAAAGATCCCGAAGCCTCGACTTCAGACATTGCTGTTTCTGCTTTTTGTGAAAACACACTTAGACAAGAACATATTTGTGATGAAGCTGCAAAAAATACGAGCACCTCTCCAGTAACTTCAGCCCAACTCGAACAGCCTAAATCCCGCAAGAGAAGGGCAAGCGACAACTTAAGTGATAACCAAGAACAAACCTCGAAGAAAGCAAAAACGTCTTTAAGCATTGAAGATTCGCCCTTGTTATTCCCAATAGAGCCCGAAGGAAAATCTCGAAATCTTCCTGTCAGTGATCACACCGTGAGATCTTACTCTACTTCAGATCGTGATAACGTGACTGAGCAACGTGAGAAAAATTCAAATTTACTTAGTCCAATGAAAGATTGTTGCGAAGATTCTGAGAGGAAGACAACAAATCAGAACGCTGAAATTTCGATGAGTTCAACAGAGGATGGATTAACAACAGGAAGTGATACTGAAGTTTCACCTTTGCTGTTTCCAGAAGAAACTAGTGAAAAATCTACGGAAGAGCCAACCTGTAGTGCCAGTGTCAGATTGTCTTCCAATGATGATGTAGCCATAGCTTTGTTTCAAAATGACGCTGAGACTGTTGTCTCGTGCGTTGATAGTGGCCGAGTTGGAGATGACTTGTGCAGAAGCGACGATAAAGAGGTGAAAGCCACGCCGGTGGAAATGAAAGAGGTCCGAAAAAGAAAGAAGCCCTTCTCTGCTGCTGGGGCAAACGAAGAGGAGAAAACAAAATTAAGGAAAAGGAAGAAACCTTGGAAAGGTCTGTTAAAACTTTTACCACAGCCGGAGCAAGGAAAATCCCCGAGAAAGAAAACATCGGCAACCAAGTTTAAAGGTGAAGGCAAATCAGGAAAAATTAACAGAAAAGAATCAAAGAAATTGAGTAAAAGCCAATCAACATCGAAGACGCATCAAGAGATCGGTATGAATGACCTTTACTTGCCACGCACAAGGCTATTTTACGCCTCAAATCTCTCACAGAAACTTTCCAAGAAACATGTGATGGAGGCAACGCCCGTCAGTATGAACGGAGCTCGTAAGCTTGTTCATCGCATCTTTCTGGAGGGAAGCTATGTTGGAAATGGTAAAAGTGATGTCCAAAATGCCAAGAACGCGACAGGAACCTCGAGCAACCAAAAGCAAACACCAACCAAGAACGAAAAAGTTACCAAGGGTGGTCAAAATGCCAAGAACGCGTCAGGAGTTTTGAGCAACCATAAACAAACACCAAGCAAGAAAAAGAAGCCATTCCGTCTGCCAAAGAGACTAAAGAGAATAGTCCCCATCTTTTTGATATTCCTGGCCAGACATCGAAAGTGTCCTTTCCAGGTTCTGTTGAAGCATCATTGCACATTCAGTGAGAGGAGAGCACGAGTGATAAAGAGTGGCAAGAAGAAAGGACGCCTCTTCAGCACTCCTAAGACAAAGATGTGGAGCAAACGTCGTTTGAAAAGACATGGCTCGAAGGTTGTTAAACGCCCGCCTGGTAAGAAGAAAATCAAAGTTGATGTGTTGGTTTATCGACATGCTGTCAGCAACTACACGAGGCATGATCAGGTAAGGCAGTCTTGGATATCTGTATTCTATGCCGTGGATTCTGGATACCAGCTACTGGATTTCGAATTCCAAGGCATTAGTGGTATTCCGAACTCCTTGAGCTGTATTCCGGATTCCAAAGCCAAGGATTCCGGATCCAACGAGCAAAAAGATCTCGGATTCCGAATTCCACACGCAAAAATTTCTCGCATTCCGGAATCCTGATTTTCCTACATGGGCGAAATCCTGGTTCTCACATACCGCAAGAAAGAAAGAAGCCCCCCCATCCTAATAAGGCTCTGTTGCTTGATTTTTCTGCATCCCCAACATTGCCCAATGCGTGTCCTTGCTGCTAATTAACCACCAACAAAAATTTTGATTTATGCCGCAGGTTATTCGTTTTCTGGAGTGTGTCTGTCACAAGGTCGTTCCAAAGGAGCTGTGGGGATGTCCACACAATAAGAGAACGTTTCTTCGTAATTTAGCGAAGTTTCTTCGACTTCATCGCGGTGAAAAATTTTCTCTGGGACAGGTGATGGAGGGCATCAAGGTTTCAAAGTGTGAGTGGCTCAAGATGAAAGCAGAGGACAAAGGCAAATTTGTACCACTGTCTGATTCACGAAAGCAACAGCAGCTTCTCTCGCAGTTTATCTGGTGGTTTGTCACGCAGTATCTTATGCCTTTAATCAAAAGCTTTTTTTACATCACAGAGAGCGGAACCAACCGCCAAAGAATTTTCTATTACAGAAAACCAGTGTGGAGGAAGATCCAGCAGTTTGGTATAAACATGTTATGCGGCGAATTCTTTAAGCCGTTGAAGACGAAAGAAGCCGAAAGGCTACTCAGCAGCAAATCATCTTTGGGTTTTTCTCCGCTAAGATTTATACCCAAGAGCTCAACAGTACGTCCCATTACCAACATGAAACACTGTCCGTCAATCAAGGAACCAACCAACGCCCAGAAACAGCAGTCTATCAACAGGAAACTTCAGAATTTGTTTGAAGTGCTGAAATTCGAGAAGGAGCGGAATGCGAAGAGCCTGGGAGCCACCTTGTTCGGCAATGACGATCTTTACCGAGTTCTGAGGCCGTTTGCCGAGCGTGTGCGCGAGTATTTGGACGGAAAACCGCTATTCTTTGTTCACGTGGACGTGAAACATTGCTACGAGTCCATCCCACATCAAAAATTGTTTGATATCATGAAGGGAATGTTTGAGGAGGAGGAGTACTTAATTCGACGCTTTGCATTGTTACGAATGTCTTCGGGCAAGGTTTTCAGGCAAGTTTTGCGTCAAATGTTACGGTCCCGTTTAATTTATGGGAAAATATTAAAAGGAACTTCTCTGATGGAATTTGCACCTTTTTTGATTTTCCAGGGAATTTTACAAACACGTTAGCAACGTAGATGACTGCCGTTCGTTTCCAGATTTCTTCCAGTCCTTGATAACTGCGTGGAAGCTGAAGCGAAACGTAGCAGTGGATCAAGTATGGTACCTAACGGAGGACCGCGACAAACTGATTAACTTGCTAAAGGAGCATGTCTTTAACAACATCGTGAGAATTGGAAACAACTATTATCAACAAATAAGGGGTATGTATTCGCTGAAGAAGTACCATTTCTATACGATTTCTTTCTTTGTTTTGGTCGCACAGGTCGTAAGGTTCAACGTTCCTTCGCACTTCGTTCTGTACAAATAGGAAGATATTTTTCCAAGCTTGGCACCCCTCATAATGATTCCTTTGATCTCTTTTGTTGCGGTGTAGACTTTGCGCCTTTCACCTGCTTGTTATCAGTTCCATGTTTCCCGCGCTTGGCAATGTTTTTAATGTTTCTTCGCTTGGCGATGTTTGTAATATTTCCCACGCTTGGTAATCGGTGTAATGTTTTCCCGCGCTTGGTAATGGGTGTAATGTTTTCCCTCGCTTGGTAATGGGTGTAATGTTTTCCCGCGCTTGGCAATGGTTGCAATGTTTCCCGCACTTTGCAGTGGATGCATTCCTTTCCTCGTTTGGTGATCTCTTCTCTCTCCATTAGTGCTCCATTTTACTGGTATTTAAAGCTACACGGAAAAGGGAGAAGTCGAAAGAAGGATTTATGGTCACACCTGAGAATGGAACTCGGGACGTCCCGCACAGAAGGTCGCCCACTAACCATCTGTCGTAATCCTTAAACGCACGTTTTATTTCCCTTCGTTTAGGGATAGCGCAAGGGTCCATCTTGTCCACAATGCTTTGCGGCTATTTCTACAGTGACATGGAGAAGACTCACCTTTCAGAGATTTCCCAGGATCCCGACTCCCTTTTACTTAGATGGGTGGACGACTTTCTATTCATCACTCCACACAAGATCCTGGCCTCCAAGTTCTTAAATGTCATGCATAACGGAATACCTGAGTATGGCTGCTTTATAAATCGTGAGAAAACGCTGACCAACTTTGACGCAGTCACCGACGATGGAGAGCAAGTGAAGAAGGTTTGCGCGAGCACAAGATTTCCATGGTGTGGTTATCTTTTTGATACAGTCACACTCGAAGTTCGTTGCGATTTGTCGCGATATACGGGTGAGTCACGTGGTTAATGTACTTTTCTCGTGATTGACATATGCTGTGTCGGGAGCGGTGTGAAATATCACTCACTGTCCTATTGGTCAATTGTCATGACGTCACCGGTAGAATTTTCGACCAGTGAATTTCGCGCCAAACAGGCATAAAAAGTCCTTCAAAATGGCAAAACCAACCATGAAAAAAAATAGAGGACATTTAGAAAGTCTACCCGGGTAGGCGGGTGCTCCTTCTACCCTGGACAACTTTTCTTCATATAAACGGGACCTAAGACAACTAAATAAACGCCCGTGCGGCTTCTAGTTCTTTGTTGGAGATGCTCACTGTTTCTTTGCCATCCATAAAGGACTCCCTTTAAGGGACACTTTATCAGTGGCCTTGGACGCGCATCCTGGTCAAGCCCTACGCTGGAAGCTCCGCTATTCAGTGCGCCCGAAGTGCCATCCATTACTTTTGGACAATAATCTGAACTCGCGCGGGACCGTTCTTTTGAATGTGTACCAGTTGTTTCTGCTAACAGCGTACAAGTTTCACACCTATGCTAAAGAGCTGCCAAAGGGTGAGTGTTCTTTGTTTAGCTTAATAGTAGTGATGATGATGATGATGATGATGATGATGATGATGATGATGATAGTAATTGCAATTCCTTTTTATACCCTTAGCAGTATTCATAGCGCAAAGGCTAGTGGGGCCGAGCCCAGTCATATTCGGGTGGATAAAATGCCGAACCCCTCGAACACGCGTCAAACGCTCCATTATCTGCCAAAGTGCTTTCCGTCCAACCCTTGACTGACTGGTAAATTCTAGCATAAGCTGCACGCTCTCCATTAAATTTTTCCTCGTGAAAGAGTTCCAACCTTCGAAATGACCCATGTTGGCCTGATATATAGATGATATTTGATAGCTGCGCGGAGGTAAGAATTCTCTCTTCCAGTGCTGAGAAATATTTGACGCGTGAACGTAAACTATTAAGTATTTTTCAACACGAGAAGAGAAACTTCGAATAAAATTAATTATATGAACACCAAACAAATATCAAACCATTTCACTGCAAAATGTTTTTGGCTGCGAAAGTGCGATTCATTATGCTACCATGTCATCGGTAATATTTTCACGCGTGAAGATATTACACAGATTAAGAGTCACGTTAACCACGGCAAACGTGAATTTGTACCACGTGACCAAGTTTCGCCTTTAATTGTGCTTTACTTTTCATTGCTTCTACCCCGATAAAATTAGTACCTTCACGTTATTTTTGTCTATAACAACTGTTTTGGACTGTTTTTAGTTGCACGTTTTTTATTTTGAGAAATTCTCAACTTGAATCTGATGTTTGCCGTTTGCTTAAACGCGCTCTAAATCACTCTATTTACAGTCACGTTAACGGCAAACGACAAACGTGACCAAGTTTTCCCTCAACTTGTGCTTTACTGAGCATTACTTCTACCCCAAAATCAGCAGCTTCACGTTATTTTCGTCTATAACAACTGTTTTGGACTGAGCTGCACGTTTTCTATTTTGAGAAATTCTTAACTTGAATCTGACGTTTGCTGTTTGCCGTAAACGTCACTCTAATTCTCTTTATTATTTTTTGGCGGGAAAGCTCACCTGGTATTTCATTTGTGTTTAAATAATAAGCTCACTAACCGGAACCCTTGATCTCTGGATAAACATTCGTTAATTGGTCTTGTACCAGTTGCCTCAATTACAATCTTTCCGAAAGGTTTTTGAACGTACACAAGCAGTAGCTGAGTCAACCCAAAAACTTTCCTTTAGATGGTGTCGTTGATGGAAGGAAGTCCTTACCAGACAATATTCCTTTCTTAGGCCGATTCTTCTTAAGACAACTGGAGCTAACACCTTATTCTGGCTTGACTAATGAGTAAGAAATAGGAAAAGAAGAAGTAACTAACAGGTTTTGAATTCCCGGTGGGGGGGGGGAGGAATTCCCTATGATGGCCTATACGGGGAGGCTCCGCCCGAAAGGGGTACCTTTGTCAGTCTTCAGGTATATGAAAGGGTACGGTAGGGTTTTCACAAGTCGAAGTATAGGAAAAGGTAGGGAAATTTGTCATTTGGGTCTGTGAGAGGATCCAAAAGGGCTAACAGATGAATTTTATGGCTTTAAAAAGTCGAAAAAGCGTTCTATTTTTGTGATTGATTGCTATTTAAAAGACAGTGCATTCACAGCAGTTAAAGGGGATGCAAAGTTCTAAACAAGGTGTGTGAAAGGGGCACCATTTGTCAGTAGAAGGTACACGAGAGTTGTACCTTTTTCGTGAAAACAGGTTTATAAAAGGGTAAGGGGTTGGATAGTCTCCCTCGTAGCCGTTTTTAGTATCGTCACGCAACGCTCCTCCCCACGTTGCGTGACGATACTAAAAACGGCTGCGAGGGAGACTAGGGGTTGGACCTCGTGGCAGAGCCTCCCCGTATAAACATTTGTTGAATACCCTCCGGCTTTGAATGTCCCTTCGGTGAGGCAGATAAAACTAATCTTCTGTTTACGTTACACAACTGGACTAGACAAATCGTATCAGGGTAATAGCTTAATGTTTTGGTTTAACAAAGGGGGCTGATCAAAAACATAATTTTTATCGATATTGCTCTTAAAGGTAACCACCTGCCTAGATCCCATCATGTTCCCATGGTTACTAAATTTACAATGTGAAATAAACAAGCAAACATGGCACAATCTCAAGTGCGTCTAAAATTAGAAGAAAGACCAAAATGGCAAGAATTTCACTTCTCAACAAAAATTATAAACAAGTTACAATCAACAGAATTCAAAATGTATTTCACGTTTATTGCTCAGCTGCAAGTGGTATCAGACTGCAAAATGGAATTGTTTTGGGGAAGCCTGCGCACAGCAGACGTATTTCCGGTCGTCGCTTCTCTCCCTCTGAAAAATATGGAGAGAAGCGACGACCGGAAATACATCTGCTGTTCGCAGGCTAAAAGCTGGATCGAAGTAGACCAATTTCGATATATTTAAATTCATACTTGGCTCCAAAGATTGGGGGAATAAAGCAAAGAAATGTGTTATTCTTTGCTGTTCCTCAAGATGACTTCATTTTTTATGCCTCGGAGCCTCGAAGCTAAAAACATTCTTTAAAATACATCAAATTGATTCGTCCCTCAAAACACTCCCATAGTGCACTTCGAGACAACAACGACCCTTTCTCTCCTCAACCTCAAAATAGACCGTTTCCGCATGTCGTCACGGCGGCCATCTTGGTGTCCCAAAACAGTGAAACAGCGGCCATGTTAATGTCCCAAACCGATCCTGTGCGAGTTGAAAACTTTTCTTAAGTAAACACTTTTTTTGTTCCAATAAATTTGCGTAGATGCTGACCACGTGAGTGAAAACGCTCTATCGCCAATAATAAGCAGATATAAGATCCACTTTTATGAGGCCTGCTATTAAATAATTTCCCGGTGGATCAATAGAGCTTTTGTGTAATGTTTAGTACCGAACTGGAGTGTTTATCACGTTTAAAGCATAAGTTGTAGCCTGGCAGCTGGGCAATTATATAAACTGGAAACAGTGAGCTTCTTAAACTTAACTTTTCCGTTCATCTGGTCGTTTGCCTTAAAATCCCTAGGTTTGGGATTATTTTGGCTGAGAAATTAAAAGGAGAACCGAAACATTTTTCAATCAGACATTGAGACGATCATAAAGCATCTTTTCCTTCTCTAGTCATTCGTGAATTGTTAGACGTTTACGAGCTTTTTCTTACTAACTACTGGCGAATCGCCTGCACTTTCTTCCAAGACAATTTTTCATTACATAAATTTCCTTTAAATGACTTTTCGCTCTCTTTTCATTTTTTATGTATTTCTAAATGAAGGTACATCAAACCAATATCCAAAAGCTTCTTTCCTTTTGAAAATTGTCAACTCCATAATGCACTAATATTGTCCGGAAAAAATTAAAAGCACTTTTATCTATTTTTTTTTTTTTAATTCTACTTTGCTGTAAGCCCAATATAGTAAGCGAAACGTGCGTAGTTAACGCTGTGAAAAACGTTTTCATTTTTTCTCGTACTACGTCGGCCATCTTTGAATATTACGGATTTGTCGATTTCAAGCTAACCTGTAATCAAAAGTGATTTTCTTTCCATTTATTTTACGAAACAAGCTGTTAATTCATTATGGTTCAGTTTACATATTCATAGCCTGTTGCTGGACATTTGTTGACATAGATATTATATCCGCAAATAGCCAGACCAGGTGTAAGTCGTTTGTTAACGCATTGTCCATGAAAGAAAAAGCTTTTATTGAATGTTACGCTTTCAAATGCAAGCGATGCCGTGTCTGTTTTTCAAAAAACTTAATGGTTTCTCATTGTTTTGGCGCAGCAACACATATCCTTTCTATTCTTGTATCGGCCGAAGCTTTTTTTCGGATAATAAGGATATCAAATGGTTGTTTTGCTAATTTATACTGCAAATTTAGAATACTTACTTTCTTAAAGCATAATTCCGGTTGTCTCGGATTTTTTCCATTTTCCATGGGTCTAAATGAAGTAAAAATGAACTGTCAAAATCCTTCTTTTGTAGGGAAAATGTTTCAAACGGAAAAATTTATGTTTTTCAATAGGAGCCGAGTGTCATTAACTGGAATTATTTTTGGGAAAAAAAGGGTGTGGGGTTTTAACAGGTGTTGCCTAAAAGCTGTGGGTTTTTTTTTATTAAAGCAATTTTAATTTTTATTATGAGACTCAGCTCGGCCCCGCGACTTACTATTGTGATTTGTTATTGTGAGTTTTATTTTTGGAATTCTGGATAGTGAAGTGAAAAGCGAACGCGGATTTGAAACATATCCTGATCCCCTGATCTGATAAAGAACGTTAAGCGACAAGTGACAGTAACCAAAATACGGATTTCTTGCCAGTTATACCCGGTTCAAACGTCGCATTTCACATGTGCCTAATTTAACGCTACATGAGGAATAAAATATTGTTCATTCTCACTCTCATTCATTTTCATGCATATGCATTAGATTCGGCACATCTGAAATGCAAACTTTGAACCGGGCCTAGCTACTACCCATTGAAACCGAGCGTTACAAGAGACTGTGCTCCTTTCGTGGGTCATCCGAAATCGGTGTAGCCTGTATAACAGATGTTACTATTTCGCGTTTTTCAAGCAAGTGAAGGCAATCGCCAAGCAAGCGAGGAGCGCCAGACACGCGCGATGGGAAGAGCTCCTTCCCCTTCCCGCGCGTCTGTTATGCAGGCTAAAATCGGTGATGTTTTTCGTCAATTGTGGAAATGTTATCACTCTACTTTTTCTCGTCTAAGGGGTATCTCCTCGGAGAGCCTTTATTGGGTAAACAATAATTTCATGAATATGTCCTACAAGCCAATATCTTTACATCTCTTGACCATGAACGGTGAAAAAATTGTTAATCTAAGCGCCCCTTCTATTGAAAATATTCCGAATTGTTATAAATTTGAACTTCAGCATTCGTTAATACGAGTTACTCAGAAGCCATACATATCCTTTTAGTTTTCTGTGTTTTTGCTTCTTTTCAAATGTACCAAGAGGGCGGGCAACTTTCACCAGGCCCTAAATAGCCTGTGCCAGACGGGCGAACGAACGAAAAACGGCGGGACGAGAGAGAAAGGGAGAACCTGTAAGCATCTTTTTAAATACCTCAGTCCGCCCACTTCCAGAAAAACCGTTTGTCGTGTCAAAATCGCAATTGTCAAAATTTGCGTGTAGGAGGGTTTCGTACGCTCGCCGTGCTTGTTAGACTCTGCGCGTGCGAAGCCTAGTGATTGACGTAAGTGTTGACTTAAACTGTTAAAATTGATTAATCACAGGGTGTACCAGAAGCTGGCATACCGGAATGAAGTATTGAAAACAATGCTTACAGGCCCCACTTCCCCGTCTCCACCCAGCCCCCGCGCGACTTTGGCGCAACTTTTCTCGATCCGTTTTTCCTACAGTCTTTGAGCCTGGAACAGGCTACGCCCTTAGTATATTTTGATGCTCATCCCCACGTTAAACTCGCTACATTTGCCAACGTGGCCGCCCTTAAGTGCTAACGATCTTGACTAAAAATAGACGAATGTGAGACTACAATTGTATTCAGGCGATTTTGGTCGCCCCAGTCCGGTTCGGATTGCCCTGCATCGTATCAGAGGTGTTTCCATACAATCATCTTGATTGCCTAAACTCATCTTGAGACGAACAGGTGCTGACGTCAATTTAGAAGATCCCTACGATTAGTTGGGACGATGCAGAAAATTGCCCGAACAATCTAGGAGGTCAAGCTTTAAAACGCCCGTTTACATTGAGTACAGCATAACAATCAGTACCGCAGCTGAGATCACCGACAGGGCCACGGAAAAATAATTTACTGCAATAGTCACACAAATAACAGAACTTTATGAATTCATATTTGTAGTTCACAGTGAGAATCAAACATGTTAATGAAGTTTTTCTTTTCTTTGTCTTTTTTAGGGCGCCAGCCGAAGGATAACCCTTCATTCTTTTGCGGTTTACTGATTGATGTTGCACAGTACTTCCATTCGACAAGTTTGCGCAAGTCTCGACAGCTATCCCCTGATAACGCCGCATTTTCGTTGGACGAATATGAGGTCACGTGGCTGTGTTTTCACGCCTTTCGCACGTGCTTGCAGAGAAAGCAGTCCAGGTATAGGGAACTCTTGAGGTTTCTCAAAATGGGATTGTCGCGTCTTTGGAGAGGCAATCAGGAACTGAAGAATGTCACAGCCATCTCGGAACACGCAGTATTCAAAAACATTCGTTGATTTCTGCCATTCTGTGTAGCGGCTCGTTAGACTTCATTAGAGCGACGTTTCGTTGGGCTTTACTTGTCTCATCCGCTGGGCACAGAAAGTTAAGGTTCCGGGAACGAACGGGATGTCGTGCGTCCAAACTCTGGCCGGAACACGTGGTCAAATGGCGTTATTGGGGTTTCTTGACGCGTATCTAATCATCTTTTAGTTCCCATATAAAATATGTGAATGATGACGAGGTTACAGGTTTACAGCAAACAGGGTTTAGCTTATGGTCCAGGCCCCTGTTGTTCAAAAGCTGGATAGCGCTCTCCGCGTTTTGAACAAGTGGGGCCAGGGTCTTTTTTCGGCCGACCGAGGCCAAACAAAAAATATTGCAAACATTTAGAAACGTACCACAAAGTTTTCGTTTTCACCAAAGAGAAGTTTGATGCTTTGACAGCAGATTGATAACTTGCTGATTTTCCTGGAAATTTTTATAAGAGGTTGCAAACTGAAGTGCCATTAAAGTAGGAAAATGTCAAGTTTTTGACACCATTTTTCAAAGAAATCTGGAGTTCTCCGTTTGATTTGTAGAGTAAAGAAGTCGTTGATGTTATTTTACAGAGATAAAAATATGTTCACTCTCATAGGCTGTCCCTTTGCATCAACTTCATTGTTCTGCGGGTGTCATCTTACTGCACGCAAATTTTTCCGCATGGCTAGACTGCAAAACAGTCGGGTTTTTTCTCAAAATCAATAAAGAAATCGGTAGAGCTTGGCGTAAGAGTCTTACGCGCGCGAAACGCGCAAGCCTTACACGTCTTGCACGCCCATCCCCAACCCCAGTCTCGCTGTCCGTTTTCAGCCTCTTTCCAGATCTTTTTTTTTAATGCTCGTGCGTGCGCAAAATACGGACTGTTTTGGCTGCGAAAACAAAAACGGCGGGACATTTCACTCATTCATTAATTGTTAAATAATTGAATGGGGAAGATTTATCCTTCAAATCTTAACAGTTTGTTTGGGTGGAAGTACTATGTTCAGGCCAGTAGCCTGTTTGAATTTACATCCAAATGCGTTTTAAAAAATTACAATCCGTTCTAACAAAGCTTGTAAATATCGACGATACCTTGTTCAAGACCTTAAGACAAACATTTCGACTCCGTTGGCATACCTTATACACTGTAGCTATAGATTAGGGGAATATCCTCTCCCGGCCTAGCCTAGCCCTCCTCTTCTCCCCATTTTTTTTTCTGAGGGAGGGGGGACGTCTGTACACAAGCTACTCCCGGCCCTACTTGGAAGATCGGACGATACCTGTTTTGTGAAGACTCGTGTTCTACGCATTACCAAAAGGCAAACCTCAGAGGCGGATCCAGAATTTCAGAAAGGGGTGGCCGGGCCACTTGCCAGCTATATAGATACTTTTATTTTCTGAGAATTCTATAAAAAAAATACAAAATTTCAAAGAAAAAAGGTGGTCGCGGCCCCCTCGGCCCACCCCTGAATCCACCCTTGAACTTTTTACTTGTGGCGCAGATCAAAAAACATCATAACCAGGGAGGAATAGTAGAAACTAAGACGAAAATTTGAGGTCAACCAACATTTTTATGGCAATTAAGAATAAAGAGTAGAAAGGCTTATTGGCTCTTTTTTATCGTAGAATCACACCTTTTAGCCGGAAAAATCTGAGGATTATAATTAATATTTATCCTCTTAATTTTCGCCATTGTTTTAAATGTCACAAATTCAGCCTTTCGTCGTGCGGAAAAGAGTTGCTAATTTTGTCTTTGACACTTTCTAAGCCTCCAGAGTTATTACTGTGATAACTAAACTGTAAACGTGGTCTTTGGAGTGTTAAAATTATATTATATTCACACTGGTTTGTCGCACTAAAACTCCTTTTGATGGCGCGTTCGCAGAGAATAAAACAAGGATTACTCAACAATACGTTCCAACTGGAATTTTGTGGCTATTGTAGCATGAGTATGCTACACATGTGTATATCTATATATTATGTATCGTGCTGGACATCTGAAAATTATGACTGAGCTAGCCAGTGAGTGCATGTACTGATCGGCTTTAAGAAAGTATTGACTGATGTTGAATAGATCACCTGGATTCTTTAACGTAGCTTTTACATTGTAATTTTTGCCTCAATAACTTAAAAGCCATTTCTTGAGTACTCATTCTTCTAATAGTTTAATAGCGGTTGCTATATAAGCCACTAACATGCATTGTTGAAGCTTTCATTCATTGGTCGTCTCTATATCTAGAAATGTATTTGGCAAGGTCATTCATTTTTACTTAACACCATGCCAAAAGAGAAAAATTGCACACAGCTGGTATCACATCAGTACATGTACCCAGAAAGTTGACAGTGTAAGCTGAATCTTTCCTCTTTTGAGAGCCCCCTCAAGAATGCAGTCAGCTACACAAATCCTTCCGTTTGGGATATATTAAGTTGAATTTTTGGTATTTTTATACTGTTGTTCGTTTCAGCCAGTTGGATTTCACCGTTACAAAAACACGATCATAATAGTATCATTGCGTGGGCCTTGTAGCCCACCTACATATATAGATATATAAAATGAAATACAGGTTGGTTTTTTTTTTCTCGGAGCAATCAAATGCAGTTTTGAAGCACGTCAACAACGCCTATACGTGAAAAAGAAGGTATTTCACAGCCACTTAATAATTTCTTATATTGATTCAGAATTATTTCGATCTCTCTTTCGTCTAAAAATAGCATCCGCTGGTTTACGAAAACAATTAAAAAAGAAACTGCCCCCACAGCAAAGTATAAAAAAGTGTGAGAAATGATTCTTTTTTGGCTATGTACATCGTTCGAGATATAATCTAAACAAATGCCAGGTTTTACAGGTGCTAAGGAAAGAGTTTCTGTCTAAATTTCTGTCTTAACTGGATCTCTCTGTCAAATGGAATTAAGATCTGCCAGACGAAAGCATTAATTGATGTTGTATTGGCAGACTGGAACCTTCAAAGTCTGTCATTATCGAATATCACGCGTGTTCGATGCGCTTTAATACTCATGGTAGCCAATATTCCTTCAGCGGCGTTCACTTCTTCTAAAAACCAAATTTTACTTTTTTCCCTTTGGCTGCAGTTGCTTCAAGTTGATGCAATTTTTAGAATGAAATAGGCTAAAAAAAATCGACAGTCGAACCTCGACAAAATAAGCCCGTTTATAACGACCACCCGAGGGAAAATTAGCCGGCGTAGCAAGTGTTTCCAATCGAGTTATTGCGCGACAAGTTTGAGCGGGAGCTCTCGTCTCAACTTTCTCGACGAACTCGCGAGGAAACGCTTGATACGCAGGCTAAGGGAAATTCTTCGCCCCGGGCTTAGCAAAATGCCTAGAATAGCGGATACGTACCCCCGTTGAAACGAACGATTTAATAATCGGGGTTTCACCATAACAGGAACCGTCCTTCAAGGAAACTCATAATTTTGCCAGAATAAAAGCGGAGGGGATCTAGAAAAGGGTCTTCCTACCCCCTTAACACCACCCAACCTTCTTATCCTATAGTCTGGATGAGAGCGGGCGTCCCGACTTACTTCAAGATCTTGATCGGCCTCTGGTTAGTGGGAATGGCTGGCATGCCGTGAAGAAAAGAACGGCGCAAAAAAGTAATCGAAGCAAGAGAAAACACGCCCTCCCTGCTCTCAGTTTCCTTCTCTCTTTCCCGTCATTTCTATTTAATTTGTCCCTTTTCTGTCCTTCTGTCTCTCTTTCTTTTCTCTTTTTTTCTTTACTTTCTGTTTCCCCCACTCCCCACTGCATGCCTGAACGCCTAAAACAGGCCATATCAATTGTTTAAATCAGAAAGAGTAATCCGGTCTTAATCTCGTTATCTTCCAATAATCCCCTAGGCTACACTGATATACTTTTGCTTTGCCTTTTCAGAATTTTACAAGTATCCAATTTAGTTGCATATTCCGAAGAATTAATTAATCGGAATGGTATGCAAAAATTAAGGTATCTGCTCAGTGGTGATAGTGTCAAATGGATTATCGAGAGGAAGAACACACTTGAAACTCTTTTGGTGGCTTACGCCTTCTTCTTCTTCTTCTCTTTTTTCTTTTTTTTTCTTTTTTTTTGTTTTTCGGAAAGGAATGAGCATACGAAGCCATTGTTCCCCTATTCTACTTACCAACAGGGATTTCTCGAGGATTTCCGCAGAACTGAAAGGTTATTTAAGAATATATACTAGTGACGCAAACTTGTCCTTCTTCTTAACTGGATTTTATTTTAAATAACACTCAAAATAGCTGATGAAAGCAGTAAGTGTGTTGGAATTAAGGTTCGTCTTGACCTTTATGTGGGATGTGAAAAGAGCTAATCTATTTAATTATACAATACAAAGAGATCAGCCAGACCAGAGAGAAACATTTCTTTGACGTCGTCTCGGTATGACTCCCGTTTTTTATGTGCTTTAAGTAGTTTATCCAAATATGTTTCTTCCTTGCGTACTACCGCCTTATCTAAAGGCTATCCACTTTTCTGGGCTGCGACAACTTGGCCATAATGAAACAATCTTTCTTGTGTTTATATCAATAAAATACACTGAGTATTTAGCATGCCACCGAATTTAAATTCTAATGGCCATCTTACGATTCCTACAAATGATACGCCAGTTACTTTGATAAAATGTTACAAGAACTACTCTCCTAACTCTCGGAAATGACTATTTTCGAATCCCCCATAATACATTCTGTTCCTCTCTCCCCTCCCTGTTTTCTTAAGCTGTTCACTGTTTTTAGAACTGAAAGAGCATTTAATAATTTCGAATGACGGTCAAACTACATTTCGCCCCATGTAAGTACCGAATCCGTTTTCCGGAATCCGGGAAAATTTGTTTGTGGAATCCGGAATCAGATGGGTTGTGGAACCGGCAATACAGCTCAAGGAATCCGGAATCTTACTTACAACTGGAATCCAGCAACGAAGTTCCACTTCCAAAGGCTGGAATCCATGCAGTACCTGATGAGGCTGGGCTCTTGACACGCGCTTAGTGCCAATAGATCAAGCTATCAGTTTTACCGCCTCACTTAAATCGGTCTCTCAGTTTTAATTTTTAAAACTTCCATTCAATATTACTCAAGTTTAAAATCTAAGTTTTAGCAGCTGAGGGTGCAGGCGAGTATCAGAAGTTGGCTTCTCATGGCTTAGTCCCTGTTCGTGATACGCCGGTTATTTAAATTTTGTATGTGACCACTTGAAATTAAAATAATATTATAGATTACTAGCAACTTCGTTCGCGTGTAATTAAGGTTTAAACATGATTACCGCATTGGCTTCTACGCGAGTGAGTTCGCCTTCTCGTAGGCCGTACATGAAAATACTAAATAGGTTTCGTTCATTATATGTTGGTCCAGTTAGTTTTGTGGCGTGCATGTAGTTACGTAATATGTAGGAGATATCGATACAGCAGGTATGAGCGACTATTCGGCAGAAGTCGATATATGTTAAATGCATCACATTGACAATTAAGTTATTCAAACTAACTACAGTCAGTTTTTATCAATTTAAAAAAGGCATTTGATGTCTACGGACATTCGATCGCCATTTGAGTGATCGACTGTTCAAGCTACAAAGCTAATATTATCCCCCTAAGCTCGTAAATGCTAGGAGACGATCTGAAGTTTGACGGTGATTATAATTAGTTCAAGAGCGCTACCTAGGGATGGAAAACATGCTGTTGGAATCATCTTGTATTGTCCCTCCATGTTTTTCAATTCTATGTATTCTGTTACTATGTATTAACAGTGTCAGTTGTTGCCGTAGGGTAACCATGTTACTACGTTGCCCGTAATAGTCCCACTCCCCTGTAAAAGACAGTTTTTCACTGAGATCTCCATCCCTTTGGTCGATTCGGAGTTTTCCAACAGCAGTGTGGGTTCATTTTAATGGGTTGCGAGCGATGAGGGTCCCTCCCAGATTCCCTACCAAGCGTTCCTGGATTTAATTTATGGATGCCCGAAGGGGCTTCACCTAGCTAAAGTGGCTAATACAATAGAGTTTTCAGAGAAAATGCGCTGTTCTTTAGACACTTTAAAAACCTTATAATGAAATTAAAAACGAAAAAAGTGAGCTTTTCAAGTAAATTAAATGTTTATTTTATCGAAAGTCTTTATTGCTCTCCCGATTAACTGCCAGAGGCAATCTTTCCTTCAGGAAGTCCAAGGTAAAGTACAGTTCCTATTAACTTTTCAATTAATTCAAACCTTATCTTTGTTCTGTCACGTTTTTCTCACATTTGTTTTGACGATCACTCGTTTTAGATGCATTTAAAAGAAACCATAAATGGTTTAATAACCACACCCTGGGGCATGACTCAATAGAAATAAATAAGTGCTTCACAGTAAATACACATGGCCATGCACCTGTGGTAACAGTTTAAGGGAGGCAGATATATTTCCTGAAAAATAAGAGCGAGACTGAGTGTCCTAAATTGCAGGCCGACAGTCGGAAGAGCGCATGCGCGTATGCCAAGCTTTTGTCAGAGAATGGGGGGCTTTGGAAAATCCAAAATTTGGATCTTATTACGATTTGTGTCAACAACCGAAACGACAAATCCGTAAAAAGACTTTTAAGCATGCATGTCATCAGCGCAGATGGAACCTGGCAAACGTCTCGTTTTTTACATGAAAAACGCCTGTTAAATGTATATGATCTCGGATCGGTACCTGGGGAATTCGAAATGCAAGGATAGTAAATTCTAAACATCAGTTTTTCAGTGATGAAATCCACTCGAAGTATGGGTTTTTTAGATTCACAACCCACTTTCATGATTTTTGAAAAGTCTTTCCGATTCGGAATAGGGATTGGAGTTTTGCTCAAGAGGTACAACAACGCGCCAGTAAAAGCTGGTGTCAAGTTGCGAGGTAAAAACTTGGGCTTGGGGGGGAAAACTTTGACTGGGGCTCTGCGACATGTATAACGTATTCTACAGACTACTATCAACGTCTTACTTTAGAAAGCTGGTTTACTAACTTAGAACAAACGCCACTGAATCGTACCCAACAGTTACCAGCACCGTACAAACGACTTATTGACGAGATCAAGCAAAACTAACTACGAGAGAACGACTGGAGAAGTGACAATTTGACTAACAATAGACGACTGTTTAACTGTGACAATAGACGGATCGAAACGCATCAATTACTGATTACGAGTCTTCATAGCCAATAACATCACGGCTTAACTGACAGACGACCAATAACATCGCGACGTTATTGACCAATCAGATCAATAACCAGAGTATAATACCATCAACTGACGTGATACAACTCACTTTGACTCTGAAGATGACTACAGCACAGGTTGTCGAAATGTCAGTCACTGTCAACAACAACAGTCCTATTCAGGACTTCGTTCACCCGGACAATCAAATTCAACCTACTTTTGAAAACTTTGTTCATATATCCACCCTGAAAGGACAAGCGTAACTTCGTTCTCAGGGCTTTCTCTGTTGCTTCAAGGCGAGAGAGAACTCTGGGAACGAGCTGTTGCTCAATCGAGTTGCCGGTCTGACACTGGTCAATTCGGTTTTTAGTTTTAGATGTGCGCGTTGTCGTTACTTGTGTCGCCTCGTCGTTACTTGGCTGATCGTTAATAAAAATTAAATGAGCGTAGGTCATCACACGCAACATGAACGGCGTCTTAATTCAAGTTTCGAGCTTGCTTTAAATTACCTATCATGGCAATTAGCTAAGTTTTACGATTTTGTTTGTCTTCCTGTTTTCTTTCATGCCGCGAAAAAAGTGCACCTAAAGGCGATGATGACCTTCTGTTTAAATGCTAATAGTAGAATCATAACGGGATCGTTTTAAGTTCAAACTCTGAAAAAGAAGGTAACGATACATTATTAGTATACTTCATTTTCAAAGCACTATCGTCATCAGGTCGTCATAATTCTGAGTTCCGCATCAAAACGTGATATGTCTTAGACTGATTATTGTTTGATTTGACTTTTTAATAACCTATTTGAACACCACGTTGTTTCACTTTCTCACAATTGTAAATGCGTAATCGCTCTTCCAAAATCAAAATACTTTAAGGCACTCTCTATTCCCGGTCAAGCCCGAATTTTTCAGGTTCTTTATCAACCACTTAAGTTGTTCATTCTAACGCGACGAAGTTCATGTCCCCTTTATTAAGACACTCTGTTGACCTATGTATCACCTCCAGTAACAAAAGAGAAAATGGATTGTGCCTCTCCAGATGTGGATGGTACATGATTCTCAATAAAGATTTCAAGAAAGAAACGTGCTGAAATGACGTCATCCCCACGTGATGTGACGCCAATGCGTCAGGCTAAGTACCCAATTATGACTTATTTGCACACATTAGAAATTTTCCCATTTGGGACAACATCTGAGCTATTTTCAGCATTTCGAGAAAATTTCAGGCGAAGAGTGTTTTCTATGAACTTTTAAACCCAAAGCTGTAAGCTGCTCTAACGGCCTCTTCGATTCTTTATTATGCTATTTTGTGATCACACGTAAGAACCCGTTGAAATATTTTTCAGCAACATAGATTGTAAGATTATAACTTTTCACTTTAGTGAGCACATGTGAGCTCTAAACATTTCAGCGTACTTTGAGCGTTTTTAAGCCCTTTTTTGGCATTTTTTTTCGAAAAAAAATTGTGATTTAACCACTTAAAATTACCAAGGGAATCTAAATATGGTCAACAACCTTGTGTCTGCCTGTCTAAGTTCTCAGACAGCTGCGGATATAGGAGGGTACAGGGGGGCTCACTTTTGATGAGCGCTCCCCCTTCCTTCTCACCCTCATCTCACATGAAGAGCTGGATCTGTTGCTGTGCTAGTCTCGGAGAGAAAGAGCCTTAGCACAGTTGGAACGAAAGCATAATTAAATAACAGAACAACATATGGATGTTTGAGAATGGATTTCTGGATTCCTTTTTCTTTTTTGAAAGGCCCTGCTAATTAAATACGGGATAGATCGAGTGGGATAACCAACTTCTTCACTCCAACATAAGTTTACGAATGATAAATTACTTCTGCATCTTGTAGTTAATTGATGCCCAGGGGAATAATCACCACAATGGCCTACTCACAGGGACGCTCCGCCCTCAAAGGGTTCCCTTTTTCAGGCCCTCAGGTATAAAGAAAAGTTACTGAGGATTTTACCAGTCAAAACACATGAAAGAATAGGGAAATCTGTCATTTCGGTAGTAAAAATGCCCCAAAGCCCCACCGCCAAAATTTTTTCCGAACTCGCGTAGTTGCCCGAGAGGGTACTGTTAGAATTCTTGGTGGCTGCCGCCCGGTTCTCAGAATCCTGACCCTATTTCAGACGAAAAAATGTCATTTTTCACACCCGTTTTCAGAACTGGTCTTTAAGAAATTATGTCATCATTACTTAGGTTTAGAACAACAACAACAAAAAAGATTTCTTAACTGAAATTCATTTGGAATTCGCACGTTTGTTTTTCTTTCTTACTCTTTCGGAATTGAAACGATAAATACGTCCATACAAACCCGTAGGTCTCTCGAAAACCATACCCGATTCCAGATCAAAATAGGACTTATACCCGTTTTCACACCAAAACGGCTCCAAAACCATGCCCTTTGGGGCGGCACATTCATATATGACTTATATAAGAGAGTATACCCTCCTCCCTACCCCGCCGGGCAAAAGTGAGCCTGCTTACAGGCAGGAAACAAGCTGAGTGAACAAGAGTTTCCGTGCCACTGCGGTCTCTAAATGCAATCAGAGTCATCCCCAGTCTGGCCCAGCTGATACGGATGTATGGCTTGTTGTGAGATATCGGCTGTGTTGAGGAAATAACTCATTACGGGTTTTGTAATTTGCTTTTCCTAGTGTATCACTGCACGTCGAACTCAAACTTATATATAACGGGTGGAATGGTTTTATTCATATTCACTGTAGCTTTCGGGTAATTTTTCCTCAGAAAATATAGCATTTCGTTTATGTTATCTCATTTTATTTCATTTGTTTTTTGGATCTTTTTACAATAACTTTCATTGTTCCTTCCAACTTTTGATTAACTCGTTTTTCACTCTTTTGGTGCTAAAAAAAACATTGCATGGGACTGGGCAAGTTCAACTATCGCCCGATCATTTTATCGCGACTGGGGTTGTATGTTTTACCAAGGGGAGAGATTTAAAAGGATCTGAGAATCATGATCATTTATCTGGACTGTCTTCAGCAGTATTTTTTATCCAGATTGATTTCCGTTTGGATTGAATGCCGCAGCTTTGCGGACAGCAAAGTTGCTACTTTGTTTCTAAACAACAGAGAAATTTTTCGGTCGTTATGAGTGGAAGTGTTTACCCTCGAAACGGGAAATTGCCTTCTCTACGGCATATTGACTTACCAAGCTGATATTCAAAGAAATTTGCATATGAACATATATAACAGAATATAAAAACAAAGCAAGCAAGCAATACTCATTAAGAAAACTGCGCGATGGCTTTTTTTCCATGTATTTTAGAGATTTAGATGTGAACAGGTGCTTGAAATGAAAATGCGTCAGCCGTTTAAATGACGAAGCCAGTGATCGACCGAAATCGAAATAAACTATAATAGTAGATCGAATTGACAAGTAGAAATTTTTTTAAGTTAGTGAAACAAAGGAAAGGCAAATTATGCTCTTCTTGTTTATCAAGACGGTCATTTCATGCGGATTCAACAACACTGATAACTTTTTTTAAAAATCAATCTCTGGGGAGCCACCCCCGCTCTATTGATTTTCGCGTTTAACGCGTTTCACTTTGGATTAACTCATCGTTTTTTTAATTCAGTCTTCTGCTCATATGTTTTTTTTTTACAAAACATATTAGAAGATGCTGAATAATGATGTAGATTAATAAATCATGCATGCATCGAGTTTACTTAAAGAAAATGTGGCAATAAGAAATTAAGCTAATATATTTTTTTAGTGCTTTTTTTTTCCGCTTAATCCTACATCATCGCACCGTATGTTTTTTTGGCCGCTGTAGATTAGTGCTTGACTTTACATAATTAATCTGTGCAGTTTAGACGGGTTGCATTGAGGTATGACGCAGGGTAAGAAAACGAAAGAGTAGGAAATAATTTAGGCTGTTTCGGTAAATGATCGTGACTTTAGTTGCAGAAGCCAAATTGAGTCGTGCTTGCGTACTCGACTTTCGAAACCGCAAGAACTTTAGCGGGTTCTACACGGTTAACGGCGAAAAATGGATTCGTAACGTTTCTCAAACGTTGTAGCTCCATTCCTTTCACGTTTTTAAAGACCTCTCGACGTGGAAATCTTGTGCGAAAGTGCCAACTGGTATCCGGCTGTTTCAGTTATGTTCAATCTGTCTGAATGTAATAAGTAAGGTCTTTCAATCCCATCTGCTTACGTTATTCATCTCCGTTAAAGTGCTTAGCTGTTAAAAATAGCCGCTATCTAATATATAGTCTCTTACTTAGCTTCTCGATTATAAGCCTGCTGGCCTGTCAAAAATCAATTAGAATCATTAAAATGGCGAAGAACGGGTCTTTTTTTTGTGTGTGCAGTCTTGAAAGCTCTATCACGGTAGAACTGTACTTATGTTTCAACTCTAGAAACGAAATACGGAAGGACTTTAACATTTTAATCTTTTTTAAACGTGTTTGTGAATTTTGATATCGGCTGTCGATCATACTCACTGGCTGACTTGACTGACACTTACTTGGTGAAACAAATATTTGTTGAACACGTGACTAGCGCCGAGTTCAGCATAAATATAGCTTTTAACTTTTAAGTCGGTGAATTGAAAAGACAAATACTTAATTAAAGAGGAAATATTAAAAATCGAGGGATGATGAATTGTTTATCTGAGAATTTCGGGGTCAGGACCGAACGGAAAGAGAAGACTGCGATATGAAAGCCCTCGGTTCAATATCCGGGACTCTTCGTTCCCAGCGTCCGTGTCGGCCGTGGTTTGCCGAATGTGCGGGCGTGGTTCTGGTTGGTTGTTGCGATAAAAGCGAAGTGGAGCGCCATAAACGCGTAGAAAAACCGGATAAAAACGTTCATGGCGAAGTCGTGAAACACTTTAACACATGTTTATTGGTTAGAAACAGCGCCGAGAGTCAGATCGCAACTATTGGGCTTCTCGCTGTGTGATATAACTGTAGAGGACTGTGAAAGTTCACACGAAAAGGCCAGGCGCTTGCGAGAGAAAGTTGAATTTTCGAACTCTCATATATCAACATGGGTTGCACACTCAGTGCCGAGGACAAGGCTGCTGTAGAAAGGAGCAAGATGATCGACAAAAACCTTCGAGCGGACGGTGAAAGAGCAGCGAGAGAAGTGAAATTGCTTCTTCTTGGTAAGTGAAACCTTAAATTCGTAAGCCATGGAAGCGCGAATCGACATGAAATATCTAAGGCATCGATCGATCTGTCCGACGGTCGATTCAAATATGTAAAGGAAACCGTTGTGTTTGATGTTTTTACACGATCAATCGCTTACTTTAGTCCTTCTAACCCCCAACTATGTTGTATACAGAAAAGGAAACCTTACAAGATCTTTTTTTTTTTTTGACGTGGTTATTTCCCCTTTCGCTTTGCTATACTGTCGTAAAACACCGCACAATTTACGCTGCTTGTGAGCGATCTTCAGTGCCCTTAGCAACATTTGGCCAGAGGTTTATTTATAACTCAGCGCATACAATCGAATGCAACGAAACTGGTTTGTCCTTTATACCTTTGTGGCCGCGATATGCTGTGCTCTAACATCCTTAGTCTAGATTCTAGGACTTTCCGCACTGGCCTAATCCGCCATTAGATATTGTAAACGAACATTAGCTGCGAAATGAATAAATTTGCCATCAAACCTAAAACCAATTTTACGCTTATCTTGAACACGTCTCTGAGTTTCGTGCAAGGATCTGCTTTACAGCTGTGTTAGGTGAAAATTTCAATTCTTGTAAGTTGCAGTAAAAATCAGGAATGTAAACGAAAACCGTTCAAGTGACCATATGACGAAACGCACGCGAGAATGTTGTCGAACGAAGCAAACGAAACTGAAAATGGTCGGTAACATGCCTTCTAATCGTGAAGCAGTTCTTATCCCATTTAACTTGGCTATTTCATGGAATTTCGTTCCTCATATTAAGGTTAATTTTTCGCCGACTCTCAACCGTAATAATTCTTTGCAATATTGGCGCGTGTGAATTAAAATCGAATAAGTTAAATCAGATCAGAAAATACTCGTTATGGAAGTTGTGCGATTCTACAGTGAAAGGAAGCCAGAGACGAAACATTTTCTGCTGAGCTTAGACGCTTCTTACAACACTTCTGTGAACAATTTCCTTCTATTCTTTTATTTTGTTTCAGCGCTAAATCGTAGTTGTGACGGCCAATATATATTCGATTGGATTGTCCCCTTCTCTGCCTCTATTTCGTTGTCGTTATGAAACGTCGTATTATCCATTTTTGTTTAGGCCACTCACTCTTGATGGCAATTTTCTAACTTTCGTACGTGAAGAGAATTGACTGAAGAGATGGGCTTATCTGATTACTGTACCCATTGGGTCGTCTCCATGGTTTGATTTTTGTTTCCATAAACAGGTGCTGAATGCTCTCTAAAAGTTCTTAGGTAATCACCATTTGCTATCTGCCTCTTTTTAAATGAACTTGTATCGTTTCCTTCTCTGTTTGTAGTATATATTTTAAGACTGATTAGCTTATTTCTATGTGGGGTTGATTTTGTCTCGATAACTTTTCCTATCTGAATGTCTCATTATTAAAAGTGATGCGTTGAAATTACTAAAGGCCATAAATCTACGATTTGTTTGTTGTGGTTCTGTCTGTTACGTTGTTAATGGTTCCGTCCAGCTGATACATGTAGACTAACAGTAGTTAGCAAAGCACATAGTATTCATTCTTTTTGCTTTGTATGTCCTTTGGATAGCTGGAACTCTTCAACCCTTCAAAAAACTGACACCCTGAGATACCTTTTTTAAGCCTCTTTTAGCTTTTAACACTGTGATTTATTTATCAGGCATGCATAGTGGTTAAAACAGAATAGCAAACTTTATATTTGTTGATACTTTTTGTGGTTTGTTGCTGTCATGTGTGAATTCTTGATAACCTGACCTCACTGCCATACAGGTTTGCTAGTCGAGGACAACACTCACAATATAATGGATGTATCGTTTTATTGTACTATATTTATCTCGCACATCGGGGCTGTAACTGGCTTAAAATCTGTGTTGCCCAGTCAGTTTATTTGTGGTTCTATTTGTTCGTCGTATGTATTTTCTTGTTTTTTGCGTTAATGTAAATTGACCACAATACTGGCAATATTGAATGTGGGCTAAATGAGTTTCATTTCTGAGTTTTCCATTACATTCACATATTGGCTGATCTTTAATTAAAGTCATTTTATAAAAAGAACTGTATGTAGTAGGGGATGATGAAGTAGGCACATTTAGGGTTATGGCAAGTAAAGCTTCATGTATCACAAGTTTATCATTATCGTAATGTTACATTGTAACCTAACCATCTTGTGATTAACTTGTGGTGAATGAAAATTAATTTGTAGTGGCATGCTCAGGGGTAAGAGATTGTTTTGAAACGTATCCTTTAAATCCATCAGCAAATTTAGAAAAAAATGGCCAACATACGTGTAGTACAATCAAAGCTCTCCTTGCGACCACTCTCGTAAGCGACCAGCTCTAGTTACGACCACCTTGGTGAACCCTGTTTGAACTGTGACTTAAACTTTGTAATGAAAAGCTCTCATAAGCAACCGCCCCTGTAAGCGACCACAACCACATTTGGAATTACCCAACTGGTCTTTTCCTTTAATAATAATAATGATATTGATAATGATAATACTAATAATAATATTGTTTGTAAGCGACCACTCAGACCCGATAAAACTGCCTTCAAAATTTTCTGACGTAGATCAACTCATTTTTGCACAAATATTTAGATTTGCTGATATTTTGGTCTAAAAAATTGGACGTAAAGTTTATCCGTGTCTTTATCAGGTATAAAGAAACTCATTAATTTCTTTTGTTTTTTTTTTTCTGAGGCTCTCGTAAGCGACCACTAGTCGTTGTTTTAGCATGTGGTCGCTAACGACAGCTTATTCTCTTAAGCAACCAGCTCTAGTCAAGACCACTTTTTCGAATTTCTGAGGTGGTCACTTTAGTAAATGTTGGTGAACTTCACTGTTGTTTGTAAAACTTGTGGCACAAATGCTAGCAAGATTTGTTTCCATTATTTGTTATTGGTAGAAACTATGGAATTGCTTGATGTGTCCCACAGTGTAAGATAAATGTTGCTGGAGACCAGTGTTCATGCTTGCATTAAAGGGACTTTGTCATGGCTGTGCAGTTCATTTTGTTAACAATGCCATTGACGTGTCCTTCTTCGCTGTGCAACTTGAAAAATTACTTGTGAATGACAAAATCACAGCTTCGTAACAAACAGATACGTCTCCCAATCATTATATCAAATTTTACAAACAATAAGTTGAAATCAAGAAATTAAATGAAGGATGATCATCGCAGTTATATAAGCAACTTTTGCAGTTGCGAAAAGAAAGCATGAAGAAAATTCAGGCTTGTACGGGATTCAAACCCTTGACCTCTGCGATACCAATGCAGCGCTCTACCAATTAAGCTAACAAGCCAACTGGGAGCAGGTCGTTGAATTGGTTCATTATAAACCTGTGAAAGGATGATGATGAAGTTTTGAATATATGAAAATCATATATGTGAACTGCGGAGTGAAGAATTAAATGAAGGATGATGATCATCCTTCATTTAATTCTTCACTCGGCAGTTGACATATATGATTTTAACATTTGAAATAAACTTTGAAAAACTGTTAGGCCATTGAGTTTTCAAAAACCACAAAATAAAAATTATTTCAAACCATTTTAATCTTCTTCAAGTTTGTCCGTCAGTGCTTTCTTTCATATTTGCTGTGTTATTCATTCCTTCAATAATTTTGTGCGTGGCTATTTTTACAGTGTCACTCAATTTGGTTGCAGTTACCATTGCTTGAATTTTGATAAATTTCATCACACTTTTGGATGACTAGAAAATCTTTGTTTTTGCAGGGAAATCTTATGCAGGGCCCCCTTGATTTCACAGGCTCAAAACAATGGGTTCCCTTCAACTTTTTCAGAGCACAGCCTTGTTAACATACCTAAATCCTAGTGCTGGAAAAAAAAAATTGAGAATTCCTCCTTACCTTCTATGTTAAATGAAAGTTATTATTAGTGGATAGACTCAAAGGTAATAACATCTATTACCAAACTTATGTTGGTTGTTAACTAACCAGCAATTACTTTCTGGCTGTCAGACATGAAGTGTACAGTATCTGTATGTGAATTACTAAAACCCTTTTTGCGTCTTTGCCCTTACGAGGAGATAAATTCTTTGCTTGTCAATGTCAAAAGCAGTGTTTTTTTATCTATCAAGGTGTTAATTAATCACATCATTTATTTTGCATCATGCAGTGAACAACATTAAGTCATTTTAAAACAATCTATCAAGAGTCACGTTTTTGTCTAAATGCTTTTATAATGTATACTTTTTTGTAGGTTTTATGTCATATATCTTGTCTTCTACATTTTTTTATTGTCAATCTCCTTGTTTTAAACTTTCTATCATTATAAAACAATCTATCAAGAGTCATGTTTTTGTCTAAATCAGGGCTCAAAGTTAAAATTTGAGTTTGGGAGCAGTTGTGCTGCCAGATGTAAATTTTTAGGCGCACTGCCGAAATTTTAGGTGCACAGCTGAAAATTTTAGGAGCACAGCTTATAATGTTGGGAGCATCTATTTCAAAAGAAAAAGTAAAAAGCTTAACAGTGCCACGTTTATTTGTCATCTTCGGTTTGTTACTGTGATTGATAAAACACAGCCGATTTGCTACGCAGTAATACCGTTGTGATTTTTAAGACTAATTTCTCTTTTTGACAGTACAGTTGTGTGTAAAGAAAAACTTACACTTGAAAAACAATTCAAAACTGACAACAATGAGTGTGTCAAACGAGAATGAAAATTAACCTTTAATGAATCTGTTAAATGCGCAACGACTTACATGTAACTAGAATACGACTTTAAAAACTTTCTTACCTGGAAAAAAAGGCTCTTAATCCGCAATGTTTTTGTTTTGATTGACGTTAAAACTGAACGTTCAACATGATTGTCCGTTGCCCAAAAAGTACGTGTTTCGTTCGTGGCATATATTTGCATGTGTCAGCGGTGTTTATCACAAAACAGAAGAGTCTGGGATGGAGTAAAACATCGAAACAAAAAAGAACATTCAAGTTCGTAGAATCCATTGGGAGAAAAGACCAAGTAAACATATGTCCCGTCTTTCTAGTTCGAGTTCGTAAGTATAGTCGGAAGTAAGTCAGTCGCACTGTGCTTTGGGTTTTACGGCGCACAGGTGCGACTACACATGAATTTTTAGGCGCACAACTAAAAATCCAGTTGCATATGCGACCAGTTAGTCGCTAACTTTGAGCCCTGTAAATACTTTTATAATGTATAATGTTTTGTAGGTTTTATGTCATATATCTTGTCTTTTACATTTTTTTTATTGTCAATCTCCTTTTTTTAAACTTTCTCTTTAGTCGTGTGAGTCCCATGTTATTATAACAACCTTTTTTCCGGTTGAATTGTGTAAGGTACATAATTTTAATAGATTTGTTTAAATCTGTTGTAATGTCAATTTTTTTTTTCCTTCCATGGTTTTTAGAAGGTCTGTCTATTCATCCTCTTCTTTTCTATGAGCACTTACCATTTGTACAAAAATTTTGGTGAAAAACTTCCATCAAATTAATGGTACTGGTAATTTTTTTGCGCCGAAAACAGGAACAGGATTGAGTTGTACCATTTACAAAATACTGGTAAATTTTTCGCTTTCTCTCGACATGAAGCCTGGCACTAGTAATCCAGACAAATGGTACAGAAAAATAACCAACCCTTTGTCTTTGACTTTTTTTCAAAAAAGCTTTTTGATGTAATACTGGCCATGTATTCTTGTTGGCGTAATAATAATGATAATAAGGGTCTTTATTCATAGTTGGGTAGTCACGACATATGTGTGGCTTTACATACATGACAATGCAATCTATTTGATGGCGTCAGACATTCTTAAAGCGTTCTGTTTCAACAGCAGGTAAAATATAATCATGTCCTGTGTTTCGCAAAAATCTCTTGTTTCTTAGCATGTAATAGTTGGTAAAGGGGGTGGGAAGGAGTATCGGTGATAATGTTCCATAGCTTACAGTTGCGATTTCTGATAACTTCAGCTATTGCATACAGGTTGTTGGTGTATCTGAATCTAAACGCTCGCTTAAAAAACTTGTCAATGCGATCAAGGTATTTTACCTTGATATGCCACTCCCCAAATCTCAATTCCGTACAAAAACAGGGACATAATGTAAAAGATCAAATAATTTTGTCAGTTGTTCTTTAGGGTGAGTTGTTCTTTAGGGCACAGTGTGCAAAGAAAGTAGTGTCCGATATCCCGGGGCTAGTGGATTTTGCTATCAGGCTAGTGAATTCTGTTTTTAACTTGCCCGACGGGCAAGTGATGTTCTTTGAGGAATTCGAATAACAGAAGAAGTGTGAAATCAATTTTGCTCGATGAAAAGCTTTTGGGGCTAGTTGAAATGATGTCTGGGCTAGTAAATGCTAGCTTCAGCTTGCCTGAATGGCAAGCTGTAAAAATGATTTTCTTTGCACCCTGGGGCATGTTGCCTTTATAAGAGGGGAGAATACAACTTTCATGGCATCAGGTTGAAAGATATTTTTTTTAATAAAGTGAAGAAATGTAATAATTTGCGTTAAGATATTAAGAGCTGGTTGATTGAGACATTCTTAAAATGCGAGATGGTTAGTGATAGGGAAGCCAGGAAATAAGAAAAATGTTCAATTACAAATCTCTGGAGTTTGATCTTTCTGTTGTAAAAAGTTATTAAAGTAGATGAATGAACCCACAGTTACTGGTTGATGTTGTTGTTGTTGTTGCTCTTGCACATGGTGCTGGTAAAAGGAAAATAATAATAGTTTATTATTGTTGCTGTTCTTTCTCCATAGGTGCTGGAGAATCTGGAAAGAGCACCATAGTAAAGCAAATGAAGTGAGATTACATTGTTTGATTTTATTCATGACAACCACAACAGTTAAATGTACAATAAGATGAATTTACATGTGTTTTCCCCAAATAAATAAATTACATTATATTACTATTATACATGTAACATTGTTTACATTGAAATCTGTGTTAAATGGATGCCCTGTATTGAGTGAAGGAATGGCTCAGTTTGTTTCAAAACCTTTCTTCTCATATTTTCTGTCAGTAACCTTGCCTCTCATTATAAGCTCCTTTTCATTGGACCCCTGTATGTCGCTGCTCTTTTGTTGTAGGGCTAGGTTCCATAGTTGACTTTTTCCATTCATTTTTTCCTGCAACCAATCTTGTGAGGCCTTGTTACAGCTGCACAGCACCTGTTTCTTGTAAAACCATCCTAAGCTGAGATGGTCAGTGCAGCTGCTGATTGATCTCATCTTGGAAGTCATCTGGTGTCCCCTCAGTGCCCAGTCAACATGTGACATCACCATCTCTCCAAAAGAGAGACGGCTTAGGATCAAAATCAGTCAAACACTCTTGCACTCACAGCAGAGCACTTGGTTATCCACATGTTTGCATCCAAGAAATTTAAGTTATGACAAGAGGGTCCATCTGTATCAAATCTGTGCCGTCATGTTAGTTGAAAGATGTCCAATCTCACTAGCTAGGCTTGGAGGCCAGTGCATGTACAATCTGTGTTCAACTTGATGTTGGACTTCCATGTTATGGTCAATTGACAGCTGTCAAAATAGGTATCAGCTGACAAGTGTCACATGACTATATTGTGGGCTCAGGTGTACAACTCGTTAAGTTGATGTTTTTTTTAGTTCTTTCGTGACTAGTCATTGGTTTTCAATTGATCACAAGCTCAGGTCCCATTTTTTTTCAGGAGGAATTCAGTTTGCTTCTTACCTTTAGTCAAAGTTTGATGAGAGCTTCGCTTTTAGTCTTGGCTAAATCTATATATTTCCATGAAAAGTAAATAGAGTATGGAATTTGCCATAACATTGGTTATGTTTCTGCTCATTTGTAGTCCCTTGTAGAACTTGATGCATTATTTTACTTTATAGAATTATTCATGAACATGGTTATACTCAAGAAGAGTGTGCACAGTACAAACAAGTTGTATATAGCAACACGATACAGTCAATGATTGCCATAATCAGGGCATTAGGAACCTTGAAGATTGAATTTGGTCACATGGATAGAGCAGTAAGTATAGTATTATTTTCCTTGGAATCACAGACCATTTTATTGTTAACCCCTAGCAGTTAAATTAATGACAGGTTGCTTGTGTAGTATACAGCTGAGTGGTAAAAATATCGCTTAAACAATAAATCTGTCTATTCTACAATTTATAACAAGGCAACACATGAATTGAGGGTGAGTGTTCAAAAATGGCCCTTTCAACCAGTGATTCCATGTGATATTTACCTTTGTCACTTAAACACGAGGTAATGTCGAGCAAGTTTCTAAAAGGTTATCAGAAGTATTGCAGCAGAAAGTTTTTCTCACAATATAAATTTCCACTTTTGAACAAGATATTGCAATGTTATTACAAGACAAGGAAAAAAAGTAACATCAACAAGGTTGTGAAATCACTGTCTTCGGAAGACATTGCTCAAGCTCTGCCTTTAGCCCTTTTAAGGCGACTTGGTATGGAAGCAAATGAAAAAAACAAACTTTCCCTGCTTTGTGTGCTTCTCATCTTTTTGAAGTTTCAGCCAAGACATGGCAAATAAATGTGTGCGCACTTAAGGTGCGTTCACACTTGGTTCCCGGGCACTGGTGCCCAGTTACGATACTTGCTGGTTGCTAATGTGAACACACCTTTTTTTAAAGTACCCGCACTATAATTCGGGCATGGTTCCGGTGCCTGGGTACAAGGTTGAGACCTTGTACTCGGGCACTAAAGTAAGCACTGGGTCCCTGTGTGCACATGTTTTCAGTTGGTTCCAAGAAGTGTTACCCACAGTCAACTTCTTCACTCCTTTTGCAAAAATGGTGTCTGCTGACCCAGCAAAGTGGACGAAAGACAACTTGGGTACCCAGAGTGTGGACAAAGCACCATTTTGTACCGTGCCCGGGAACTAGTACCCTGACACTAAATGTGAACGCACCCTTATTTGTCATTTGTCAGCTGTAGAGTCTTGTAGAGGGCCCACAGAGTTTATTGTTTCTTGTATTCTATATTCATGGGCCTTGTATCATGATTTGTATGGTATCGTAGGAAAATGCATTGTGTGGCCTTGCTATGCGGGCTTTCTTCCAGCAATCCTTGCAGTTGGTTGTTGGCTTCTTTTCATTTCACATATGTCGCTTTCAGGATGATGCACGGGAGCTGTTTGCACTAGCAGGAAGTATGGAGGATGTAAAGTTCACCCCTGAGCTTGTGTCGATAATGAAGAGATTATGGAATGATCCTGGAGTACAAAACTGCTTTTCAAGATCAAGAGAGTTTCAGCTAAATGATTCTGCTGCATAGTACGTAAACAGTTGTTGTTTGAAATGTGGGGTCCCTGAAAATATCCATACCATCATATATGCAGGGTCTTTGAAAATTCTGTTGGGGGGTCTTGCATGTAAGAGCCAAAGGTTTGAAAGGAATTTATTAACCTTAATTAAAAAAAAATTCCAGGTTTGTTGAATTGGGGGTTCAACCAAAAAATCCCACCAAAGGGGAGAATAGTTATTTTCTGGACCAACAGAATAAGGTACCTGTAATTCAGTAAATCTTCTGAATGTGCAATATCCACCACTAGGGTATTGTAGCATGTCTCATGTATGGCAATGTAATTCAAGGTTGTTGTAACAATAGACATTGTTTGCGAGTAGCCTCATTATCGTGTGTGAACTTAAGGGACGTGCATCTGACTAAATTACACAGTTGGTGTAACACTTCTTGGTAGATAATAAACCTAAAAAGACTTGATTTCTTCTTAACTAAACAGTTGTGCTCGAGATAAAAATTTAAGGAAGTCCTATGCTACACCTGTATCTGTTTAAGCCCCAATATCCACATACAAATTCTTCAAACTGATCTCCATACATTCCTAATCCTCTTGCGAGCACCCTTCACCCAGGTTATAATATAAACATAATCTCTTGGGGTATACATGTTCATTTACATGGTACAGCTGTAGTTAAGCACTGAGTTTCATCGTTAAAAAAGTACATGTAACTAATACTATTGAAATGAAAGTAAGCATATAATTTGGAAAGCTGACAGAATGTCAGTCTTTAGTGGACCAGTCCAATCAAAATTAACAGATTAAATTCTTTTTCCTTACATTTCCAGTTACCTGAATGCACTGGATAGATTAGGATCACCAGAATACATACCAACAGAGCAAGATGTACTTAGAACAAGAGTCAAAACAACGGGGATCGTTGAGACTCATTTTACATTCAAAGATCTCCACTTCAAGTAAGTCATCTGCATAGTAACTTTAAGCCTTTAAGCCCCAATATCCACAAACAAATTCTCCAAACTGATCTCTATACATTTCCTTCAAGAATAAGTTGAGAGAATTTGATAAAAGATCAAGGCATTTTTCCTTAGGTGATCACTTTATTAATTCTCATAACCTAATCTATTGACATTGTATGGATATCGTTAGGAGAAAATTGACGTTAGACACTATTGGGACTTAAAGGGTTAAGCATAGCCCTTTGACTCCCAAACACGCTGCTCTATCTATTTCTCTTCTTCAATATTAATTATTTTACCCAAGTCAGTAAGACAGGTTCCAACAATGTTACTCTAACCCTTTAACTCTAAAAGAGGTACCCTGTAATAGACCTGCCATAGACATGTCTATTTTGAAAAAAAAAGGATTGGTCTTTTCAATGTTTAAAGCCTTTGTTATAGGCTTTCTGAGAAATGACCCCACCCCCCCAGGAAATTGACTTCCAAGGTGTCAATGTTAAGGTTTCCTATTTACAGTTTAAAAAAAACAAGGAATGCATATTTCTGGCTTTTTCTTGATAATATTATAACTGATAAAGAAGAGACTAAACCGAATTCATGCTCAGATAGCTAAGTGGCTCTTGAATACCCAGACTATGGTGGCAAATTTCTGGAGATATTTTTCACTTCTATTGGACAAAAAGGGTTTAATTTTTGGTTGTATTCAGCTTTGTAGCAAATTTTCAATTAGCCTTTTGATAAACCTGTGTTATGTTTTGTCTGGTTTTTGATGTTTCTCAAAACAAGATATAAATGTAAACACCACTTTGAGCAGTCTTGTAATTTAAAATTCACGTTTTAATTCCCTCTGATGTTTAATTTTTTTGACCAAAAGTTCTTGATAATATTGTACACCAATGTAACACTAACTGTTCATGGTTACAAATATCCTGTGAACTGTTTCAGCAGATTATTTTTTATAAGGAATAGTAATAATGAGGAAAGAAATTCTGAAAAGGTAGGACAAATTTTAATAACTTGTTTTTTTGTTGATGTTGCAGAATGTTTGATGTTGGAGGGCAGAGATCTGAAAGAAAGAAATGGATTCACTGTTTTGAAGGTGTGACTGCCATCATCTTCTGCGTTGCTCTCAGTGCATATGACTTAGTACTGGCAGAAGATGAAGAAATGGTAAGATACAGAGTTGTGTTAAAGGCCACAAAATGTTGTCCTAAAGTGAGCTGAGAAACTGTGTTGCTGTGAACCCAAGAGTCAGAGACACAGTAAGGAGGCTTTAGTTGTGGAATGGCAGTGTTTTTGGTGGGATTTAGTCTCATCATTGCTTTGTTGCTTTAGCACTTATGAGTTTACCAACGGTTGCAGAGCATCACCACAACATTTGCACACGCACATTTGAAAGCATAATGAGCGACACGAACCACAAGTTAAGAAAGTTGTTGTTGCCTGTTTATAAGAGCAACTATAATCTAAGGCGCACGCGCACTTTCACTTTGCCACGTTGCAAGACAAATAGATTTAAGAACAGTTTTTTTATGGCCTCAGGCAGAATGGTAAATAATTTTTTCTTATTATACGTCTTCTTATTTTACGTCTTATTATGCGTCTTTAGTCTTAGCTATTACAATTATTACTCATTTTTACAATTATTAGTATAAATTATTACCATTATGTAAATACGCAATTCAGCTTATGCTGCAATGTATTTAATAAAGTACTTACCTACCTACCTACCTTGTTAAAATGT